ATGTTTCCCTCTCTCATTCCCACTGTCATGTCTTATAAAGATACATTATTAACACTTTCAGTCAGATCCACAGGGTTTGTGAAGACTTAGCTGCCGAGAGCTCTTTCGGTTTGTTGTATCAGAACCTTGACTCTGTGGCTGTGCCCACGTGCAGATGTCTCAAGTGGGAATCTGATTTACAGATTATTCTGTACAGCCTCAGAAAGATCAGTGGGTAAGTGCCCCTGTGTGAGAACTAAAGCTGCCAGGGGAAGCCGTGGAAATCATCAACCACCACCACATCTCAGTCTTCTGTGAAATGAGACTTGTCTGGTTTTTCTAGCTTAAGCATAAAGAATGCCTATTCTGTTGTGGATTCTTAGACTCAGATTATTAAAGTTGTTAGAAGAATTTTAGTCTAGTAGCTCTTCCAGTGGCCATTAGTGAGGGCCTGCTGCCCATCAGGTATTACATAGTGGGCAGAGGAGAGACACGGTCTCCGTCCCTAAAGGACACCCGGTGCGCTTCACACCTAATGCCAGCAGCCCTTCTAAAGACATCTTAAATGCCTGCCTCTGATTAAACATTTCTAGTGATAATAATAAGTACAATATCACAGGACAGATCATTCCTTTTTCACAGGTACATTCCGTTGCACAGTTATTACAGTTGGAGGGGGCCGAGGAGTTCATCCCATCCCTTGTTTCTGGAATTCATCTTTCAAGTGATATCTTACTCAGAACACTAATCTCTAAGTGGATCCAATTAGCTCTTCCCTAAGGGTCCCCTCCTCAGATCCCCAAGACCCTGATCCAGTAATTTGGATCAACTCGAGTAATTAGAAAGATTTTTTCCCCAAATTGAACTTGTCACTTCCTAACTACTCCAGACCCAGGCCCTGAGAGCAGCCCAGCGTGAGTCCTCTTTGTCTTTATAAAGCCCTCCAGGGACGGGAAGGTATGGCCGGCAGGGCAAACCAGCTCATTGCCGGAACCCGGCCTCAGGGCTCGCGTCTTCAGTCTTGGTCTCTCATACTTAATTCTTTGAAGTTCCTCTATTTTTCTCCTAGCCTGGAAACTGGCGACAGAACTTATGTCTTTGGGTGAATTCGAAGTTGCTTTTCAATTCCTCTTCCCCATACTTCCCCCTGCCCTGGGCTGAATACATTCAGCCTCTTGGAGAAAACTGTTTATTATTGAGGTCAAAAAAAGAAAAAAAGACATTAAGGACCTGGTCTTCTTAGCTGGAATTACATCGGCCATCTCCAGTTAATTCCCACTGTAGGCTGCTGCCACTCCACAGTTCTCCAGATGCCCATCAGCATCACAGGGCCGGGCCTGGGCCACGTGTCCTCGGGTTCGTGGGCTGTCAGCACCCCAGGGTTCACAGGCCCACAGTGTTTTTTGCACAGAGACCACTTGGCTTCTTGAGAGAAGTAGATGAAAATCAGCCTCTGAAGGGAAGCAGCCCGCTTCTCTGGCGCACACAGGCAGAGCCGCGTGGTCCTGCAGTGCCCAGGATGCTTCAGTTTCATTTAGCATCAAAGACTCTGCCTCCGGGGAGGCAACAGTGATGGTCCAGCTTTGATATTAAAATAGGTTACTTCTTGGCATCTGCGGAAGCTGGTGTTTGGTGCTTTGATCTGAGGCCCACTTTAATCCACTCATTCTAAGTGACTGTCGTGCAGTTGTTGGCGTTACTAGGTTTGAGGGCAATATTCCCTTTGTTTGCACCCTCTTTCCGTATTTCACGTAGAATGGTGCATTCACATCTAATTTGAATTTAATTTCATGAGCTATATAGGACACTTCAGAAGGATGAGTTGATGAGAATACTCTGGCTTTCTGTGTTTTGTCATATTTTGCCATCTGTGCAGCATATGACAAGTTTTAGGTCTGCCCCTCTGCATGCTGGGGACTATGTAGGGCAGACAAGGTAACAACTCTTGTCCTTCAGGCATTGCCTGTGCAGCTAGGAATTCTTTACTCGTGGCCTGGAGGCATCAGGGGAACCTGTGACACGATTTGGAGCTCCTTCAACAGACTGAAATTATGTGCAGTTTTGTGTATATTCTTGTTTGCATTTTTCTAGAGGTTTTTCAAGGCATCTACACCCAAATAATGGTTAAAGATAACAGAAGAGGTTTCAAGATCCTTAAAGCAGATGCATCTAATCAGGACTTGTTATGATAGTGTTGACTTTCTTTCTTTCTTTTTTTTTTTTTAAGGAAATTGCCTTGAAAATTCTGTTTTAAAGCAAACCTGTAACTGAACATCATTCTGTCCTGGCCATCTGATTCAGGATAAGGGGGTTTCCGTTTATGCTCTAAATGCTCTAAGGAAACCAAAACAAGACAGAAGAGTGCCACCTAGAGGCCTTAATGGCAACTTCACGGCTTTGGAATCAGTCCCAGGCCTTCTGGGTCTTCAGTTTCAGTAGTAACTGTCTAAATGAAGAACCTTTTTTTTTCCTCTCAAATAATTTCAGACCACAAAGATGTGTGTTGACGATGTTTATAACCCATACAGATGCTAGAGTTGTGGAGTCCAGCCTTGCTACTCTGGAAACATGATTTTAATAAAAGCTTATTGTTGTAGATGGCACTTAACTCTATTTTAAAGGGATGTATGAACCACAGGTTTCAGGACTCACAATGTATTTAAATATACTCTTACTTGTAAAGCAAGAACGATTTTATGCCTGTTACGAAATGATTTTGATATAGGGACTTTGTTGTATTTTCTTTAAAAGTTAGAATAAATGATAAATGAAGAATAGTTTGTCTTCATACCTCCCAGTATTCCTTTCACGATGGTGATGTAGAATGGGGTTTGCCAAATGGTGCAGAAATTGCGTATGGCAGAGTTGAAGTCACTCTGGGAAAATAGGTCAAACAGAATTTATATCCACATGAAAATGTATAAAGGACATACAGGAGCATAGCTCTCAAGTCCCAGCTCTGCCATTACTTGGCAATGTTGAATACATTAACTTCTTCCTTTTTGTATAAATGGGGCTAATAATAGTATATAATTTAGGGTTTTGTGAAGATGAAATAAAGTTGGTAAGTACAGTGCTGTGTATATAAAAAGTCTTTCAGAATTAGCAATAATTTACTGTTATTGTTGTTAACACTGGCCAACTTGATTTTAAGGATAACCTGTGATGAAAGAGAAACAGGCGACTTAAAAACCAATATATTTCAGAGAATTTTATAGTTTTGGAAAGCTTTTTCACAAATACTCTCTCATTTGATTAGAGTTTCAATTATTATTTACATATGCATGTATTCATAGCTAGTTGTTCAGCTCCCATGAAGTGCAGTAACCATCTTTGGTACGGGAGACAGCGGTAAGAGTCCTTACCCTGCGGTGGGGAGTGGGGCAGAGCTGGACAATAGGAGTAAATAGGACAGTTTCACCAAGAAGTCGTCACTGTGAGGAAGGTTAGTGTGATGGAACAGTGCGGCTTGGAGGCCTACTTTAGACTGATCAGGTGGCCAGGGGAGAGCTGTCCAAGGAAGTGACAGTTAAGCTCTTGCCTGAGTGGCAGGGAGCCAGCCATCCAGCCATGTGAAGGTCCAGGGAGCAGCCCTTCCAGCTAAGGGAAGCTGCGAACGGGCAGGCTTGTGGGCATGTGTTAATCCTGTGCACGGAGTAGCAAGAATGCCAGTGCATCTGGAGCTCGGTGAGCCCCAGGGAGTGTGGCAGGAGGTGCGAGCAGAGACGAAGGACAGGCCTTTGGACTTTATTCTGTGGGTTGCGGGAGAGATTGGAGAGTTGTAGGTAAGGTAGCGATCTGCTCAGACTTGCGATTTAGAAGTATCCCCTCTGCTTCTCAGTGGAGAGTAGGTCGCAAAGGAGCGAGAGTGGGAGCAGAAAGGTCAGCTAGGAGGCTTTGGTGTGGTCACAGCAAGAGATGGTGGCTCGGGTGAAGATGCTGAGTTAATGGTTCCGGAGTTTAGACCCTGTCACAGCTCTGTGCAGGCCAGAGGCGGTGTAGCATGTGGCTGAGCACCAGCGGAAGCAGCAGGCTGTCTGGTTTGAAATCGGAGTTAAACCATGTAACCTTAGGCAGGTTTCTTGACTTCTCTGTGCCTGATTTTTACCACCTCTAAAGTAGTGACGATGATGGGACCATCCACCCAGGACTGCTGTGAAGATTCAGTGAGAGAACAGTAGATGGAAAATGCCCCAGAGAGCGTCTTTTAACATGGCTGTTCTTACCATAATCACCACCTTCATGACAAGTATTACTAACACATTGTCCTCACTACGCCAGTGTACAGATGAGGAAACCTAGAAATGGAGGGTGGTTTCTCAGTCAGAATATTGGTTTCTTGATTGTGAATCTGCTGCTTTTTCTGCAATATAATATGTGATACAAGCTCCCAGAGACGGCTACCCATTGATCTGAATCTCTTGTAGCTCACCGCCCGGTTGTGTGTACCTGTGAATGTTTGAACAACATTGAGAAAATGATAAACAGGGCGAGCTGGGTCCCAGTGTGTGGTAGGAAGGCGCCCTGTGATGGTGCGTCTTGCCTGCACACCTGGGACCATCAGAAACGTAAATTCTGAGTTTTGAAGAGAGCTTTGGACACATAGGCCAAAAGCAGTAATGCAGATATTTCTGGAGGAGGACGGAACTGAATATTTTGAGGACCTTGTGAGAAACCAGGTCCATTTAGAGGACATTCAGTTCTTCATTAATTGTGTTAAATGGGGCCACACTTAATAATAATAAATGAAGTCTCTGGATTATTCCTAGACTTTTCCTGGTCAGCTTTTTAATGGAGGTATTAACTCGACTGCAGATTTGAATTTCTCTTGTGTCCATCTCTTTCTGCCTCTGTGCAGTGTCTTCTGGAGTAAACAATGACGTAGGTAAGGGTTAAGGAGTCAGAGAGACAAACTAGAAGCAAGGAGCTCGGAAATCTGCTTGCCCGCCTTGCGTCCAGCTCCGCAGTCCCACAGGGGCCTCCCTGCCCAGGGCTGAAGGCCGGCCCTTTGTCTGTTGCAGAGTGTGAGCACTTGATCCGCCATATGCTGGTGTTGGACCCCAACAAGCGCCTATCCATGGAGCAGATCTGCAAGCACAAGTGGATGAAGCTAGGGGACACGGATCCCACCTTTGACAGAGTGAGCCGGAGTCTTCTGCCTCGGGAGCTCCTCTCGGCCTACCGCTGTCCTTGGCATGAGACTGTAATCAGGCCAGGGCCCGAAAAGGCGGGCCCTGGGGACACACTGTTGTGCAAAACGAACGGAGCAAGGGAGGCGAGCAGGAAGGGAGTCCGACCCAGTTGGGAGAACAGTGGTACCAGTTCCCTGCCACTGGTCCCCAAATCAGAGCCCCTTCCGGGCCTTTGAGACAGTACAGCCCCCACCCCTGCGGCTCTCTCCCCACGGGGACTCTAGTCCCTTCCTCTGGCCTCGGTGGGCTCAGCTCAGTGGCTCCTGTAGCGTGCCTGTATTTAACCATTCTGGCCACCCAGATGCCCCAGAGAGCTCAGGAAAATGGAGGTCTTGTCTGCTCACAGCTGAGTACCAAGGCTTCCTTGCTTAGGCTTTGCCTGAGGCCAAAATATCCCAAGCTAGCAGGGCATGGAACAGCTTGTTTGTTCATTATCTGTGATATGCCCTCTTGACATGGTTAATCGGGGGTTTGATAGCTTGCCTTTTTCAATGTTACAGTTAATAGCTGAATGCCAGCAGCTAAAGGAGGAAAGACAGATGGACCCCCTGAATGAGGAGGTCCTCCTAGCCATGGAGGACATGGGACTGGACAAAGAGCGGACACTACAGGTATCCCCACAGGCAGGCAGAGCAAGTGAGGTGTGGCTCTGCTCTTTCTGTCCTGTTTCCCCACTTTTCTCATGCCTGGAAACTTGAATGTTTCTGTTTCCTTCCTCTTCTTTCTCTGTGCCTCTCTGGGCCTTGTGGAGAAGGTGCTTTGGTCTTCTGATGTTACTTTGAAAGGGTTTTGGTCATTGATAGACCGTTTTAGCAGGACTTTTTACCCTTCCCTTCTCTCTTGATAGTCATTAAGATCAGATGCCTATGATCACTATAGTGCAATCTACAGCCTGCTGTGTGACCGGCATAAGAGACACAAAACCCTGCGTGTTGGAGCACCTCCTAGCCTGCCCCGAGCCGTGGCCTTCCAAGCGCCAGTCAGCATCCAGGTGGGCCCTAACCCGGTACTGCTGACTCAGGGAAGGAACACGGGCGGGGAGGGCCGGGGGCGGCCACCTCACTGACGCTGAGGCAGGAGGGCTTCCTGTCCCTTCCTCTCTCCCCTGCTTCCTGTGTCAGAGGGTAAGCAAAGATCCGAACCTTTTTTTGACAGAGAGGATGGAAGGGTATTCCAGTATCAGGATGGACAAAAATACTTGTGTTTTTTTTTGTTTTTTTTTAAAGAAAAAGTAAACCCTTGAGAGAGACTGTCCTCTCTGAGCAGGGCTTCCTTGTTGCTCCCAAGGGCAGAGGAAGCAGGCCCAGCGGTAGACTCACAGGCCTTAGCAGCCAGGAATATGCTGAGAGACTGTGGTTCTTCCCCCCTTCGTGGTTAAGGCGTGTGTATGTGCGTGTGTCCTGCTTTCCAGGCCGAGCAGGCTGGCGCCACGGTGAACATCAGCGTCCCCCAGGTGCAGCTGATCAACCCGGAGAACCAGATTGTGGAGGCAAGTAGTGGCCGCTGGGAGGGCTGCCCTTCCTGTCCGCGGCCGGCCTTTCCAGCTCCTTCCTGTTCACTTTCTTTCCCTTGACCTTGCTTCCTTCCCTTCTTCTTTCTGATTTGCTTGTGTTTCCCCCACCTCAGCCTGATGGGACATTGAACCTGGACAGCGACGAGGGTGAGGAGCCCTCCCCGGAGGCGCTGGTCCGCTACCTGTCCATGCGGAGGCACACGGTGGGGGTGGCTGACCCGCGGTGAGTATCTGGCCCGCAGCCCTGATGATACCAAGGCACAGAATGCCCACCTGCCTTCGAGTTCCCACCAGGGCACATTCTTCCTACGTCATCGTATCTCCCAGTGACCGAGCCAGGCTTTTCACCCTGTTCCCCGGTCCCTGGTAGATCAGACTGGACTGAAGAATCACAGAGCTGTCCCCAGTGAATGGCGGGCCTAAGCCACCACCAGCCCAGTTAATTGGGATACTTCCGTGAAGAGCTTGATAGCATCTTTGCCCACAAAGATTGAGGCCTTCTGACCAAAGTCAAAATTTGAGCTTTTAGAGATGTTGTTACATGTTCTAATGCAAGACTCATCTAGGAAGCAAGGACAAATGATATGGTGTTATTTATATATGTTAAAAATTAGATTAAGTGAACAAGAATCCAAAACACTCTGAGACAAAGTACCAGTTTCCCATTGTTTTCCCAAAACAGCCCTTCCGGGGAAATGAATTGAAGGCAGCTCCATTTTTATTCTATAGCCGAAGACCCATAACATGGAAAGTAGCCTTACTTCTTTTCTGGATATTTCCTTTACTGAGTAGGGAAGAAAAGGTTGTGGCAGGTTCTCTTGAGGGTTCACCTAGGGGCAAAGCTAGTTTTCTTATAAATACCTTTTTTCTTGGAGTGATTTCCAAAAAAACCTCTCACACCCCCTGATTTGCTTGTGTTGTGTTTCTAGTGTTCTCGGCCTGCGATCAAACAGGCAGTGGGGGAATGTTCTGGCTCCAGAGGCCATGTCAGCTGCACAGGGGTGGAGTCCTGTGTCGCTCTTAGTGGAAAAATCTCTTACTTTAAGGCGTGCCGTACACCCTCCTGCTGGGGCAGACAGCCCTGCGCGGGCGCCCCTCGTCTGCCCCGTCAGCGCTGGCAGCATGATTGCATTCTTTCCCTGGCGGATCAGTCGCTCCCCCGGGCAGCCATTGTTTAGTGGATGGCGTGTGTCCTCCAGAAAGTCGTTCTTCCCCTCCAGGCCTTGAAAACCTGAGCTGGCCCAGTGCCAGCATTTGCTCTTGGCTCAGAGCTGCTGCCTTTACAGGAGTGGTCAGTGTAGAACGGCAACCTCTGGTCCCAGGAGTCCAGTGGCCAAGAGCCAGATTCCACACACTTGGCTTCGACTTGCTTTGGGGTCTTGGAAATACAGATTTAGGAGGAAAGTAAAAAAATAAAATGAATTGCGCTGACCTCCGTTTCATCAAGTGTTGGATTGTAAACACTTTTGAGTAAGAATATTAATTAAATGTCTCTGTCACCCTGTTTCCTATCAGCACGGAAGTCATGGAAGACCTGCAGAAGCTCTTGCCTGGCTTTCCTGGAATCAGCCCGCAGGCTCCATTCCTGCAGGTGGCCCCTAACGTGAACTTCATGCACAACCTGTTGCCCATGCAAACTTTGCAACCACCTGGGCAGCTTGAGTACAAGGTGCCGGCTATGGGGGAGGGCTTGCCCCCAAAGAAACCCATTGGGTTGCCTTTGAGACACTCTGGGGACCATCCCCTGGATTGGAGGGTGTCCTTATAGAGAAGGATGATTTGTCTTGGAAAGCAGCTCGGGTGAGAGGGAAGACCTGTCTGGCCTACCCTGTAGTTAAAGGATGGCATTTCAGTCGAGAGCACTGCTGCCCCACCTGCTGCCCCCGCCTCACCAGTCTGCCCTTCCCACTCTCCTCCCGACAGGAGCAGTCCCTCTTACAGCCGCCCACCCTACAGCTGCTGAATGGGATGGGCCCCCTTGGCCGGAGGGCATCGGATGGAGGAGCCAACATCCAGCTACATGCCCAGCAGCTGCTGAAGCGCCCACGGGGACCCTCCCCACTTGTCACCATGACACCAGTGAGTGGCGGCACAGAGCCCAGCCTCCGCTCTCAGGGTCTTCTGGTAAAGAGGTTGTAGGCCTAGGCCGGGGAATCCAGGGTCTGCACCCTGATGTCTGAATTTCCTCTTCTCCAAACTTATCATGCTCAGCATGATCCTGTTTTCTTCAGGCAGGTAGAATTTTCCAGACTTAATTTTTGGCTAGCTGCTTTATGTAACCAATTAATTTCTCCACGGAAGCCTGCTCCTGGAGAGCCCTACCCTCAGTGGCCACTTGCAGACGCCCCCCTTAAGTACAGCTGCAGCCCTGCCAGCGGGATAGAACAGTTTTCTCTGAACTTAGTTTACTTCTCACTGAGCCTTCTCTTTGGCAGACCCTGCCGCACGTTTCTGGTCCAGCTTGACTCCTGGATGGGCTGCTTTCACGAGCTCTGGCGCAGTCGGTGCCTCAGTCCCACCATTTTTATATGATGGTCACATTCAAGGGTTCTTTTCCTCCCCTGGGTTCTGTTTATTTCTGGTTACTTTCTTGACATAGCTAATTTATTTAGTCCTTCATTTGTCATTCATTCATTCATTCATCTTGTACTATAAGACTGGGCCCTAATTATGCCCGTAGCCCTTACAAGGGGTTTCACGCTACTGCTTCTCAACAAGCTTCTGGATGAGGACCTTTCCCCTCTTCAGTCCATCATGTTACCTTTGTAAAACAGTAAATGAGTTACCAGAGAAACATTTTTTAAATGTACAAAATACAAGGCTAAATTTTTTATTCAATTCAACAGACACAAGTACCGTTAAATTGTATAAAAGTTTCTAAAAGCTTACTCTCTATTTCTGTACTTACCTTATCACGGATTGGCAACAAACCAGTTTGTGGACCAGCATGGGTCCGTGGGCCACTTTCCCAACATACTGTCGGGTAAAGGAAAGAATGGCATTCACAGTTCCCAGGCTCACTGAACGTCGTGCGGGAAGACAGCTCACCGTAGGTGCAGTGTGAGAATAGTGGCGAGGCCCCTCTGTGGTCAAGGGCCAGAGTGTGGATCCAGCGGCTCGGAGGTGGCAGGGCCGCCCAGGGAAGGCAAGGTCAGTGTAGGTTATAAAGCGTCCCGTACAGCTTTATGGGAGGTGGAGCGATTTGCTCTGTCTGCTGTGGCTGCTTTTGTCAAGGTCACTAACAGACTTGTGCTCATAAACCCAGTGGGCGTTTTTGATCTTCACCCCTTCGCGCCTCCAGCCGTGTCGGTCTCCGTCAGCCATTCTCGGTGAGGTGCTGTCACCTTTGGGCGTGTGCAACACCAACCACGTTCTCCTTGTTTTCCTCTGTCTTCTCCTCTTTGGGGTCCTTTCTGCTTGTTCCTCGAATTTGGTGGAACCCAGACTTTCACCCTGCGCCCTTTCTCCATCTCATTTTACCCCCTCCCTCTGCATGACCGAGCCCACGCCCGCAGTTTCATTCACCAAGTGAGTCTCCGTCCCGAGCACATTCTGAGCCCGCGCTTTGGCCTACAGGCCACATTCGCCTCCTGCTGTGGGGTGTGGCTGGTGAGCTCACAAATGCTCAGAAGGTCATTTCAGTGTGACCCCAGATGAACTTAGGAAACAGACTTGAAGAAACCCATTTTGTCCCCCTGGGTGACAGTGCATGGTCCTGTCATTCTCCTGCTTACACAAGCCAGGAACGTGGATTTTTTATGCTGCATGCTTCCCTGTCCTAGTCCCCATCAGGTGGGCTGCACAGGCCTGTGAACGAAGCAGCTTACTTCTGCCCACCGACGCTGCCTTGCCCTAACGCGAGCCACTGCCACCCTTTGCCGAGACGAGCACAGAGGCCTCCTAACTGGCTTTCCTCGCTTCCAGTCTTGTCTCCTAGTCCCCACCAGCAGCGCTTTGCAGCTGAAGCAGAAGAGCTTTCTGAAATAGAGGCTTTGTAGTATCGTGTCCCTGGTTGGAATCCTTCAGTGATTCATCACCGCCCTTCATGAAAATAACCTTCCTAATGTGTATTCAAGGCCATTTGTAACTAGCAGCACTGTTCCTCCCCGCCCTCATTTCTAGCCACTTCCTGCCGGTGCCTGTTCATCCAGCCTTGTAGAACTGTGGAAGGGATCTGGAAACCCTGGAAACATTCAAACAATGGAATTATTCCAAAAGGGGTTTTGTTTGTTTTATAGTTACCATCCATTTCTTAAAATGCTCTTTTGTAATAAGGGGAGTATGATTTTTGCTCTAGTCCCTGAGGCCACCAGGCCACGAGTGGCTGTCAAGGATGCACGGCCCTCCGGTGCACATGTGGGTGGGAAGGGACACAGCACACACACGCTGTGGTGGGTCTCCTCTAACTTAATGTGTTTTGGGGTATAAAGCTGTTTTAATGCATTGATTGCAATTGCACAATTACATAGGCCCTCTGAACCCACAGGCCGCCTCTTTCCTGTCAGCCTAGACGCTTCGGGGGCTTGTGACCGCTTTCCCGCCTCACGTGGCTCGCTTCTCTCCACCATTCGGATCTCAGGCTAGGTGCCACATCCTCTGGGATGCCTACCTCAGTTCCCCAGCACCCCACCAGCGGACGTGGCCATGCTGCTTTGGGGTGGTCTGCTCACTTGTGTCTGTCCTCTACTAGACTGAAATGAGAGCAAGACTGTATCTGCTAATTCACATTTTATTCCGGAACATAGTAGCATTCAGCTGTTTGTCAGATGAATGAATGAATGAAGAGAAAGCAGAGGAAGAAACCCAAATTAAAATCACCCGAGCAAGGTAAAAGTGGAAGAATAGAAAGGTATCTGAAAGCTTTATCTGACCTAGGCATCCTAGAAAAGGTTTGTAACTAAGAAAATTCACAGAAAGGCCCACCCCAAGTCCAGGTGCTAGAACACGAGAAGCTCCAAAGGAAGCGCCCCCTTGAGCTTTTCCTTCCTGTCTCTCTCCAGGCAGTGCCAGCGGTTACCCCTGTGGACGAGGAGAGTTCGGACGGGGAGCCAGATCAGGAAGCTGTGCAGAGGTAATGTGGCATCTGCCAGTGCTTGCAGAGCGTCCTTGGGCAGGCTCCCCCTGCGACCAGCGAGAGGTCCCCTCTGCCCAAGGAGGTGGTGCAGTGCGGCTGCGACATGCGTGTGGTCTCTCTGCTCAGGCCAGATGGCATGCTCCTCCCCACACGGAAGTCACAGAAGACTAGCGCCATTGGAAGTCCCCTAAGTGACAGCAATAACCATTAAGAACTTTGTCTTTCCTCCCTCCTTCCTTCCTTGCCCCCTGCCTGCACATTGCAACTCTGATAGTATTCACAAGGCACAAAGCCTGCTCCTACCTGCCGAGAACTGTTTCCTGAAAAGGAAGTGGAGATGTGGGATGACAGTGATCCTAGCTAGTCTGGCCATGGACCTCTGGCATGGACTCTTCCTTCCCAGGAGAATGAATACCTCTTGTACTGTCTGCTGTGCGCTGCTTCCATTCCCTTGTACCAACAAAGATATTGAAAAAAGAATGTGGGATTCGGGCCAGGGACAGATGCAAATATCCGTTGTTTGCAGAACCGTGTTGAGAGATGCCTCCCTCACAGAGAACGGCAGTGACCATCAGGCATGCTGCACTGTTCATTTTACCTCAGTCCCTTAGCCACCATCCTCAGCCCCATGCATGGCCCCCTGGGGGAGGGGGTTGTCTTTCTTATTTTCCGGGAAGGGGGGTTTTGACCAGAATCCAGCATGTATTTTCCCAGAAATACAGGTGTTCTTCAAGATTATATGTTTTTTTCCCTTAAGGGAAGTTGAAATAAAATGGTTTTCATGGGCTCGTGGGGAAACTTTGGGTGTCTTTATCAAATGGATATTAAAGCACTAATGGCACACTCTTTGGCAAGATTACATCCCACTAATTATAGTCTGCTTACGGTTTTTAGTTTAAATGGGCGAAGTAGTTAAGAATGAAACAAGACCGCTTTTTAAGACCCTTCCGGTTGCTGCCCACCACTTTCCAGCCCTGGTAGCTCTGTATGCGAGTTGCTGTTGGGAAAGGAGCTGGGTGCGTGTGGAAAGAAGAGTGGAGAGCGGGTGTCGGCCGTGGACCGGCTCCTACAGCTGAGCCAGTGGAAGAAAAATTGTAGTAACTTTTTTTCCCCCCTCTTGATGCTGTTGTCTCTAGACTTTGCTGACAACAGGACGTATAAAGTCGCAGCTGGGCCCTGCTGGTGTCATGAAAAGAGATCAGGAAGCTTCCTGCCTTCCCACATAATCAAATAGCAATATTTCATTTTGTCTTCTTTGTCTTGGACTTAACTTCCTCCGGTTCACCTTCTTTCTTCTGTAGACGGACATCGGAGGGTAGGATGCCCATCCGTGTTGATGTGACCGAAGGAATCAGGCTTCTTTTCCGCATGCCCAGGAACGGGTGGCGGAGGGAGTCGCCCGCTGGGTGCAGGGGCCCGATGCCTTAGTAACGATGCGGACTAAGTGGTAGATCTAAAAGCTCTTGAGGGTAAAAGTCATCAGCTTGTCAGCTCTTAAGCTTTTGAAACTTGTTTTCTTGCCCTGACGATTTCTTCCCCTAAAAAAATTCTAGACCTTTCACATGGTTCCGTTTCTTCATCCTCTAGAGTGTTGGTCCCCTGGGGACAACATCAGTTTTTCTTCTCTTGTGATTGCGTTGCCATCATGGGGCACGAGGAAGGGGTGGTTCTGGAACTCTCTCATCCCCGGGGTGGAAGGATCTGTTTTCTGGACTTGCCGTGAGGACAGTCCGCAAACCTGGGGGCCGATAGTATCTAGAGACCTCTGTGGAGCCCGTCTGACTCTATCCTTTGGCTCATCTCTAGGAATAATCCTTAGAGCTCATTTCCTCTGACTTGTATTTTGGAAATTTGGAGAGAAAAGAGGAACAAAATTAACAAGTAGAACATAAATCCTTCTACTGGATGCGATGAAGTAAGGAAAACCAGTCTCTTTGTGAGCTGCTTCTGCTTTCTCTGTCCTCTTAATGGCTGGTCTTGGGCCCAGGATCCAGCCCCGTCAGTGGTAAGCCAGCATTTGCTGGCCCTTTGGGCTGATCTCACTTCCATGCAGTCAGACATCTTTCTCCACCGAGCCCTTCCCGAGCTCTGGCGCTGTTTCGTCCTGAGCGCTGTGGATTGACATCTGTGCTTCTTGCTGAGGACTACTCCTATCTGTCTTTTTTACTGTGAAATGTGCTCCTGCTTGTTGCAGGTACTTGGCAAATAGGTCCAAAAGACATACACTGGCCATGACCAACCCTACAGCTGAGATCCCACCGGACCTACAGCGGCAGCTAGGACAGCAGCCTTTCCGTCCCCGGGTCTGGCCCCCTCACCTGGTACCTGATCAGCATCGGTGAGTAGCCACATGAGCTATGTGAGCATCTTGGGGCTCGTTGGTCAGGCACCTTCTGGCTGGTCTCTCAGCGACGGCGGATCGCATGAAGGCTTGCAGTAGCAGCCCGAACTTACGTCTTCTCAGCTCCTCACACTAAGCAGTGCACAGGCAATGAGATTCTTCTTCCCCATTACCCTGCAGACATTTATTGTCTGCAGCTGATTCTCATGACTCTAGATGTTGACTCATAGGTGAAGTTGAACTTGAAACCTGCAGGGAGGTGAACCTCCCGGAAGATCAACTGAGAATAGGATTTGTCGCCATATCAATAGACTTGACCTTTAATAACCCATCACCTTCAAAAGAACGAACATTTCTCATCATGTTCCCACTGAACGACAAGCTTGGATATGGAGGAAGAGACTTCCCGTGGTGCGGTGGAGCAGACACTGCATGCTCTTGAATGTCGTGCTTGAGAAGCCGTCCTTGTAGTATTCTGATGGCAGAATCTTTGCTAGGTCTCTCTTACACCCGTAGCTCATTCTCTTGAAGAAATGAGACCAGGTTAACCTTCCTGACCAAGAAAACTTCACAGAATTGAATCCAAGTAAGCCTGGAAGCAGAGGGGAGCGCTTTGCTAGAGTAAGATGCTCGCTTCTGTGAATACCTGAACACCTTGACGACTACACATCTCAGCCGTGTCCACACAGAAGCTGTTCTCAGGCTTGTGGGCCACACTTTCAGAGCCACTGCCAACTGCTAACACTTATTTTATTTCAGTCTTTTTGGGAGGCCAATGAAAAGCAGTCTTACTTGGGTGAAAAGCACTCAGATCCTGAGGAAATTAAGTTTATGAGTGTGTCGTGATTCAATCTGGCGACCAGCTCACGCTGGCAAGCTTGACACATGTTTTTATTGTGGCTAGTTGCCTGTTGGGCATCGGTGTAATCAGCAGAGACAGGTGAACTCTGAGTAGACCAAGCCATGATTAGTGCCATGTTGGAACTCCGAAAGAGGGAAGATAAGCCTTTACAAATGACCCTGGGTGACTTAGTTACCCAGTCTGTTAGAAGTAGCAGGGATGACGATCCTCATGGAAAACTCTGGTGGCGCAGAAAGGTAGTATTTTTCTAAGGAACACCGTGCAGGACCTCCATTGTCAGGCTCCCACATCAAAGGTACTTTGAGGGCCTGCCGGAGAGCTGCTGCTGCTTCCCGAACGTTTTCTACAACTTCTCAGTGACTTTGGGCTCTCCTTTTACAGAACAGACCCTTTACTCATTTGTTTCTTTCTTCCCCTCCTCCTTACCTGCCCCCTAATTTGTCAGCCTTTGTCAGGGTCCACTGTTAGGTTAGGTCCTTTGGGTGTCCGTGTTTAATTCTGAGTGTTCCCCAGGGGGACTGCTTGTCAGGCGGACATGAAGGTCAGCACATCCCACAGTCACAGCCTTGATCGCAGGCGCTGTAAGGGGAGGACCACAGCGGCCCACAGCTCCGTGGTGTGGTCTCGCCCTGCCTGCCGTCACTGTCAAAGCCTTGCCTGCTGGGGATCTGTCTGCCGTCTGTTTTTATGTGGACACTCTTAGAGCGTTTCAAGGGTTTCTGTGGTCAAGCCAGTCTGAGCTGGAATGAACGCTTGAGGAGCGGCAGATTGTGTAAGGGGGGGCACTTACACGGGTTCAGCATGGCTCAGTGGGGTTACTCTAAAAACACGGCAACACAGGAGAATGAGGTTAGTCTTCAGGGGGAAAGAAAAGAAACTTTCCAAGGCCTGAAATTGGGTAGCCTGGATAGATTATCGAGTTCCTTTTATTTCCTGGAGGGAATCATTCAAGAACAGCATGTGTATCTATTTTTCTGAGTATAATAGATAACATGGAGACAGAAGAGGGGTTTGATCAACCTTTTCAGTCCTAGAGGTATGTGATTTAGAACTAAATTTTTTAAAAGCATAATAAAAAAACCATAACATGAGATGGATTTTACTTAGGTGGGGCACCGAGTCCCTGTTTGAAGAGTGTAGTGGGGACATCAGCGTAATATGAGGCTGTCCTGAGTTTGAACACGATTGCTAATAAAAAAACACAGTTGATCCTGTCTGCTTCCAAATGAACAACTGCGTCAGGACTTTTCTCAAGTTACTGTGCTAGACTGACCGCAGCCAGTCTGTTTACAAGCCCAACTTCTGGAAAAGTCAAGAAACACCGGCTCTGGGAGTTCTACTTTGATGGGAGAGGACGGGTTTTGTGCAGACAGGCTGTATTAACAGTTGAAGAACACAGCTTTCTGAGTCAACCGAAAATGTGTCCTTTCCCAGAAAATATTGCAAGGGTAAGAATCAGATTTTAGGAGAAAATAGTATTTGCTTGCTTTAACTCCAAACGACTGAAGTAGAAACAGAAAGAAGCATTGAGGAAACGCTCCTGAAAGTAGCTTCCATAATCACTGGTTCTGGAGCGTCTGCCAAAATCATTTTGTCTTTTGTGTTACAAATGCAATTCGTGCTCATTTCATTAGCTTCCTACCATGTCAAGCTTCAGGCAGAGTCTGAAACAGTAGGCGTCGTGAGAAGAGGGGGGAGAAGGTCTTTCCCCTGCTGCCAGAACTCTTCTGACCCCTCTGCACAGTCAGCAGGCCCTCCGCATCCCTCCCTGTCTGCATTGTATCTCAACTTGCTTTTTCTAACCTGCTTCCTTAGGCTTGGTTCAGCTTCCGCCCGCTTCAGAATGAGTAACTGGCGAAGCAGCGTGTCATTTCCCCCACAGTTCAGTGTGATGTCATCTTGCCCTGGACCTGGAACCCTGATCCTTTCCATCAGCTGCGGGAATGCTGCCTTGGCGGTCCTTTATCTGCTTGCCTCAGCCCATGACCATCTCTTTCTGATTAGGAGACAAGTGCAGGTGTTAGCTTCTAACCCTCACGCCGTCTTAGGCGCTCCTTATCAACAGCTGGGCCTTTCTTTCTGTGCGGCACTGCGCTCTGCCTGCTCTGTGGGGTTTGCTAGGTGACCCACACGATGGCTCTTTCAGTAGGAGGCTGGGCGGGCGCTGCTCTCTGAGAAGTTAACTGCCGCAGTAAAAAAACCCTTGTTTGCCATGAGCAGGTACGTGCAGGATCTTGAGGCCTGCATTCCTTGAGAACGTGCTGTCTCCGTGTGGGGATCCAAAGTCCCTTTTCTCCCCACTTTAACCCTTCACCCTCCATTTTCTAGCACAGACCACAAAGCTGACTGTAGTTCCCCTCCAGTCACGTGGAGGTCATTGCTCATGGAAAACTTTGGGTCAAACGGTGAATTTTAGGTGTCTGAAGGCACTGGGTAGGGACAGGAGTATGAAAGCAAGCATTCGTGTACTGCTTGGCCTGAGGGACACCGAGGAGCTCTTCTCTCTGATCTAGTATATTTGTAAGAACTGGATGTATTTGATCCCGGACCTCTCCGGGCGTGGAGATTAATCAGCTAAAGGTAAGTGGAAATGGAAGACGTGTACCTGGAGCCCTAAAGGGAAGCAGGCTAGGGAGACACCTGCCCTCTGGAGATGGCACGGAAGTGGCGTGGTATCCAGGATGGCACGAGCAGCGGCCATCTGTGTGTGTGCCCGGAACAGCAGTCCCTGGGTGATCGGCCAAAGCCCCAAGTCCTAGCCCCTAACCTTCTCTTCCCGTGTGTTCAGCTCCACCTACAAGGACTCCAACACCCTGCACCTCCCTACGGAGCGTTTCTCCCCTGTGCGCCGGTTCTCAGACGGGGCTGCGAGCATCCAGGCCTTCAAAGCTCACCTGGAAAACACGGGGACCAGCAGCAGCATCAAGCAGAAAGTAGCAGGGATGACGATCCTCATGGAAAACTCTGGTGGCGCAGAAAGGTAGTATTTTTCTAAGGAACACCGTGCAGGACCTCCATTGTCAGGCTCCCACATCAAAGGTACTTTGAGGGCCTGCCGGAGAGCTGCAGCTGCTTCCCGAACGTTTTCTACAACTTCTCAGTGACTTTGGGCTCTCCTTTTACAGAACAGACCCTTTACTCATTTGTTTCTTTCTTCCCCTCCTCCTTACCTGCCCCCTAATTTGTCAGCCTTTGTCAGGGTCCACTGTTAGGTTAGGTCCTTTGGGTGTCCGTGTTTAATTCTGAGTGTTCCCCAGGGGGACTGCTTGTCAGGCGGACATGAAGGTCAGCACATCCCACAGTCACAGCCTTGATCGCAGGCGCTGTAAGGGGAGGACCACAGCGGCCCACAGCTCCGTGGTGTGGTCTCGCCCTGCCTGCCGTCACTGTCAAAGCCTTGCCTGCTGGGGATCTGTCTGCCGTCTGTTTTTATGTGGACACTCTTAGAGCGTTTCAAGGGTTTCTGTGGTCAAGCCAGTCTGAGCTGGAATGAACGCTTGAGGAGCGGCAGATTGTGTAAGGGGGGGCACTTACACGGGTTCAGCATGGCTCAGTGGGGTTACTCTAAAAACACGGCAACACAGGAGAATGAGGTTAGTCTTCAGGGGGAAAGAAAAGAAACTTTCCAAGGCCTGAAATTGGGTAGCCTGGATAGATTATCGAGTTCCTTTTATTTCCTGGAGGGAATCATTCAAGAACAGCATGTGTATCTATTTTTCTGAGTATAATAGATAACATGGAGACAGAAGAGGGGTTTGATCAACCTTTTCAGTCCTAGAGGTATGTGATTTAGAACTAAATTTTTTAAAAGCATAATAAAAAAACCATAACATGAGATGGATTTTACTTAGGTGGGGCACCGAGTCCCTGTTTGAAGAGTGTAGTGGGGACATCAGCGTAATATGAGGCTGTCCTGAGTTTGAACACGATTGCTAATAAAAAAACACAGTTGATCCTGTCTGCTTCCAAATGAACAACTGCGTCAGGACTTTTCTCAAGTTACTGTGCTAGACTGACCGCAGCCAGTCTGTTTACAAGCCCAACTTCTGGAAAAGTCAAGAAACACCGGCTCTGGGAGTTCTACTTTGATGGGAGAGGACGGGTTTTGTGCAGACAGGCTGTATTAACAGTTGAAGAACACAGCTTTCTGAGTCAACCGAAAATGTGTCCTTTCCCAGAAAATATTGCAAGGGTAAGAATCAGATTTTAGGAGAAAATAGTATTTGCTTGCTTTAACTCCAAACGACTGAAGTAGAAACAGAAAGAAGCATTGAGGAAACGCTCCTGAAAGTAGCTTCCATAATCACTGGTTCTGGAGCGTCTGCCAAAATCATTTTGTCTTTTGTGTTACAAATGCAATTCGTGCTCATTTCATTAGCTTCCTACCATGTCAAGCTTCAGGCAGAGTCTGAAACAGTAGGCGTCGTGAGAAGAGGGGGGAGAAGGTCTTTCCCCTGCTGCCAGAACTCTTCTGACCCCTCTGCACAGTCAGCAGGCCCTCCGCATCCCTCCCTGTCTGCATTGTATCTCAACTTGCTTTTTCTAACCTGCTTCCTTAGGCTTGGTTCAGCTTCCGCCCGCTTCAGAATGAGTAACTGGCGAAGCAGCGTGTCATTTCCCCCACAGTTCAGTGTGATGTCATCTTGCCCTGGACCCGGAACCCTGATCCTTTCCATCAGCTGCGGGAATGCTGCCTTGGCGGTCCTTTATCTGCTTGCCTCAGCCCATGACCATCTCTTTCTGATTAGGAGACAAGTGCAGGTGTTAGCTTCTAACCCTCACGCCGTCTTAGGCGCTCCTTATCAACAGCTGGGCCTTTCTTTCTGTGCGGCACTGCGCTCTGCCTGCTCTGTGGGGTTTGCTAGGTGACCCACACGATGGCTCTTTCAGTAGGAGGCTGGGCGGGCGCTGCTCTCTGAGAAGTTAACTGCCGCAGTAAAAAAACCCTTGTTTGCCATGAGCAGGTACGTGCAGGATCTTGAGGCCTGCATTCCTTGAGAACGTGCTGTCTCCGTGTGGGGATCCAAAGTCCCTTTTCTCCCCACTTTAACCCTTCACCCTCCATTTTCTAGCACAGACCACAAAGCTGACTGTAGTTCCCCTCCAGTCACGTGGAGGTCATTGCTCATGGAAAACTTTGGGTCAAATGGTGAATTTTAGGTGTCTGAAGGCACTGGGTAGGGACAGGAGTATGAAAGCAAGCATTCGTGTACTGCTTGGCCTGAGGGACACCGAGGAGCTCTTCTCTCTGATCTAGTATATTTGTAAGAACTGGATGTATTTGATCCCGGACCTCTCCGGGCGTGGAGATTAATCAGCTAAAGGTAAGTGGAAATGGAAGACGTGTACCTGGAGCCCTAAAGGGAAGCAGGCTAGGGAGACACCTGCCCTCTGGAGATGGCACGGAAGTGGCGTGGTATCCAGGATGGCACGAGCAGCGGCCATCTGTGTGTGTGCCCGGAACAGCAGTCCCTGGGTGATCGGCCAAAGCCCCAAGTCCTAGCCCCTAACCTTCTCCTCCCGTGTGTTCAGCTCCACCTACAAGGACTCCAACACCCTGCACCTCCCTACGGAGCGTTTCTCCCCTGTGCGCCGGTTCTCAGACGGGGCTGCGAGCATCCAGGCCTTCAAAGCTCACCTGGAAAACACGGGGACCAGCAGCAGCATCAAGCAGCTGCAGCAGGTAATGGGGGGGGCAGGCGTGGGGTCGGGCGGCAGGGGCACGGGCTCAGACCGGGCTGCTTCCTCACACTCTTGCCGGACTGCTGGCCATGCACAGCTTTCCCCATGAGAGGGCTCAGCCTTCCTCCCGTCTCTGTAGCTCACTCGTGAGGCACTTCCGGGCTTGGGTGCCGGGGGGAAGCTCCAGGAAAGGTCCTCCTCCCGTGACATGGGCCTGGGGTGCTGTCGCAGCCGGCCGTGCTCCTGGAGGAAGCAAGTGTAGCTGCAGGCGACTCTGGGGGACTGGTTGCCCTTCTGTCTTCCTGCCCGCCAGGCTTCAATGGCACAAGCTCTGTACAGTGGTACGGGTTTCACACTGGACATTCTGACTGATACACAGGCCATCCTCGGTGGTTTCCGTTGGCCCGTACAGGGCAGGGTGTGAATACAGTTCGCACCCAGACACCCATAGAGGTGGGTTCGTTGCTCGTCAAGGACCCTGTTCTCCTCCTGTGCCTCTTTCTGCCCATGAGACTGGGGTGCAGCTCTGCATCTGCTGCCATCACTGCATGGGGTGGGCCTGGCTGCACCCCGTCTGTGCTGACCGCTTTCCCCTCAGGAGTGTGAGCAGCTGCAGAAGATGTACGGGGGGCAGATGGATGAAAGAACCCTGGAGAAGACCCAGCAGCAGCACCTGTTATACCAGCAGGAGCAGCACCAGCAGATCCTCCAGCAGCAGATTCAGGTGGGCCTCCGCTCTTGGCGCGCTTCAGCTCGCCGGGGGTTCGCTCTCGGCGGGTTTGCCTGTGAGCTTTGGAGGCGGTCCCACAGGGCAGAGTGGAGTTGACTTATGTTGGTGGTCGGCATGTTGGAGTAAAGGTAACCAGGCCGCCCCATGAGCGGCAGGAGCGTGACCTCCGGCGCAGGCGGTCATGCTCGTTCCTGAGGACAGCTCCGATTCCTCTCCCAGCTCACTCACTCCGCTCCGTTTCTCACCGTGTTCTAGGATCCCCTCTGCGCTCCACAGCCCTCCCCACCTCTTCAGGCCGCGTGCGAGAACCAGCCAGCCCTCCTCACCCACCAGCTCCAGAGGTGACGGATCATTCTGTGACACGCCTGAGCCATTGTCTCTACAGCTGGGGGTCCTTGGCCCCATTCCTCTGCAGAGACAGTGACTGACGTTAGCATTCATCTTGGAAGAACCTGTTTGAAAAGCAGACCAATTTAAATGCCAGCAGACCCCCTGACATCCTGACTTCCGGGGCCCCTTCATTTTCTCAGCCCCATGAGCAAAGTGATCTGACATCTGATACAGGCCAGACACAGGTCCACAGTGACTCTGCCTCTGTCTGGGAAGTCTGGTAAAACAAGATATGGGTGGGTTTGAAGCAGACCCCGGTGGGTAGTTGATGTGTGTTTTTCTACCCTGGCAGCTTATCAAAACTAAAAAAATAGTTTCTTCTTCTGTGTATTGTATGGCTAACACTGACTTCTAGATTATACTGTCATTACAGGAAATTTATTTATTTACCTTATTTGTTGCTTTTAAGGTTAAGGATCCAGCCTTCAAGCCCACCGCCCAACCACCCCAACAACCATCTCTTCAGACAACCCAGTAATAGTCCTCCGCCCCTGGCAGGTGCCCTGAGCCAGTCTCACGGTGAGTGCAGAAGTTCACACTGGGCCGCAGGGTGCCACGTGCAGGACAGGCCTTGGTCTGGGTGCAGAGGGTCACACTGCATCGCGGGGTGCTGAGTGTGGAATGGGCCTCAGCCCGGGTGCAGGGGTTCACATGGGGCTGCATGGGGCGTCATGCAGGACAGGCCTCGGTCCAGATGTGGAGGTTCACACTGGGCCGCAAGGTGCCACGTGCAGGACAGGCCTTGGTCTGGGTGCAGAGGGTCACACTGTGCCGTGGGGTGCTGCGTGTGGGACGGGCCTCAGTTCTAAATGCACAAGCCAGTGATTTGAACTGCAGAATAACCTAAGTACTTGAGGGTGTGGACACTAGAGCCACACTGCCTTGTTCTGAGTTCTGGTTCCACCAACTTCTTAGCTGAGAAACCTCAAGTAAATTGCTTAACTTCTGTATACATACCTCAGCTTTCTCAAGGGAAAATAGGGATACTAAATGTATTTACCAAATACATACAAAGCCCTGGGAGCTATCTCTGGCACAAAATAGTTCTCAATAGACTGATGAGAATTAGACTTGGGGTGGATTAATGATTGTGCATTGAGTCCCCTGTACAGATTTTTATTGTTGTTAACTGTTAACAACCATTCGATCAATAAATATGAGAGATGCCCTCTCAAAAAAAAAAAATAGTTCTCAATAAAGGTCAACTGTTATTAGTATTTTTTAATAAAAACCCCCTCTACCTCCACCAAGTAAAAAGTCACTACCAGAACGTTCCTTACTGCCGTGCTCCATGGGATTCTCCACCGTGTATGTGCGATCCTCTCCTGGGGGTGTTTAGGTGGAAAATGAGTACACCCTGATTGGTATGGGTCCTCAGAGACTAGCGCCCTGAGGATCGGTATTCCAAAGCCAGTAGTCTCTCACGGATCGCCACACAGGAGCCCTGGGGAGCCTGAATCGGTCAGAGTGGGTCCCCCGACCAACATTAGCAGGGAAGGTAGAATCTCAGGTCCCATCCCGAACCTACTGAATTGGTATCTGCATTTTAGCAAGATCCCTGGGCTGTTTGTGTGTGCGTATGACTTTGAGAAACACCGCCCTAGCCCAGAGCTACTCAAAGAATAATCCACGGACCAGCTTTCAGGGCAATGTACTAGAAGTACAAATTCTTGGGCCCCCTACTTGGGACCTAACCAAGATTCTGTGTTAGAGCCCAGGAATCTGTTTTTTAACAAGTTTTCCAGATGACAAAGTGAAGTTTGAGATGCACCAGTTTGAGTCTCCTCACTGGCGCCCACTGCTTCCAGTTGGAGGTGACCTGGGCCTTCGGTCACTCCGAGGTTCCTCTCCCCCCAGGTGCTGCGTCTCCCTCCCACTTTCAAGGCCTGCCCCCCTGCAGTGCAATCTTCCAGCAGCAGCAGCCTGAGAACTGCTCCCCTCCTCCCACCATGGCGCTCACCTGCCTGGGCATTCAGCAGCCCACCCAGTCCCAGCAGGTGACCATCCAAGTGCAGGAGCCCGTTGACATGCTCAGCGCCCTGCCAGGGGCGGCCGCAGGCCCTGCTGGGCGGGGCATCTCCATCAGCCCCAGTGCCAGCCAGGTTCCGATGCAGCACCGCGCCAACCTGATGGCCACCTTCAGCTACGGACACCGACCCTTGTCCAAGCAGCTGAGTGCTGACAGCGCAGAGGCCCACAGGTAAGGCTGTCTCGTGTCACCAGCCTTCTGTGCAGGTGAGCAGGTGGGAGGAAGCCCAGTGACAGCGCAAGAGAGGAGGAGGGGAGGAGAATGAGCCAGACGGGGCTGTGCTCCTTTTGCCCTTCCTGACATCAGAGCGGTGGGACTGGGGTGAACCAGAAACCTACCTACAGACCGAGGATCCAAATGCTAGTGAGGCTCAGGAGGAGGCTGACAGAGCTGCCTTACTGTCTGCAAAGAAGAGGATGGCCTAGGAGCAGCGCGCCCCCTGTATTCTTTTAGGATTCTTTCTCTCCATCACTCTCATTCTAAGAAACTGGTGCTTCTTAATAGTCCAAGTGATGTTGTAAAATAGGCTACATGGCTCAGTCCCTTGGAAGTCCCTGGACGAGCGCATGAGAGGGCAGCAGGGATGGTGTGCACCCCACAAAGTGCCTCTCGCCCCGCAGAGCTCTGCCCGTGGGCTCCCCCCACCCCCGAGGCAGAGAGTGGCTGCTCCCCAGGAGAGTCTAGCGCGCTCGTTCCGTGGACGCCGGCACTCACTCCCTTTTGTGTCTGCAGCTTGAACGCGAATCGGTTCTCCCCTGCTAACTACAACCAGGCGCATTTACACCCCCATCTGTTCTCGGACCAGTCCCGGGGTTCCCCCAGCAGCTACAGCCCCGCCCTGAAAGTCCCTCCACTTGACCAAGGTCCCAGCTTCCCTCCCAGCGCACACCAGCAGCCACCGCACTACACCACGTCGGCTCTGCAGCAGGCGCTGCTGTCCCCGACCCCGCCGGACTACACGAGGCACCAGCAGGTGCCCCACATCCTGCAGGGACTGCTCTCTCCCCGGCACTCGCTCGCCGGCCACTCGGACATTCGCCTGCCCCCAGCAGAGTTTGCGCAGCTCCTTAAGCGGCAGCAGCGAGAGTACCAGGAATTGTTCAGGCATATGAGCCAGGGGGATGCTGGGGGCCTGGCTCCTGGACCTGGGGGACAGAGTATGGCGGAGCACCAGGCTTTACCGTTTCAAAGTACCGACTCGTATCACCACCACCGCCACACCAGCCCCCAGCATCTTCTACAAATCAGGGCGCAAGAATGTATCTCCCAGGTCTCGCCACCCGCCGCGGCCCACGGGTATGCCCACCAGCCGGCTGTCGTGCATCCGGAGAGCATGGAAGAGGGGTGCTCGTGCGAGGGGGCCAGGGACGGCTTTCCAGACAGCAAGAGTCCGAACCCAGTGACCAGAGGCTGCCATGACAGCCCCCTGCTCTTGAGCACTGGCAGACCCGGGGACCCTGAATCTTTACTGGGAACTGTGAGTCACGCACAGGACCTGGGGCTGCATCCCTTCCGCCATCAGCCAGCGGCTGCGTTCAGTAGGAGTAAGGTGTCCAGCCGAGGTAAGGGTCCCTTCCGAGTACAAGTCCTGGGCCACTGTGCCCGATTTCAGTGAGCTCGGTGGTGTCACCTTTTTTTCAGAGTACCTCGTCCTCTGTTCCTAGGAGAAAGTTCTCAGACGGCCTTCAGGACCTTTTGGGGGAGAAGCATGTAGGAAGTGGGAGAAGGAGTCTGTTTTCAAAATAAAAAGTGATAGGAAATTGGCCCTGAGATAATGCAGTCAGTGTGACTACCCCTACTTCTCATGTTCATACCGTGGTATTTTGCAATCCAGCATTTCCTGCCATCAGACTTTAGACTGTCAGCTAACTAACTTCTGCAACAGAGCAAGTCGGCCAGTGCCAGGGAGGCGTGACTCAGAGTATATAGTGTTGGGCCAGGAGTCCAGGCACCTGCGGTCTGGACCTGCCTCGGTTAGGAGCGCCGTGACCTTGTTGTTTACACCCTGAGGTTGTTGGTTTCCTTCTCCGTGAAAGAGGGGCAGGAGGCCTCATGATCGCGCTTCGCAGAGTCCTTGGGCAGATGAAAACATGTATGTGTGTGTGTGTGTTTTTACATGGTATGTGGCATGTGTGAGAGAGAAGCACTTGGTGTAAACGTGAGGCGCTGCCATCACTCCGGTCACGTCGCTAAGAGCCAGATCCAGCACAGCACCCCAGGGGGCTGCGACGCCTCGCTTCGCGTTACTTTATAATGAGTGGGGCGTCCATTTCCATGCCGAGGGCTCAGACTACCATCAGAAAACATTGCTCATAGCACGGGAGCACTCACCCTAGACAGAATCTGGACTGGCATCCCCCCTTCCTCCAGGGACCGTGACAGCTGAGTATCCCTGAGGTATACAGCCCTGCAGCCAAGCCTGTCCCCCACCCTCCCCTTCTCGGGACCGCCTGCCTCTGCAGCCCTAGCCTGTAAACCCAGCACAGGACACCCAGCCTGTAGGGGACCGGGGACCGTGGCATGGAGCAGGGTGGAAGGCCTTGCTCTGAATCAGTTCGTGTGAAGACGGCTTGGGGTTTTCAGGTGGTGCTTGTTATGCACAGGAGGGACATGTGCTTGTAGGTGACACCAGCTAAGCTTGGGCTTTTGAACAGGTCGGTGCCATTCCGCCCACCGGTCTGCACCCGTCGGACGTACTGTGGCCGCCGTATTTGTAGCTGGACAGAGGATGGTTGCTGGTTTCAGAACCGAGTCTTGTGGGATGGCTGACAGTCCGGAGATGTTTAAGCCAGGGTGGGGGACAGCCTAAGAATCGCCATGCCTATCTGGTGGAAGAAGGGGTTAGACTTTTCTGGGTACATGTTACGGGCCAGACCAAGATCAGGATAGAAGTCGCAGCAAGTTTCAACTTCCTGTGAAAGATCTCTGTAAGAACTTTCCAGAACAGGCCGCCAGGGCAGCCTGGGAGCCGCCTGTCTCTGCAGGTGTTCTGGCAGAGGCGGCGTGATGGTGGTGTGGACCTGTGGAAAAGCTTCCATCGGCTTAGCCTATGGCAGCGCGTGAACAGGAGGCGGCCTGCTGATGTTCCCAATGAGACAACCGAGGCGCAGATGCGTGGTATGGGTGCAGCCCTAAGTGGCATCCGGACCCGAGTTTCTCTGCTCCCTCCAGCAGGTGCTTCTGATCACGGCCTGGTGTGCCAGGCACCAAGGAAAGAGCAATGGTGGGCAAGAGGGTATGCTCCCCATGCCCCCCACCCCGGCGGTCATGTGTTAAAACACCGTTGGAATTGTTTTTCTTCAAAAATCACTCTTCAGCACTGTCCCTCCTGTGTGACACGTAGGTACAGAAAAGGTGGAGGGCTTGAGTGTGCCTGTGTCCCAGCGCTGTCAGAGGAACCCCCTCTCAGCGGGCTTGCGGGTCTTTCTAGTAGCCGTGGTAAGGCACCAGCTAAGGGGGAGCTCGTTCCCAGCCCCAGGGACGGGGTAGGCTCCCAGCAGCGGGTGGCTCTGAGTTGGGTCCTGGTGGATGAAGGCATTTTGCCCTTGGGGTTTGGTGGAGAAGCATCAGGAGAGACTAGTGGGTAAGAGGGCCTCAGGGATGTTCAGGGGGAAAAGCCAAAGCAAGCAGGCGTGGTCGGCTGTGAGTGTGGTGCACAGAAGGAGTCGGCAGAGGCTGAGGGCAGAGGTTTTCTGAAGTCCAGGCCATGATGCAGACCCAGCTGCAACGTGCCACAGGATAGGTGGCACCCTGCCCAGTTCTCCTGGCAGTTTTAAATCGGCACAGTCCTGCCGGTCAGCCTGGCCAGCCCCCTCCTGTGCATCTGAGGCTCCCGCCTCAGGGTCAGGGTCCCTTTGACAGGCCTCTCCTGCCTCTTCCAGAGCTGCTGTGCCCGCCTACCTTCTTACATCCATGGCCATCACCGCCATCGTCCCCTACAAACGTCGCATCCACTTTCTCGAAGAATTGAGCCATAGTATCTCCCTGAAGGCTTCTGCCCTGTCCCTGCCTCGTCACTCGTCTTGGCTGCATCTTACGCCGGAGTCTTCTTTCTCCTTAGATCTTTGTGCCTGGCTGTCAGCGGGAGCTTTTCCGGAGGCTGTCACTGCAGCCCCTGCCTGCCAGTGGGCTGTGGGGGTGATCGTTTTCTCCCTTCCTCCTGCCCAGCTTACCCTAAACTTACTCTTTAATGGAGCCACCGAGTAGGCCTTTTCTGGCTCAAGTGCTGTCCGCTTCTCTTCTCATACCCACTTTGTGACGCTTGGACCACACATACAAATAGCTTTGGCGAGTAAAGCCACAGCTTATTACTGTGTGAATTTAGAACTCAGGGTAGAGAAATGTGGTAGAGACATGAGGAGGGAAGGGTACTGATGGGGAAGCCCACGGATGCTCAAGAGTTCAAAGCCCTGGGGGTGCACGTCACGACTGCGTGTGCACAGCGATGCCGTGTCTTGGGGCGCCCCTGTGGTCCTTACCTTAGATAGCGGGAGCAGGCACTGTGACTGGGGGCCTGACGTGCGACCTCTCTTCTTTTGAGTAATGAGGATATTAAGCTAAATGCTCCCTAAGAGCGGAATTAGTGTTTGTAGTACATCCACCCCATGCCCAATGCTCTCAGCTCAGTGGCTCCCTGTTTTTCACAACCACCCTGGGATCTGTGTGTTATGGCCCCTTTTACAAAAGACACCATAGCTTCACCATCGCTTCCTGCCTTTACTTGACTCCATTCTATTCTTTTGAAAACTTAAGAGCTCACAGTTTCACCTTACCAAGGAATCATCGTTCTGCATCCCGACCACCCTTCAGGCAGAGGAGGGGAATTCAGACTCGTTTATCTCTGGACAGAGGAATGCCTGCGGTTGCCTATAACGGTGCCTCCATCTCTGAGAAGTTACATACCAGTCACAAAACACTCCATATCCATGATAGGCAGATGCAGCAGCACCTGTGCAGTGACTGGGTCGCACGAAGCTAGATTGCTGGTGCTGTGCGGAATGCAGGGGCGAGCAGGTGAAGCGCCTGCCCTCAGTGAGCTTAAACTCTACTGGGGGAAGGACGACCAGCTCACAAACAGCCTTGATGTGCGGCGTGAGGGAGTGAGTGCTACAGAGGTGCAGCCGTGGAGAGGGCTGCTGGGAGGACTTTCTCAAGGCTGGGTGAAGAGGGATCGCTGGTGTTAGCCCAGAAAATTAAATGCCGTCATCAGGGTCCGTGGCCACCTATTTCCTTCATGGCTGTTCGCCACCAGTCAGTATGGGGCCAGGCACTGCCAGAGTACCGGGCAGGCAGTGTGCCCCAGGTCGCCCCAGATGCACAGAGCCTCAGGGCCACGCGTGCCCCGTGCTGCGTCCCACTGCGGAAGTAGAAATAGGGTTTATCTTCCTACTCTAGTATTACACTTACTTTTTTTTTTACTTTGCAAATAAATAAATACAACCAGTTAACATAGTGATATTGCCAACTTGAATCACAAAGAAAAGCACATCCTCTGCTCTGAGCTTTAGCGCTGTTAGTGGACTTCAGGCCCCCTAGAGGGGTAAATTGGTGACAGACTGGGAGAGTTTGCCCCTCAGAACCTTTAAGAGGAATACGTACATGTCACTTATTCTCATTTTCTCTTAAAACTTAGTAAATGTGTAGGGACAAGTAAACATTGAAAGATCAACAGGGAGTTGGGCAATCTGCCCCGAGTTGCCCGGGTGGGTGGGCGGTGTGCACTGGGTCCGTTCGTGCGTGTCCCGCCCGCCTGGCCGGCCGATGGTGCTCCCCTCTGCGCCGTCGAGACCTCCCTTCGCCAAATCCCCAAGAATCCTGCTCTCCCAAGTCCTCCTCCGTTATTTAACTGCCCTTCGGTGAGCCTGACCGTTCCTCCAGCTGCTGAATTGGCATAAAGGATGCCAAATGGTGAGCCTGAATTTCATGTCCCCTGGTCAGTGGGTTGGTCTGCTTGCCACCCACACCCAAGCTGGTCAGCTGGTCTCATCTAGAGAGTGTCACAGATGACTTCTAGATGCACGACTCAGCGTTCTTACCAAACACAATACCTGGACGGGCCTTTAGAGTTTATTAAAGACCCTTTCACATGTGTTGTCTTTTGAGCACCTAAACAACTCATTTTTCAGACAGGGAAACAGATTAGGAGAGGTTAAATGATTTATGCAGGTTCATACTTTCTGTTGGTGGATAGAGCTGGATCCTGACTTCAAGTTTCCTGGTTCCCTGGGCTTGTATTATATCCCTTCCTTTACGCCTCCGTACCTCCCACGCCACACTTTCCAAGCGTAAGGTATCTGCCAAGGGAGACGCCGGCCCTTCCGGGTCTCTGACCTGTGGATTGTGCTGAAGCTTAAAACAGACAGAGCCCTGGTTTGACACCCAACTCCCATTAATACACTTCCTTTTCTTCTAGTTTTTAACTTGCATTGCTTCTCCTAAACCAGCAGCTGCTTCTCTGGAAGTTAAAGTTTCAGGAACTCTTTTGCTCACTCACGTCCGGGGAGGTCATCCCCGTCACTCTGGAGGCAGCGGCCTGCGATGCAGTGTCTCCCGGGCAGCCTGTCACCTGGCTCAGTGGACCCGACCCTCTCAGAAATACTGCCTCCGAGGTGGCTATTAGCGATAGCAGTCTTTGCTGAGCTCTTAGTGTCCCAAGCACTGGTAAGCACTTTACAAGTCCTGTTTTCTGGATAATGAGTGAAGTCAGGCCACCTGCCCGAGCCCCCACTCCTCCAGAACCCTGTAAGGCCAGGACTCCAGCCCAGGCTGCCCAAGCCCAGTGCCTGTGCTCATGAGCTCTCGGCTGGGGACCTGGGACGGCTCACTGCACCGTTTCTCGACCATCAGCTTCTCGGTCTTGGCGGCACAGTCAGGTGTGTGGACGCCAGACCTGAAGGCTAGGAGGAGGGCCGACAAGGATGGGACCCGCACAACCTTCCCAAAGGCAGGGCCAGATGGAGTGGGTGTTTGGGTTTAGAGAAACCCCATTCTCAGGAATAAAAATAAACTTTAAAAATTGAGCGAGAAGGAGATAGCACACGCACCAAGCAGCCACACGGTGCCTCTCCGAGGTGGGGGTGGGGGGGCTAGATCTCAGGAAGTGGGATCGTACATTCGTTAGCCGTGCTGTCTGCTGCCTGACAGCAGCCCTCTAAGGGTCTGTGAACGGGGGCTCCCACCGCTGTCTGCGGGGGAGCAGGAGGGTACAACCGATGAGACTCGCATCTGACTCTATGATCCAGAAAAAAGAACCCCGAGGAACTGAGTGTTCGCTGCCAAGATGGCAGACAGTGTGGCTGCCAGAGCAGGGCACAGAGGCATTAGGAAGTGCTTTGAAAAAGTAAGAAGTGGCTTTTCGTCTTGCTTCTTGGCAAAGCAGATCAGAGGGCTGCACCACTTCCTGCTGGTGGTTTCTCTGTGGCCCTGGGGCCTGCACGTGAGCTGTGCCCGCTGAGGGGAACTGGGCCGGGTGCATAAGATGGGCAGCTAACCCTACAGACAAGCCCTGCCTGGCGGGGGCTTGCCTTAGCTCCCTTCGGCCTCTGACATTCAGCCTCAGTGGCAGCAGAGCTGGCTTCTGCCTGGCCCTCTGACCTCTTTCTCAGAGAACTTTCCATACCTTTCTCGTTTGCCTTCATCCTTGGTGGTTGGGAAGCCCCCCTCCCGTGTCCGTGAGGATGTTGTGCGTGGCCACAGCGGGCATGTCAGGCAGTCCCTCTCCATTCCCCTCCTACCTCAGCCCCTAAGGCCAGGCCTAACCATGATGGTTAGAGGAGGCCATTTGAATATGGAGACCCGAAGCTCTTTACCCAGCACTCAAGCAGCACATTTTACTTTCCTTATTCAGATAGATACTGGAATGGTACTGTTAGCATTAGGGCTGTGTTTCCTATTAAATTTTTTTTAAAAAACCTGGTTTCACCAAGGAACAGTTCATCAGGACATTAGCATAAATCGCCAAGGAGCTTTAACCCAAAACAGCCAAGCAAACAAAACACATGTTCAAGTGCCAGGCTCTCTAAGAGTTGGAGGCACATGCCTCCGGGAGGATTCTGTCAACATGGGTGTGGCTCCGAGGATGGTCAGGAAGAGCTGTTCTCCCTCTGAACTTCTCTTTCTCTCCAAAATCCAGTCCCTAGGGTTGCCTGTCTCTGATAGGACATTAACCCCTATTAAGAGGGCATTTCTTAATATAATTTAAAGAGATAATTATTAATACTGGGTATAGGACAATGCTGTGTATGTATAGAACACTGAAGCCTCAGACATGCATAAGGTATGATCTTATCCTTCAAGGACTTACAGTCTAGTGTGAATGATTAAGACAAGCACACAGTTGAACGTGGTGCCAGGAATAATGGCAGAGTAATCAGCGTCCAGTAAAGTCTTCTGATGTTTAAGGGAAGAAAAGCTCTATTTCTGTTTGGAAGGGAAAGTTGCCCAAAGACGACTAACATGCGAGCTGGACCTAGAAGGGCGAGCCTATTTGTATTGGCAGGAATGGAAGAAGAATCGGGCATCTCCAAGGAGAGGGGACAGCAGGGCAGACGCGTAGAATTGTGAACGACGGGTGACAGGGTTAAGTGGCCCACAGACTAGAGTGTAGCATGTGGGGAGAGTAGTGGAGGTACTCAGTGGAAGCCAGACTGGGGCGGTGTCGTAAAAAGGAGGTGTTTGGGCTGCCCTGTAGAAAAACCGATGTTTGTGGTGGTAGAGGGATGGTCAGGAGGAGGCTGGTGTGATGACCCAGGCAAGAGGTCAGTAGGGCTTTCACAGAAGTAGTGAGGCTGGAAAAAGAGGGACTGAAATGACCAGCATCGCAGAGGTAGATTCTTTACACTAAGGTGATGTGAAGCAAGGAGTAAGGAATGAGCTCACTTCCAGAAGATTAGGAAAATAGCACGGGAGAAGTGATGAATTTAGAATTGGACATGTTAAATGTTAGATGTTGGTTCACCATCCAGGGAAAGATACCTAGTAAACAGCTGGAACTATGGATCTGGAGCTGAAAAGGGCATTTTGGTAATTCTGTATGTAGAGGAGATATGGTTGAAGCCATGAAAATAGATGCTGTTGCCAATTAAGTGGGGAGAGAGAGAAGGTCAAGGACAAAAATGTAGATTGGAGGAGCCACGAAAGGAGTTTGGAGCAGCAGTTCACGTAAGAGAGGAGAGGACCAGGGTGGTACCCTGGGGGGCCCAGGAGCAGAGAGAAAGCGTCCACAGAGTGGACACCATCCGCCAGGTGCGAGGTTCCTGGAGGCCTTGGGAATGACTCTGACGTACGTCTAGGCTTGGGAGCATAGCTCTGTCAGATCACAGAGAAATGGAGGGAAAACAAAGAGGCGCTGTGTTCCAGCCACCACCAGCATGTGGGGTTTTCTCCTAAGGGCATGATCCGCCCATAGGGAGGCTCCTATTTGCTGTTGGACTTAGGGCGGCCAGGCTGGCCCAGGCCCCCCTCAGCACCATCACCAGCTGGCTGGTCCTCGCTGTCACTCAGTGCCCCATCAAAGAAATGACAGCACTGGGAGAAACCTCGGTCTGCTGATCCTGTTTTGCTGTGTCTCCTCAGAGTCTGTCACAGGGAACTGCAGGGAGAGAAGTTCTCCAGGACAAGCAGTGGGGCCGCCAGACCACAGTGGACTTGGGTACCCAGCACGCCCCTCGGTCAGTGAGCACCACCGGCCCCGGGCCCTGCAGAGACACCACACGATCCAGAACAGCGACGATGCTTACGTATGTCCTCAGAAGTGGGATACCAGTCCTAACCTGCACACAGAACTCAGAACTACTCCCCCATTCTTCTCGGCCAGCAGCCAGCGCCCCCCGGGAACTGTGGGGGCATGTCTGTGACCCGCTGTCAGTCCCCACCTCCCACAGAACCCATGGAACCTCTGGTCGAGCAAGGCTGAGGGATCGGAGTAGGTGCTGTCAGCGCCTCTAGCCTCAGTCACTGAACTCCCTAAACCATATAAACTCACGCCCGGGCACATGAGCCCTCAGACGCCTGGTTCATTTCCTGGCAGCCACACTGCACTTCCGCAGACCACGGGAGCTCCTCTGGCTTATTAGCAAAGCTTTGCTTTCCAGGGCACATTCCTAGGGCAGCTCTGTTGGATTCAGTGGCAGCTAGCCACATGTAACTGTTCAAATTCAAATGCATTTAAAATGAAATAAAACTAAAAATTTAGTTTAGACATACTAGTCAGATTTCTAGTACTCAATAGCCGCTTGTGGCTAGTGGCTCTGTCTTGGACGGGGCAGGAACAGAACCTTCCACCCTTGTAAAGTGCACTGTCCTCAGACAGACTCCTCGCAGCACAGGGGCCTGGCCTGGGGAGGCCCGGGAGGTGCCAGGGGCATTTGCCCACCAGCAGTCACCATGCCTCCCCCTCCCCCGCACCGCCTCCATGGTGGGCGCTGGGAGGGCGCCCTCTGCCTAGGCTCTTCTAGAGGGAGGAGCTGTCACTTGCTGAGTGTGGCACATGTCTGGGTTCCTTACTTCTTCTCCTGATTGTTTTCTGCAGGTGCAGCTGGATAACTTGCCAGGAATGAGTCTCGTGGCTGGAAAGGCACTTAGTTCTGCCAGGATGTCAGACGCGGTTCTCAGTCAGGCCTCACTCATGGGAAGCCGGCAGTTCCAGGATGGAGAGGATGAAGGTAAGGGGCCAGACACACAGGGTGCCCCAGAGAGGTTCCCAGACGGGCCCCCACACCCTCTTCACCATGACTGCTCCCCTCTTCTGTGTAAAGCATTCGTGGGAAGCCACAGCATCCCCAAGGGGTTCTGGACACAAATCCCATTCCTCCTCCCCTCCTACCCCATGTGAGTGTGTAAAGGAGACGTGTTCTCGGTGAGTGCAGGCTGTCACATCTCTCTTCGTAATGCTTTGGTGAGATGCTCCTTAATAACTACTTTTCTGGTTCCGATTAGAGCATTGTGACCTAAGGGAATATTTCTGCCTCTTCTTAGAACCAGTAAAGGGAGGGAGGGCATCAGAATAGATAGAAAGCATAGGCCTTGGAACTGCCTGGTCCGCAGCAAGTCCTGGCTCTGCGCTGCGAGACTTCCCCCCCCAGACTTCCCAGGCGAGGGGGGCTCTTCCCTTTCTGAGCCCCAGGGTTGTCCTCTGCAAAGCGGCAGGAGCAATAGGGCCTGTATCTTAGGTTGAGCTGCGTGTGTTAAATGGCTTGGTGAGTTTCAAGTGCTTAAAGCAAGTTCTGGGACAGAGCATGCCAGTAACCAGTGTCTGCTCGCAGTAGAATTGTCTTCTCCCCGAAAAGGAAGGTCTTTCTCAAGGAGCAGGGCTCCATCTGCCCCCACACTACAGTGGTTAAGGTGGTTGATGGGCAGAAACAGGGAATGAAAAGGGGAAATCGCAGCACTTCGGGACCGCAGGGAGAATCCTGGCCCAGCCCACAGTCCCTCAGCACACGGAGGCCTGCTGCGAGCCGGCATTCAGGGCAGGAGGCGGGCAACGCCGGCGCTCTGACTTCTCTTCCTCCCCTCCCCTCTTGCCCACCTACCTGCCAGCTCCCTGCAGATCTCACCTGTCCTTTCTGGTCTTGCAGGGTGTGGGGAGAGTCTGGTGGGTCACGAGCACCCGGGCCTGCCTGATGGGAGCCAGCACGTCGGCTCCTCTTGCTACGCGTCCACATGCATCACAGACATTCTGCTCAGCTACAAGCACCCCGAGGTCTCCTTCAGCATGGAGCAGGCTGGCGTGTAACAGGAGTGCAGAGTGAGTAGCACCCTGGCCAGGCCCCAGCCGGCGCCAGCTCCCGCTGGGAGGTTCCTCTGTGCCACCACCGGCCCGTGAAGTCAACAGCGCGCCTCTTACCCTCGCTGTCCTTGTGTCTTTCTGCTCTGTCGTTAAGCACTGGGCTGGTTGCTTTGGGGTGTAGGTAACCGGCGCGCGGAGGAAATGCTGGCACTGTGCCTTGGTTTAATGATGGGGGATAAGCCACATGTGTTCAGATACCACAGCTTTCATAGAGGCAGTGAGTGAGCCACGGCTTCAGGTCTGGCCAGGGTAATAAGGATAGGAGGCGTCCTGGAAATCGATCCCAAAGGATGACATCCAGCAAGAAAATGTGTCCAGCCGTGTTTTTAAGGCTGTGCTGCAAGTGGTAGACTATTCCAGGCAAGGGGAGCTATGTGATCAGAGGCAAGTGGCAGAAAGCAAACAGACCAGCATGGCTGGAGCGGTGCCTAAATGTACATAGCAGGTTGCTTTGGTTCTGTGACGAGCTCTTAGGCAGGAAGACGTGAAAGTTCAGCCATCCGGCAGACCCACGTCAGGGCCTCTGTGTGGCAGACCCTGTATGCCTGAGGTCAGGGGNGGCGGTCATGTGTTAAAACACCGTTGGAATTGTTTTTCTTCAAAAATCACTCTTCAGCACTGTCCCTCCTGTGTGACACGTAGGTACAGAAAAGGTGGAGGGCTTGAGTGTGCCTGTGTCCCAGCGCTGTCAGAGGAACCCCCTCTCAGCGGGCTTGCGGGTCTTTCTAGTAGCCGTGGTAAGGCACCAGCTAAGGGGGAGCTCGTTCCCAGCCCCAGGGACGGGGTAGGCTCCCAGCAGCGGGTGGCTCTGAGTTGGGTCCTGGTGGATGAAGGCATTTTGCCCTTGGGGTTTGGTGGAGAAGCATCAGGAGAGACTAGTGGGTAAGAGGGCCTCAGGGATGTTCAGGGGGAAAAGCCAAAGCAAGCAGGCGTGGTCGGCTGTGAGTGTGGTGCACAGAAGGAGTCGGCAGAGGCTGAGGGCAGAGGTTTTCTGAAGTCCAGGCCATGATGCAGACCCAGCTGCAACGTGCCACAGGATAGGTGGCACCCTGCCCAGTTCTCCTGGCAGTTTTAAATCGGCACAGTCCTGCCGGTCAGCCTGGCCAGCCCCCTCCTGTGCATCTGAGGCTCCCGCCTCAGGGTCAGGGTCCCTTTGACAGGCCTCTCCTGCCTCTTCCAGAGCTGCTGTGCCCGCCTACCTTCTTACATCCATGGCCATCACCGCCATCGTCCCCTACAAACGTCGCATCCACTTTCTCGAAGAATTGAGCCATAGTATCTCCCTGAAGGCTTCTGCCCTGTCCCTGCCTCGTCACTCGTCTTGGCTGCATCTTACGCCGGAGTCTTCTTTCTCCTTAGATCTTTGTGCCTGGCTGTCAGCGGGAGCTTTTCCGGAGGCTGTCACTGCAGCCCCTGCCTGCCAGTGGGCTGTGGGGGTGATCGTTTTCTCCCTTCCTCCTGCCCAGCTTACCCTAAACTTACTCTTTAATGGAGCCACCGAGTAGGCCTTTTCTGGCTCAAGTGCTGTCCGCTTCTCTTCTCATACCCACTTTGTGACGCTTGGACCACACATACAAATAGCTTTGGCGAGTAAAGCCACAGCTTATTACTGTGTGAATTTAGAACTCAGGGTAGAGAAATGTGGTAGAGACATGAGGAGGGAAGGGTACTGATGGGGAAGCCCACGGATGCTCAAGAGTTCAAAGCCCTGGGGGTGCACGTCACGACTGCGTGTGCACAGCGATGCCGTGTCTTGGGGCGCCCCTGTGGTCCTTACCTTAGATAGCGGGAGCAGGCACTGTGACTGGGGGCCTGACGTGCGACCTCTCTTCTTTTGAGTAATGAGGATATTAAGCTAAATGCTCCCTAAGAGCGGAATTAGTGTTTGTAGTACATCCACCCCATGCCCAATGCTCTCAGCTCAGTGGCTCCCTGTTTTTCACAACCACCCTGGGATCTGTGTGTTATGGCCCCTTTTACAAAAGACACCATAGCTTCACCATCGCTTCCTGCCTTTACTTGACTCCATTCTATTCTTTTGAAAACTTAAGAGCTCACAGTTTCACCTTACCAAGGAATCATCGTTCTGCATCCCGACCACCCTTCAGGCAGAGGAGGGGAATTCAGACTCGTTTATCTCTGGACAGAGGAATGCCTGCGGTTGCCTATAACGGTGCCTCCATCTCTGAGAAGTTACATACCAGTCACAAAACACTCCATATCCATGATAGGCAGATGCAGCAGCACCTGTGCAGTGACTGGGTCGCACGAAGCTAGATTGCTGGTGCTGTGCGGAATGCAGGGGCGAGCAGGTGAAGCGCCTGCCCTCAGTGAGCTTAAACTCTACTGGGGGAAGGACGACCAGCTCACAAACAGCCTTGATGTGCGGCGTGAGGGAGTGAGTGCTACAGAGGTGCAGCCGTGGAGAGGGCTGCTGGGAGGACTTTCTCAAGGCTGGGTGAAGAGGGATCGCTGGTGTTAGCCCAGAAAATTAAATGCCGTCATCAGGGTCCGTGGCCACCTATTTCCTTCATGGCTGTTCGCCACCAGTCAGTATGGGGCCAGGCACTGCCAGAGTACCGGGCAGGCAGTGTGCCCCAGGTCGCCCCAGATGCACAGAGCCTCAGGGCCACGCGTGCCCCGTGCTGCGTCCCACTGCGGAAGTAGAAATAGGGTTTATCTTCCTACTCTAGTATTACACTTACTTTTTTTTTTACTTTGCAAATAAATAAATACAACCAGTTAACATAGTGATATTGCCAACTTGAATCACAAAGAAAAGCACATCCTCTGCTCTGAGCTTTAGCGCTGTTAGTGGACTTCAGGCCCCCTAGAGGGGTAAATTGGTGACAGACTGGGAGAGTTTGCCCCTCAGAACCTTTAAGAGGAATACGTACATGTCACTTATTCTCATTTTCTCTTAAAACTTAGTAAATGTGTAGGGACAAGTAAACATTGAAAGATCAACAGGGAGTTGGGCAATCTGCCCCGAGTTGCCCGGGTGGGTGGGCGGTGTGCACTGGGTCCGTTCGTGCGTGTCCCGCCCGCCTGGCCGGCCGATGGTGCTCCCCTCTGCGCCGTCGAGACCTCCCTTCGCCAAATCCCCAAGAATCCTGCTCTCCCAAGTCCTCCTCCGTTATTTAACTGCCCTTCGGTGAGCCTGACCGTTCCTCCAGCTGCTGAATTGGCATAAAGGATGCCAAATGGTGAGCCTGAATTTCATGTCCCCTGGTCAGTGGGTTGGTCTGCTTGCCACCCACACCCAAGCTGGTCAGCTGGTCTCATCTAGAGAGTGTCACAGATGACTTCTAGATGCACGACTCAGCGTTCTTACCAAACACAATACCTGGACGGGCCTTTAGAGTTTATTAAAGACCCTTTCACATGTGTTGTCTTTTGAGCACCTAAACAACTCATTTTTCAGACAGGGAAACAGATTAGGAGAGGTTAAATGATTTATGCAGGTTCATACTTTCTGTTGGTGGATAGAGCTGGATCCTGACTTCAAGTTTCCTGGTTCCCTGGGCTTGTATTATATCCCTTCCTTTACGCCTCCGTACCTCCCACGCCACACTTTCCAAGCGTAAGGTATCTGCCAAGGGAGACGCCGGCCCTTCCGGGTCTCTGACCTGTGGATTGTGCTGAAGCTTAAAACAGACAGAGCCCTGGTTTGACACCCAACTCCCATTAATACACTTCCTTTTCTTCTAGTTTTTAACTTGCATTGCTTCTCCTAAACCAGCAGCTGCTTCTCTGGAAGTTAAAGTTTCAGGAACTCTTTTGCTCACTCACGTCCGGGGAGGTCATCCCCGTCACTCTGGAGGCAGCGGCCTGCGATGCAGTGTCTCCCGGGCAGCCTGTCACCTGGCTCAGTGGACCCGACCCTCTCAGAAATACTGCCTCCGAGGTGGCTATTAGCGATAGCAGTCTTTGCTGAGCTCTTAGTGTCCCAAGCACTGGTAAGCACTTTACAAGTCCTGTTTTCTGGATAATGAGTGAAGTCAGGCCACCTGCCCGAGCCCCCACTCCTCCAGAACCCTGTAAGGCCAGGACTCCAGCCCAGGCTGCCCAAGCCCAGTGCCTGTGCTCATGAGCTCTCGGCTGGGGACCTGGGACGGCTCACTGCACCGTTTCTCGACCATCAGCTTCTCGGTCTTGGCGGCACAGTCAGGTGTGTGGACGCCAGACCTGAAGGCTAGGAGGAGGGCCGACAAGGATGGGACCCGCACAACCTTCCCAAAGGCAGGGCCAGATGGAGTGGGTGTTTGGGTTTAGAGAAACCCCATTCTCAGGAATAAAAATAAACTTTAAAAATTGAGCGAGAAGGAGATAGCACACGCACCAAGCAGCCACACGGTGCCTCTCCGAGGTGGGGGTGGGGGGGCTAGATCTCAGGAAGTGGGATCGTACATTCGTTAGCCGTGCTGTCTGCTGCCTGACAGCAGCCCTCTAAGGGTCTGTGAACGGGGGCTCCCACCGCTGTCTGCGGGGGAGCAGGAGGGTACAACCGATGAGACTCGCATCTGACTCTATGATCCAGAAAAAAGAACCCCGAGGAACTGAGTGTTCGCTGCCAAGATGGCAGACAGTGTGGCTGCCAGAGCAGGGCACAGAGGCATTAGGAAGTGCTTTGAAAAAGTAAGAAGTGGCTTTTCGTCTTGCTTCTTGGCAAAGCAGATCAGAGGGCTGCACCACTTCCTGCTGGTGGTTTCTCTGTGGCCCTGGGGCCTGCACGTGAGCTGTGCCCGCTGAGGGGAACTGGGCCGGGTGCATAAGATGGGCAGCTAACCCTACAGACAAGCCCTGCCTGGCGGGGGCTTGCCTTAGCTCCCTTCGGCCTCTGACATTCAGCCTCAGTGGCAGCAGAGCTGGCTTCTGCCTGGCCCTCTGACCTCTTTCTCAGAGAACTTTCCATACCTTTCTCGTTTGCCTTCATCCTTGGTGGTTGGGAAGCCCCCCTCCCGTGTCCGTGAGGATGTTGTGCGTGGCCACAGCGGGCATGTCAGGCAGTCCCTCTCCATTCCCCTCCTACCTCAGCCCCTAAGGCCAGGCCTAACCATGATGGTTAGAGGAGGCCATTTGAATATGGAGACCCGAAGCTCTTTACCCAGCACTCAAGCAGCACATTTTACTTTCCTTATTCAGATAGATACTGGAATGGTACTGTTAGCATTAGGGCTGTGTTTCCTATTAAATTTTTTTTAAAAAACCTGGTTTCACCAAGGAACAGTTCATCAGGACATTAGCATAAATCGCCAAGGAGCTTTAACCCAAAACAGCCAAGCAAACAAAACACATGTTCAAGTGCCAGGCTCTCTAAGAGTTGGAGGCACATGCCTCCGGGAGGATTCTGTCAACATGGGTGTGGCTCCGAGGATGGTCAGGAAGAGCTGTTCTCCCTCTGAACTTCTCTTTCTCTCCAAAATCCAGTCCCTAGGGTTGCCTGTCTCTGATAGGACATTAACCCCTATTAAGAGGGCATTTCTTAATATAATTTAAAGAGATAATTATTAATACTGGGTATAGGACAATGCTGTGTATGTATAGAACACTGAAGCCTCAGACATGCATAAGGTATGATCTTATCCTTCAAGGACTTACAGTCTAGTGTGAATGATTAAGACAAGCACACAGTTGAACGTGGTGCCAGGAATAATGGCAGAGTAATCAGCGTCCAGTAAAGTCTTCTGATGTTTAAGGGAAGAAAAGCTCTATTTCTGTTTGGAAGGGAAAGTTGCCCAAAGACGACTAACATGCGAGCTGGACCTAGAAGGGCGAGCCTATTTGTATTGGCAGGAATGGAAGAAGAATCGGGCATCTCCAAGGAGAGGGGACAGCAGGGCAGACGCGTAGAATTGTGAACGACGGGTGACAGGGTTAAGTGGCCCACAGACTAGAGTGTAGCATGTGGGGAGAGTAGTGGAGGTACTCAGTGGAAGCCAGACTGGGGCGGTGTCGTAAAAAGGAGGTGTTTGGGCTGCCCTGTAGAAAAACCGATGTTTGTGGTGGTAGAGGGATGGTCAGGAGGAGGCTGGTGTGATGACCCAGGCAAGAGGTCAGTAGGGCTTTCACAGAAGTAGTGAGGCTGGAAAAAGAGGGACTGAAATGACCAGCATCGCAGAGGTAGATTCTTTACACTAAGGTGATGTGAAGCAAGGAGTAAGGAATGAGCTCACTTCCAGAAGATTAGGAAAATAGCACGGGAGAAGTGATGAATTTAGAATTGGACATGTTAAATGTTAGATGTTGGTTCACCATCCAGGGAAAGATACCTAGTAAACAGCTGGAACTATGGATCTGGAGCTGAAAAGGGCATTTTGGTAATTCTGTATGTAGAGGAGATATGGTTGAAGCCATGAAAATAGATGCTGTTGCCAATTAAGTGGGGAGAGAGAGAAGGTCAAGGACAAAAATGTAGATTGGAGGAGCCACGAAAGGAGTTTGGAGCAGCAGTTCACGTAAGAGAGGAGAGGACCAGGGTGGTACCCTGGGGGGCCCAGGAGCAGAGAGAAAGCGTCCACAGAGTGGACACCATCCGCCAGGTGCGAGGTTCCTGGAGGCCTTGGGAATGACTCTGACGTACGTCTAGGCTTGGGAGCATAGCTCTGTCAGATCACAGAGAAATGGAGGGAAAACAAAGAGGCGCTGTGTTCCAGCCACCACCAGCATGTGGGGTTTTCTCCTAAGGGCATGATCCGCCCATAGGGAGGCTCCTATTTGCTGTTGGACTTAGGGCGGCCAGGCTGGCCCAGGCCCCCCTCAGCACCATCACCAGCTGGCTGGTCCTCGCTGTCACTCAGTGCCCCATCAAAGAAATGACAGCACTGGGAGAAACCTCGGTCTGCTGATCCTGTTTTGCTGTGTCTCCTCAGAGTCTGTCACAGGGAACTGCAGGGAGAGAAGTTCTCCAGGACAAGCAGTGGGGCCGCCAGACCACAGTGGACTTGGGTACCCAGCACGCCCCTCGGTCAGTGAGCACCACCGGCCCCGGGCCCTGCAGAGACACCACACGATCCAGAACAGCGACGATGCTTACGTATGTCCTCAGAAGTGGGATACCAGTCCTAACCTGCACACAGAACTCAGAACTACTCCCCCATTCTTCTCGGCCAGCAGCCAGCGCCCCCCGGGAACTGTGGGGGCATGTCTGTGACCCGCTGTCAGTCCCCACCTCCCACAGAACCCATGGAACCTCTGGTCGAGCAAGGCTGAGGGATCGGAGTAGGTGCTGTCAGCGCCTCTAGCCTCAGTCACTGAACTCCCTAAACCATATAAACTCACGCCCGGGCACATGAGCCCTCAGACGCCTGGTTCATTTCCTGGCAGCCACACTGCACTTCCGCAGACCACGGGAGCTCCTCTGGCTTATTAGCAAAGCTTTGCTTTCCAGGGCACATTCCTAGGGCAGCTCTGTTGGATTCAGTGGCAGCTAGCCACATGTAACTGTTCAAATTCAAATGCATTTAAAATGAAATAAAACTAAAAATTTAGTTTAGACATACTAGTCAGATTTCTAGTACTCAATAGCCGCTTGTGGCTAGTGGCTCTGTCTTGGACGGGGCAGGAACAGAACCTTCCACCCTTGTAAAGTGCACTGTCCTCAGACAGACTCCTCGCAGCACAGGGGCCTGGCCTGGGGAGGCCCGGGAGGTGCCAGGGGCATTTGCCCACCAGCAGTCACCATGCCTCCCCCTCCCCCGCACCGCCTCCATGGTGGGCGCTGGGAGGGCGCCCTCTGCCTAGGCTCTTCTAGAGGGAGGAGCTGTCACTTGCTGAGTGTGGCACATGTCTGGGTTCCTTACTTCTTCTCCTGATTGTTTTCTGCAGGTGCAGCTGGATAACTTGCCAGGAATGAGTCTCGTGGCTGGAAAGGCACTTAGTTCTGCCAGGATGTCAGACGCGGTTCTCAGTCAGGCCTCACTCATGGGAAGCCGGCAGTTCCAGGATGGAGAGGATGAAGGTAAGGGGCCAGACACACAGGGTGCCCCAGAGAGGTTCCCAGACGGGCCCCCACACCCTCTTCACCATGACTGCTCCCCTCTTCTGTGTAAAGCATTCGTGGGAAGCCACAGCATCCCCAAGGGGTTCTGGACACAAATCCCATTCCTCCTCCCCTCCTACCCCATGTGAGTGTGTAAAGGAGACGTGTTCTCGGTGAGTGCAGGCTGTCACATCTCTCTTCGTAATGCTTTGGTGAGATGCTCCTTAATAACTACTTTTCTGGTTCCGATTAGAGCATTGTGACCTAAGGGAATATTTCTGCCTCTTCTTAGAACCAGTAAAGGGAGGGAGGGCATCAGAATAGATAGAAAGCATAGGCCTTGGAACTGCCTGGTCCGCAGCAAGTCCTGGCTCTGCGCTGCGAGACTTCCCCCCCCAGACTTCCCAGGCGAGGGGGGCTCTTCCCTTTCTGAGCCCCAGGGTTGTCCTCTGCAAAGCGGCAGGAGCAATAGGGCCTGTATCTTAGGTTGAGCTGCGTGTGTTAAATGGCTTGGTGAGTTTCAAGTGCTTAAAGCAAGTTCTGGGACAGAGCATGCCAGTAACCAGTGTCTGCTCGCAGTAGAATTGTCTTCTCCCCGAAAAGGAAGGTCTTTCTCAAGGAGCAGGGCTCCATCTGCCCCCACACTACAGTGGTTAAGGTGGTTGATGGGCAGAAACAGGGAATGAAAAGGGGAAATCGCAGCACTTCGGGACCGCAGGGAGAATCCTGGCCCAGCCCACAGTCCCTCAGCACACGGAGGCCTGCTGCGAGCCGGCATTCAGGGCAGGAGGCGGGCAACGCCGGCGCTCTGACTTCTCTTCCTCCCCTCCCCTCTTGCCCACCTACCTGCCAGCTCCCTGCAGATCTCACCTGTCCTTTCTGGTCTTGCAGGGTGTGGGGAGAGTCTGGTGGGTCACGAGCACCCGGGCCTGCCTGATGGGAGCCAGCACGTCGGCTCCTCTTGCTACGCGTCCACATGCATCACAGACATTCTGCTCAGCTACAAGCACCCCGAGGTCTCCTTCAGCATGGAGCAGGCTGGCGTGTAACAGGAGTGCAGAGTGAGTAGCACCCTGGCCAGGCCCCAGCCGGCGCCAGCTCCCGCTGGGAGGTTCCTCTGTGCCACCACCGGCCCGTGAAGTCAACAGCGCGCCTCTTACCCTCGCTGTCCTTGTGTCTTTCTGCTCTGTCGTTAAGCACTGGGCTGGTTGCTTTGGGGTGTAGGTAACCGGCGCGCGGAGGAAATGCTGGCACTGTGCCTTGGTTTAATGATGGGGGATAAGCCACATGTGTTCAGATACCACAGCTTTCATAGAGGCAGTGAGTGAGCCACGGCTTCAGGTCTGGCCAGGGTAATAAGGATAGGAGGCGTCCTGGAAATCGATCCCAAAGGATGACATCCAGCAAGAAAATGTGTCCAGCCGTGTTTTTAAGGCTGTGCTGCAAGTGGTAGACTATTCCAGGCAAGGGGAGCTATGTGATCAGAGGCAAGTGGCAGAAAGCAAACAGACCAGCATGGCTGGAGCGGTGCCTAAATGTACATAGCAGGTTGCTTTGGTTCTGTGACGAGCTCTTAGGCAGGAAGACGTGAAAGTTCAGCCATCCGGCAGACCCACGTCAGGGCCTCTGTGTGGCAGACCCTGTATGCCTGAGGTCAGGGGAGCCGGTTGCAGTTTTTGTTCTCACTTGGCCGTCTGAGTCTTTGCAGACTAACTCTCCCCCACTGCGCTCTGTTGCAGGGCCGTGTGGGAATGAGAAGGCGGGCCTTGCAGCATGGCGCCAGACTGCGCTGCCCTCCACCAGAGTGTCCTGGCCCCTTTCCTCGCCTTTGGCTCGTCAGTGTGCTGTTCTGGGCTCGAGGGGTTTTGCTGTGTTTGCTCATATGACCAAGTCACAAAGGGAAAAATGGGGTGTCCGTGCCGGCCGCCCTCTTGAGAGTGTGGTCGGCATCCAAGCGGTGGTATGTTGGCCTGGGTGTGCTGTTCTGGTTCTGTTGACGGGCGGTGTTTCCCTTGGGAGGTGATTCTCTCTCTCTCTCTCTCTCTCTCTCTCTCTCTCTCTCTCTCTCTCTCTCTCTCTCTCCCTCCCTCCCTCCCTCTCCCATCTTTCTTTTTTTGAAACAGATGAGCAAAGCAGTTAGACTTCCGAGGCCCGAGGCCCAGGAAGCCAGAGCCGTGTGCCGCCTCAGCCCCCCGCCCCCCGGCACAGCGCCCCGCCTTCCTCTGCGCTGCTCTCCCCCAGGGGCACGTTCTCAGGGGCAGCACCCTCTGGGACCTTAGAGGCTAGGGAAGGGGAGAGCGGCAGGGGTGATGGCCCTGGCACTCGGAGAGCAAAAACTGAGCATGGGAGACCCCAAGCCTGGGACCAGGGGAGGTCTTCACTGCCGGGATCCGCTGAAAAGCATGTCGAGCCCAGCCGAGGTCACATCAGCATGTCAGCGTGGAGGCTGAGCACGGCCGGCTAGACTGTCTCGTTGGGAGCCTTCTCTTCGGTGTCTAACTGGGCCCCCACCCCCCTTGTCACCTGGAAAGACGCCTTTACCGTCGTGCCAGTCCTACCCACGGACAGAACGCCCCCCGGCGCACTCCGCTGTCCCCTTTCATCCCTCCTCCCGCATTTTGCTGTCGAGAGGATTGTCCTTGCGGCCCAGGCCCTGCTTTCCCTTTTCGGCCTCCGTATCCCAGGCGGGAAGAGCGGGAGGTTGTCTTGGGCCCCTGCCTGCCTGCCCTCACCTCTTCCTCCTCCCTGGGCATCCTCAGCCCCTGTTTTAATTCTTGATCATGTAGGAATTGTTTTTGGTAAATGTTGATATATTGTTATTATTATTATTGTTAATATTATTAATAAATGAAAACAAAAGGAGTTTTGTTTAAAAGAGAAACGTTTAACCAGATTCTGTTCTATTGGGATTGTGACTTGCACCTTTTGTTCGAAGTATTTTATTTAGACATGGTAATTGTAAACGTTCTGACTTGTGCCAGTGACAGACGGCGTGGGCGCCTCCCCAGCTGAAGCAGTGCACACGCTCTGGCTCGTTGGTGTCCTTCCCGTTACTTCTTTCACTGTTAGAAACCAAAGTCTTCTCCGCTGGCTTGGGGCTGCCAGGACCTGGGCATCTCCTCCGAGCTTCAAAAAAAGAAAGAGACGTTAAATATTGTGACTCTTGATCCCTTTATCTGGGAAGGGAGAGTAGAAGGTCCCCAGGCCCCTCCTAGCCTCTTGTCCTGAATCCACAGAGGAAAGCAGGTGCCCAGCATGGCCGTCCTGGGCGCTGCTCCCAGGAGCCCCCCGCAGCCCGTCCTTCTCGCTGACACAGCAGCTCAGCCCCTGCACCAGTATCCCGAGTGGATTTCTGCAATGCAAGAGCCTTTCTCGGGGTCTGGCCCATGTTCCCATGGTCCCCGGTCTCCCCCCTCGCTTGGTGGGCCACCAGCTACTCCCCAGGAGGCGGCTGCTGTTTGACTCCTCTGGACCTGTTCGAACCCTGACACCCCCACCGCCTCGCCCCCACGCACGCCTGGCCTGTTGTGTTTACATGGCACTGTACGACGGGAGAGCCGAGAGAGCCGACTGCCGTGGCCAGCAGCCGCCAGATGGCAGCCAGCGAGCCTCCTGACCGTGCCATCTTGAGAACTACACTTTGAAAAAAACCATTGCTTCGTATTGTAGTAGCCAACGTGCGCAGTGTATGTTGAATGTATATGAATATACTTTCCTATTTCTGTTCTTTGAAAGTGTCAGAAGTATTTTTCTTTCTCATTTATGTTGAACTAAAAAAGAATTAAAAAATCTCCAGACCCAGTTGCAGTGAGACCTTTAGTCCTTTTTTTGGTTGGGCACTCACAGCTCAGGGATCTAATCGGACAACAGGGGACCGTCAAGGTACACACCTGATCACGATCCCTTGTTGGTACATTATTTGCCTTGCGGTTCAGAGTCTGGTTGGGAGAAGCATCCGGGGGCTGGGAGCTGGGACGCTGGTGGCTGGAGTGGCCACCAGTGTCGGGTGGGGCTCTGAGCCACCCATTATCTCAGCCCACCTTGAGAAGCTAGCATTCTCTGGGAGCCTGCGTCCCCAGGCACCCAGTTGGACTCTGCCCCCTCAGAAGGGGACAACCAGGTTTGCTGAGTTGGATGGAAAACAGGTTCCTTGAAAGGGTGTTTCTGGAGTAATAGGAGGTACTCAGAGACTAGGGCCTAATGCCCGGGGCCTTTACCAGGCGACTCCAGTCAGCCCAGTGGTGTCTGGGTAAGTGTTAGCAGAGAGAGGGCGCTTTTCCTATAGCTCTGTTTCCCGACTCCCAGCCTCCAAAGCGGCCTCCAAAGGGTAGGGCGGAATTTCCAGCAAGGCCCCAGGTGTGGCTTAGAGATAGCTGATGGAAAGGTCTTCGATGAAGAAAGATTACTGAAGCTGGAAATACTGTGTTTGCAGAAAGAAGAGTGTGAGGAAGGAACTTACAAAAGCTTTTAAGACCACAGTGGACTAGAAAGTCGCTGTGGGTCTGCTGAGAACAGAAAAGAGTCTTCTCAACAAGGAAGGGTCTTCTAGAAATCTGAGTGCACATACTCCCATGGAAGGCTGGGTAAGTGTCTCTGGAACCAAACAGCGATATAACCAGATGCCTTCCAACAACTTGTAAAAGCCTTTTGCAATAGCTGCCACTCCCTCCTGACATCAGCCAGGGTGCCTTTGGGCCAGCGGAGGGTTGAGCTTCGAGAGCTCGGAGGGCGCCACCACCTGGATACAGACGCAAGCTCTGAGCTCTAGAGTAGAGAAGCCGTGCCTGCGGAGCCTGCCTCCATTTCCCTGACTTGGTGCTAGCCCTGCACTCCAGCTGGAAAGACTGAAGTCCAGAAGGCTGGGAGGCCTCCCGGGGAGCCAGGCCTCTGCCTGTGCCTTCATGGATGACCCCTGTCTTCACCCTGGTCTCCCAAGCAGGAACGCTGGAGAGAATTGTGCATTATGCCGCTTACAATGCCCTGCCCTAGGGTCTGAACTGGAGCTCCGTCTGTCACCAGGAGCTGCAACAAAACTGCCAGATAAGAGAGATAATGGGAGTGCCCCTCTCCCCTGCTCAGTCTGAACCATTCCAACCCCAAGTCTCCCGTCCCGACCCACACCACGTGCTCTCGGATGAAATGTTCTTGGCAGGGCCTGGGTTAGCCAAGGGCTCTGGAGTTCTGTCGCCTCCCGAGGCTCGCTCCTTCAGATGGCCCTCTGCTGTCCTGGCAGCCCTCCGTTTAGCATTCCAGTACCATTCACGGAACAAATCGTTTGAGTGTCGGTTATGTGCCAGGCCTAGCAGGGGATGGAGTTCTGCTGCTGACCAACCAGCATGGTATTGAGACGAATTGTGAAACGAGTCTAACCATTCTGAGCAAAGCCCCTCCTGTAGTCAGGTAGCGGCATTCCCACTGGCGACCCACTCCAGAAACAGGCACTGTGGAGGCCCCCGAGATCAGGGAGAGGGTGTTGGGACCAAGCCTACAGCCAGTCGGCTCCATGGGCACCCGACGCCTCTAACAGTGACTGGCCAGACCCTGAGTCTGATTCTGATGTGTGCCCGGTCGGTTGGTGGTAGTTTTTCCATGGGTCTCTGTCCAGAAAGACCCTTTCTCTCCAAAATACTAATAACAAGACCAGGGGCTTGGGCTAGGTTAAGCCAAATATCTTACACTGAAGCTGGCAGGCCAGTGAACAGGCATATTTCAACCTTCCTGCTGATGTCGCCAAACAGCACTCCCTGGCCCTGATACCTCAAAATCCCGAGCCAGCACCCTGAGGTGTCACTAAGCAGAGCCCAGGGTGCTGCCGGTGGCCAACAGGCAACTGTCAGACCTAGGAGCCCGTCTCCTGACTCCCAGTCCTGCCACTAGTCCAGCCAGTACTAAATACTGACGGCTGAAGGACGCAGAGGGTGCTTAGCAGCTCTGAGCGGCAGTCTTCCCACAGGTGGCACAGGAAGGCCTGGCTGCCAGCCTCACGGGGAGACACGATTCCACCGTGCAGGTGCCTCGGCCACCAACACACTATGCAAATGCTGGACGTGAGGCTTAGCCATGAGTCACTTCAGTCACAAACCACAGAGAAGAGCGAGCTAGTGGCAAGAGGCTTGGAGTCCAGCCAGCAAGCTTGTGAGAACCCCCAGGTGCTGGCTGGGCAAGTGTTATTGCCCAAAAGAAAGGACCCTCCTTTGGCCTGGGACCCCATGAGCTGCCCCAGCAGGCGCCCAGCTGCGGCCACTCTGAACAACAGGCAGGCTGCTCACTGAGGCTCCCCCTCTCCACACAGCCCGACGCACCTGGAGCTGGGCCTGTCCCGGAATGGCCTGCATGCCACAGCATCTGCCCAGCAGGCCCCGCAGAGGAAGAGGGATGCCCTGCCCTCCCCCACTTCCGCCTCCAGAAGCCGAGGTCTTAGCTTGGGTCTGGCAACACAGGTGTGTTTGGTGGAGCACAAGGGGACAGAAGGCCGGGGACTGGGATGGGGGCGACAGGGCAGTCACTGTTTACTCAGCGCCAGGCACCTTGCAGGTTTGCCATACGTGTTCCTATTTAGTGCTTACAACCACACAAATGTATTATCTTGGTACAGTTCTAGAGGTTAAAAGTCCGAGATGTCACAGGGACTAAAACTGTGTCTCAAGAGCGGTGCTCCTGGAGGCTCCAGGGAAAGTCCGCCACTCCGCCTCTCCCAGCTCCTAGAAGCACCGCATGCCTTGGCCCATGGCCCCCTTCTGGCCCTCACTTCACTCTGACCTCTGCCTGTCCTGCCTCCTCCTCGTATATCTAAGGACCCCTCTGATGACACTGGCCCACCTGGAAAATCCAGGAAAATCACCCCATGTCAAGGTCCTTAAGATCACATCTGTAAAGACCCCTCTGTAAGAGTCACAGGTGAGGGAAACAGGGATGAGGACATGGACAGCTCGGGGGGACCAGACCCTGCCTGCCATGCATGTGATCCCCTACGAGGTGGTAGGTTCCCTCATTATCTTCACTCACCAGATAGGGAACCGAGCTGTGGGGCAGGCGGTTCAGTAACTTGCCCAGGGTCACACAGCTAATGAGTGGCAGAGCTGGGACTCAGACCTATCCAGCCACAAAGCCCTTTTATTTGAGGTGAAGGGCAGAGACAGACTTCAGTGGGAGAGGCCTGGGGCCCCACCGATCTCCAGGACTGGCAGGCAGCAGCACCGGGCTGGTTTTAGGGCGCTAGGGCGTTTCCTGGGTAGGTGGTGAGGGTCCACTTCTGCGCCACGTCTAAAGTCTAGAGGTGGGGTTCTAAGTCCAGCCCTGCCTGTAACTTGCTGCAGCACCAGAGACACTGGGCAAATTCCTTCCACTTTCCCCACCTTCCGCACCTGTAACCCTATCAGCCTGGACATTCACAGGTTCTGTGACTCAGGTCCCTCCCCGGTCAGCACTTACATTTACAGGATGTCATGGGGCCTTCCTGCAGCCCCTGCCTGTCTGGTCTCCTTGTGACTGACAGGAAACCGAGGCTCAGAGACCTTACATAGCCGGCCCACAAGCCTCTTCCAGGATTTTGCGAGTTGGAGGCAAAATGAAATGAGAAACCGGGTTTCCTGCCACCTCCTAGTCCGGAGGCCGTGCCCCCACCCCAGTGACCCCTCAGGGCCAGTACCTATTCTCACCTGTGTGCCATCAAATATTGGCACAGTTCTAGAGGGCAACACAAAATCTACATATCCAATTTAAGTGACTCATTTATTCTGAGAGATGCCCTATTGTGGCATTAAAACATCCTTTTTAAAGTGTGGGTCATGGTAGATGGTAGAGATTGGGGGACAGTGGTAATACTTTTACATGACAAATTAAAAGTTGGCAACTCTGGGTTGGTCCCTAGAGTTTGTTTTGAAATGTTAGCAGTCTCTGAAACTTGAAGTCTGGGAGCCACTGGGCACCCCCCACCAGGAAGCTCCCAGCCCCACAGGCGCCTTTCTTCCGCCTTTGTTGGAGAGGGGAAGGGCGGGTGTGAAGTAATCTCCTTGGAATGCGAGGGGACAGTGGGGCGGGACATCTCCTGGGTGGAGGGGTCCTGGCTGTCACTGGCCGGCTTGCATCTCTTGCTCCCTTCTGTCCTCTCCCTGGCTGCCCTGGCCCAGTTGGCACAATGGACAATGGTAGGCACGCATCCCCCAGGAGGAGGAGAGGATGATGCAGCTGACCCCAGCCCGGGGGACAGGCCTGCAGCCACCCCCCGACCCCCGCCTGATCCCTTGACCCCTGGCCCCGCAGCCCCCGCAGCCTCCTGTTTGCCCGCTCTGTTTGTCCACCCCAGGGACAGAGCTGATCCTTGAACTCTTAAGTTCCACATCGCCAGGGCCAGTGGACAGCGGCAAGGCCTGGGCTGGGCTTATCAGCCTCCCCGCCCAGCCCCTGCCTGGAGCCATAAATAGGCCAGGGAGCTCTGGCTGCCCAGCCTGCTGGAGACTCGAGGTAAGCGCTCCCCCCACCCTGCAAGCATGCGGTGCTCGGCCTCCGGTACCGGCTCCGGGCTGCGCCCCTTGCTGGGCTCTGGACACCGAGGCCCTTGCCCTCTCTGTGCCCCGCCGCCGCCTCCCCTGACTAGAACGAGGGAGGCGCGGGCCCGAGGCCCACCCCACTCAGCCAGGCCCCTCTTCTGCAGGCCGTCCTTGCCCCTTCAGGATGAAGACCGTGGTGCTGACCCTGGCCGTGCTCTTCCTCACGGGTAGGTGGCTGCCGGGCCTCTGGGGGTCCTCCTCCCTAGGCCGCTGTGACCCACCCTCCTGGGCACAGGGACCAGACTGCCTGCTCGGCCCCTCTGCCTACCCTCTGCCTGCCATTTCAGCCCAGAGCCAGCCTGACCTGGGTCTGCCCTCCCACCCCCAGGGAGCCAGGCTCGGCACTTCTGGCAGCACGATGAACCCCGGTCATCCTGGGATCAAGTGAAGGATTTAGCCACCGTGTATGTGGACGCAATCAAGGACGGCGGCAGAGAATATGTGGCCCAGTTTGAAGCCTCTGCCTTGGGAAAACAGCTAAAGTAAGGGCCCAGCCTGGGGCTTCGTGCAGGGGCTGCCGGTCCTTGGGGGGGGCAGAGAGGCCTGTAGGAAGAAGCCAGACTGGCCGAATTCCTAGGAAGGCCTGGATGGAAAACAGAAATGGGATCCCCAAGCAGGGTCTCAGCCGCCAACCCGGGACAGATGCGGCTGCCCAGTCAGGAACCGCAGCTCCGATGCCTGCGAGTGCACCCAGCTACTGCCCATTCTGCCACCTCCTCTGCTCCTGTCCAGCCACCAGGACAGCTGCCTCAGAGAGGGGAATGGGCCGGAAGCATAGGGACAAGGTCCCTAAGGTCCCTAAAAGGCCCAGCTTTGGGGACGAATGAGGTGGCACCAAATGCAGTGCATGTCTCTCTTGCTCCTGGGATGCGGTGGTGGACGGGGCGCTGGGGGGGAGGGGGGCCGAGGGGTGGGGCGCTGGGCCTGCAGCTCCAGGGTGTCCGGGGCGCCTGGGAGGCCAGCCCCGAACCCCTTCCTCTCTCCCCCCTGCAGCCTGAAACTCCTGGACAACTGGGACAGCTTGAGCAGCACGCTCAACAAGGTGCGTGAACAGATAGGCCCGGTGACCCAGGAGTTCTGGGTAAAACTGGAGAAGGAGTTGGAGGAGCTGAAGCAGGAGCTGGACAAGGACCTGGAGGAGGTGAGGCAGAAGGTGCAGCCCTACCTAGACGACTTCGAGAAGAAGTGGCAGGAGGAGGTGGAGATCTACCGGCAGAAGGTGGCGCCGCTGGGCGAGGAGCTGCGCGAGGGCGCGCGCCAGAAGCTGATAGAGGTGCACGAGAAGCTGAAGCCCGTGGGCGAGGAGCTGCGCGACCGCGTGCGCGCCCACGTGGACACCCTGCGCACGCAGCTGGCACCCTACAGCGACACGATGCGGGAGCGCCTGGCCGAGCGGCTGCAGGCGCTCAAGGAGGACGGCGGCGCCAGCCTGGCCGAGTACCACGCCAAGGCCACGGAGCACCTGACGGCGCTCAGCGAGAAGGCCAAGCCCGCGCTGGAGGACCTGCGCCAGGGCCTGCTGCCCGTGCTGGAGAGCCTCAAGGTGGGCTTCCTGCACGCGCTGGACGAGGCCTCCAAGCAGCTGACCGCCCAGTGAGGCGCCCGCGCGCGCCCCGGGACCCAGGGGCCCACTCCGCCGGCTCCCCCTTTCGACCCCTGGTTTCGTAGAATAAACCTTTCCAAAGCGGGGTGCATGTGTTGGGTTGTATGTTTTTGAAAGCTTCGGTTTTCATTTTTTAGAGAATGAATAGTCCTCCAAACCCTGTAAATTCTCTGCTGGGAGAGTGGCAGCAGGGTGCGGGCCAGGGGAGGGGGCGCCCAGGCCAGGGTGCGGGGACCGCCCCGCTGACTTGCCAGCAGCGTGCCGACTCTGACCCTGGGCCTCTCGGGGCCTCGACTGATGGGGAGGGCCTGTCAGACGGGCTTACGAGTGAGGCACTGGAGTCCCTTTCCCTGAGGAAGGGCCAACAGCAAAGAAACCAAGGACCAGGCAAAGCAACAGATGATCCAAAGCAAGGTGGCTGGTGACGGTCAGACAAGGACTGCAGCCCAGTCTGAGGAGGGCGGCTGTGCTGGGAGACGGGGTCTCTGTCCCCAGAAGTGGTCACCGGGCCGAGGACAGGAGCCTCCCCCAGCCCTCTGGCTCTTGACCGGCCGGCGTGAGCCTCGAGGAGCCGCTGGCACCGGAAGGAGTTGGGCAGGTTCAAACGAGGAGCTTGGCGCTTGCCCCTTCCTCCTTTATTATAACAGAAACGCTTCAGCACTTCCCTCCTTTCCTCACAAGGGCAGCACGCCTCTTCCCACACGGCCCCTTCCACCCGCCCACCACCCCAGGGCTCCAAGCCCTGCCACCCCCTCTTTCCGCCAGCTCCTAGCTCTGGTTGGAGTCAGAGAAATAGTCGCTACCTCTTGCAGGTAAACTAGCACACTTTTATTTCCACGATGCTTTCACATGCATCATCCCACGGATCCTTCCCCAGATCCTCAGACTGCCACGAAAGCCAGGCATGGATGAGGAAGCCGAAGTGAGGATGCCAAGTTGCTTGCCCAGGTTCAAGAGCAGGATGGGCCAGGTAGCTCTTTTTAGACCCATCTGCCACTAGGCATCCATGATTTTTAAAAACTGTGAGGCCAGGCACTCAGCTTCCTATGGGTGTGCACACCCCCTCCTCACTCAGGTACGCAACACCCCCACGTGCGTGCACGTGGCTTCAAGATCCCCAGGGCGGCGCAATGTGTTCCCAGAGCCTTCCTGCCTCTGCAGTGACTTTGGCCCCTGGGGCCAACCTCCAGATAAGCCACCCCTCCTGCATCACCTGCGCCTCAACAACTCTTGGATAAAGGAGCAGGCTTTTCAGCTCCTAACCATTGGGAGCTACAGCAAACAGGGGTCAAGCCCAGATCGGGCAAGAACACTTTCCAGGTGTGGATGCTGGGATCCCCGGCCCAGCTGGGCCAGAAGAGAAACCCAGGTGGATTTCCAGAGAGGGAGCACGCGTCTCCAGGTGGGGCTGGGTGCAGTAAAGCCGCCACGTCTGCCAAGGAGCCCTCTGCTGTGCCTGGCATGAAGCTGGTTTCTGTGTCAGCTGAGCAGAATACCGGCTGCTGACTTGGGCTTGAGGTCCAGCTCTGCCATTTGCTGACCCTGTGACACTGGGCAGATGCTTTCACCTTTCTGAGCCTCTGTTTTTTCACTGGAAGAGTGGGGGTCTACTCAAGTAGTCTGTGGTTCTGGAACTTTGACGTGAGCATCTGTTGGGTGGTGGGGACACAAGGGGAGCAGCCTCTGTTGGGTGACCTTGGGTTCCTTCTTTTTTCCCAGGACACTGATCCCCTACTCCAATCCTTGTCCCAAAGGGACAATCTGCTCAGCCGATAGCAACAGTGACACCCACTCACCAGGCACCTTTGGTGTGCCAGGTGCTGTGTGCCATCTCATTTCATTCATTCATTCAACAAAGCTGCAATGGTGGGGGGATTGTTGTGCCAACTTTACAGATAAGAAACTGAGGCTGGTATTAAGTGATGGGGTGGGGAGGGGGGAGTCAAGCCCAGAGCCCAGTTGTATCTTATTCCAGAATTACCCCATCAGCCTCCTTCCCTCAAGGGTGGTGGGAGGGTCAGGCGGCCTCGGTAGTGCAAGTCACACACACAGTCTCAACTCCGATAAAATGCCAGGCACAGTGCCCGCCACAGAGCACATGGTCAAGTCAGATTGCACAGCTTTTGATAGTTTATCCAAGTAATATTGTCAACCTATTATCCTGTTTGCTCTTCCACACAAACCTGACAAGGCAGGTGGGGCAGGTGAGGTTATTCTACCCTCCAGGTGAAGAGACTCAGACCCAGGCATCACCCAGACGCTAACCACAGGCTAGGGCTCGGCCGCAGGCTTGCCCCAGTCAGAGTCAGTCCAGTGCCCACCCACAGGACAGCTACGGCCCACTGCTGTGCACAGACATGCATGGCATGTGCCAGATGTCCCACTCAGGGCAGCTTCTCATGCAGCTTTATTGGGAGGACAGCATGCCCGGGGCTGGGCTGGGTCTGGGGCAGGGTGGGGGGGCACTGAGAACGCTGTCCCTTTGAAACGGACTTGGGGGCAGCTCTAGGGGCTGCAGGGCGGCTGGGCAGGCGGGCTTGTGGGGTGGAGGTCTTAGGCAGCCTCAGAGGCTGGGGCTGGTGAGGCCTCAGTCGGATCCCAGAACCCCGAGAACTTGTCCGTAATGGCGCCCCAGTAGTCCTTCAGGGAGCTGAAGCTGTCGCTCATCCATCCCCTGGAGTGACATCAGGAGGGGAAGGCGGGGAAGGTGGGTGGGAGCTTGCTGTGGGGGCAGCAGTCCTGGGCCACCATATCCCGCTGCCCTACCACCACCCCTACCTCGCCCAGCAAGGCCCCGAGACCTGGGGCAGGAACCCCTTGCAGCCACCACCCCAGGCCAGAGAGACGCCGAAGGCACTGATGGGACCCTCGCCCAAGAGCAGCCTGTGTCCCTCCCAGCCTGGGGCAGGCTGAGGAGCAGTGACTGAGTGTGGGGCCAGGGCCTTCGGTCTGTTCTAGGCAGATCTCTCTCGACGCCTGGGAGTCCTACAACCTGGTGGCTCTGAGTGGGTGGGTGGGGCAGAAGGAAGCAGCCTCCCATTTGGAAACTCATTGGAGGATTGAAGCTGTGTGATCTGGGGCAGGTCACTTAACCTCTGGGAGCCTCAATTTTCTTCTGCAAAATGGGGAAAATAAAGCCTATTCCACGGCAGCGCCTGAGGACCAAGAATATTTGTGAATGCCTCTGAAGGGTAAGTGCCAGGCGAGGATGTGGTGGCCGGGATGGGGAAGGGGGGTGGGGAGAGGCGAAGCTCTCGGGGCAGAAACACACACACCCCAGGCCAAAAGTGGGCGAGCGGAGCCTCCCCAGCTTAATCCCTAGCCAGAGATCAGGGGGCTGTGGGAGAGGAGGCTAAAAGGGGCTTCCTTAGGGCCACGGCCACCTTGGGGGGAAAAGAGGGACGGCAGTGCGGATGGAGAAGAGGCTGGGGTGGGAGGGACGCAGCCCGCCGGTGCCGCTCCAGGGAAGGCCTGTGTGGGAACCCCGTTTCCAGAGCGGACGCGGAGGCTGCGGGGGCACGGGCCCTGGGCGCCCAGGCAGGGGCTGTGAAAGCTGAGGGAGCCGGCGCCAGGTGGGCGGGGAAGGGAGGGCGTACCTGGCCTGCTGGGCCACCTGGGACTCCTTCACACTGCTCAGCGCGTCCTTGGCTGTTTGGGTGGCGTGTTGCATGTAGTCCTGCATGTAGCCCAGAAGGGAGGCGTCTTCAGCCTCCGAAACTCCTGTGAAGAGAGCAGAGCTGAGTGGGTGGATCAACCCTGGGGGGCTCTTGGGTCCTGCCCAGCCATCGATCAGGGCGGGGATCCCTGAGGCTCCCCTTACGGGTCCGCAGGCAGACGGCTGTCCCTAGCCCAGTCCCCACAGGCTGCTTACGGGCAGAGGCCAGGAGCACCAGGAGGGCAGCAGCAAGGAGGACCCGAGGCTGCATGGCACCTTCGTTCCTGCAGGGGAGGGTCCAGTGAGGGCGACCCCAGGCCCCAAGCCCCCTGCCCTCTGCAGAGGTGGTGTGGCCTCTGAGCTGGGTCGAACCAGGAGGAGAAAGGACATGCCCCCTCGCTAACATGGGGAGAGAGGGGCTCCCAGACAGGGGGCTCCAGGTGCGGCAAGAGGGGGGACGGGATGGGCAGAAACCCCAGCAGACTAGGAACTACAACGCACAGGTTCTGGCCTGGTTTCAGCCACTAACACGCTGTGTGACTTGGGGTAGATTCCTGCGCGCCAGGCCTCAGGGTTTCTGTCTGTGGTTGGATGGGTGTCTAAGGCTTCTTCTAGTCCTAACAGGCGCAGAATGAGGGGAAAGCATGCAGATTTGGAGCCACCTCCAGCCCCAGCTCTGCCACTGCACTCTGTAGCTTCAGGCAATGACCTGCCCCGTGGGCCTCGGTTTCCCCCAGGGTGCCATCGGAGCTGGGAGGCTGCTCGTTAAGCCCTAAAGCCTGCTTGGCTCTAGCAGCTCCCCTCCAGGCTTTACGGCAGGGCTGGGCCGGGACCCTCCCCTGCGACCCCTCCCCTGCCCTTCTCCATCCCTCTCTCCTCCCCCCAACTCCCCAGGGTACGTTACCTGGAGCAGCAGCTTCTTGGGATGAACTGAGCGGGTAGGCAAGAGGGTTCTGACCTGTTTTATATTGTCCCCAGGGCAGCGGGCACCGAGGGCCCAGTGAGCCGGGCAAAGGTCACCTATTGATCAGTCTAGACCAGGGCTTGAGGCAGGGTGGCCAGATCAGCCAGGCCTGCCGGGAGAGTTGGGAAATCTCTAAGAGGCTTCAGGTGCCCACATGCTCTCCTGCCACCCCTAGAGCCCAGAGGGGCTCAGGAACTGGAGAGACCCCATTTCTTTTGAGCAGCCTGGCTCCCCAGGATGAGGCTGGTGAGATGGGGCAGGGGGTTAGGGGAGGCCTCTGGCCTTCAGGGCCCTCCCTCCCGGCTCCCAGGCCCTGAAAACAGCCTGGATGGGGTGGAAGGCGGGGTGGAAGGTGGGGTGGGGTGAGAGGCAGATGGGCTTCTTCAGCTTGGGAACTCCCCAGGGGCTTGGGATGGGGGTGTCCTGACTGAGGTCACTGGCGGCCTGTGGGCAGAGGCCTGTGACGAAGGGGTGGCACAGGTGCGTTGACACAGCCCCCCTCCTAGCATCGCCATCCCTGGGCTCCGATCCAGGGTGCCGCTTACTCAGGAGCCTCCCCAAGCTGAGCCCAGGGCAGAGGTTGGTAGTAGAAGGGCAGAGGCCATTCCGAGCCCAAGGCCTTTGTCCTACCCCTTGTACCCTTGCCCTCTGGACCCACTGATAACGTTGCCTGTGGCAGGAGCTGCGGCCCCCCCCCAAACCGTAGCTGGGATTGGGTCCCAGCCCAGAGCACCTCTCCCTCTGGCCTCAGGGTCCTTGGCATGCAGGCAGCAGCCCTCATGGCCGCTGGCTGGGCAGCAGCGGGGAGGAGCCGCGGCTGTGGGGAGGCCAGTCTGGGGGGCGAGGGCACACAGGGTGCAGGGGCAGCTGGCTGCCCAGGAGAGGCCTGGCCCCTTTTTGGGGTGCACTGTTCCCTGGGCCTACAATGGGCACCAGAGCCTGAATGGCAGGATCAGGGGACTGTCTTTAGGACTCCCGAGAAACCCTAGGTTTAAATGATGGCTTTGGCACTTGCTCATGTGACCCAGGGCCTGAGAGCTCACATCTGAGAGACTCAATTTTCTCCTCTGTAAAATGGGTAGGATACCAATGCACCGGAGTTGTGGTGAAAAGCAAATGAGTTAAGTACAAAGTGGTGGTCCATGGAGGGGCTCGACACATCCTTCTCCCTCCCCACAAACACCTCGTCCTTCCCTGGACAGCACGACCAGATGGCAGGAGGAGACTCCAATGTAGAAACTGGACTTTTGGCAGGCAGCCATCCCTCAGGAAGGAGCAGCCAACCCTACAGTGTGAAATCAGGGGCCTGAGAACGTGGTCTGGCCCTCCTCTCAGAATTCTTCATCCCTAGCTGAGACTTGAAATTTCTTTATTAGAGATTCATTCCTTTGACTTACAACTTTTATTCTGTTAAAATGCAAATAGTAAGATTCCTGGGAAGTAGATATTAATAACCCCATTTTACAAAGAAACCTAAGGCTCGCAGGGGTAGAGACGTACCCAAGGGCACACAGCCCATCAGTGGTTGCTGGGAGCCAGAATCCAGACTTTCAAACACCTACACTGGTGCCACAGAGCTGAGAGATGAGACCCTCGGAAATGTATCCGTCACTCACACCTCAGAGTAAACCAGTTTCCCATCTCTTCCTGAGCACAGACTTTGGGGATGGGTGGGGGAGGGAAGGAAGGTTATCAGGAGGTCACTGGAGGATTTGAGCATTTGGGAAGGTGGCGAGCAACCGTGCCCACCTCCCCCTTTGGTCCCAGCCTGTTCTCAGCCCAGAGGTGATGTCGCAGTGGGAGTCCCGGGCATGCTGTGAGGCCTGGCCTTTCTCCCAAAGGGCTTGGCCCATCTGAGGGCCTGAACCCCTCCTGGCGGCCCCAGCTGGGGCTCTGCAGGGACTGTCTTGGCCGGGACCCTCCCGGCGGCCGGCCTAAGCCGCCTCCCCTCCCTTATTCTCCTTCTTCCTACCACGGCTTCCCTGGCCTGAGGGCCCTGCTCTGGGCTCTGACTGCAGGCCGACTCTAAGGAGGGTCCAGTGGTGGGTGGGGAGGACGGAGAGGAGACCTGGCCACTGAGGCTGGGACTCTGGGGTTGGGCTGGCTCTGCTACCTGTGTCTGAGTGAGGCTCAGGGCATGAGCCTCGGGGATCCCCACTGCTGCACGAGGCGGGTGGGTGGCCCTGACTGGGTTCACCGGGCCTCTTCACTCTGGCGGTTCCTCCTACTGTCTCACTCAGATCCGGCCTCTTACAGCAGGAGCTGCCCCCCTGTAGTTCCGACCTGGGAGGGGGCCAGTTGGGAGTATATGTGGGGACACGTGTCCCTGTGACTTGCCTGTCCCTGTCTAGTCCTGAGCTCTCCCCTCCTGACTCTGAGCTCTGGGCTGGCCCCTGGCTTGATCCCCATGGGTGGACAGGAGAGCAGCTGTAGGTAATGCAGGGCTACCAGCCTCACTGCCTTGTTGACCATCAGGTCTGGCAGCAGGACAGACAAGGAGACTGAGGCTCAGGGAGGGACATGACTCACCCACCACCACACAGGCCTTTGCACCCACCAGTGTGGCCATCCCCTGACTCACAGGGCCAGGTCCTGCTGGAGACACATGCCAAGGAGAGCCAGCTGGGGGCAGAGTCTGCTCTTACCGGCAGCAGCACGAACCCTCTAAGGCTGGGTGCAGGGTCTCCCATTCTCTGCTGACCTCAGCACAAACCCACTCACAGACTGGTACCAAACATGCCCACAGTCCTCAGGAAACACATGCGTTCGTCAGTGGCACCCCACTCACCTCACGGGAGGCAGCCCACCCACCTTGTGGCTGTGGGTACCCACATAGGCCTATGCCAGTCCCTAGGCCACATGCCTTAGCCTTGAGCCCACAGATGGCTAAAGTACTTGCACACCTATGTGAATCTGTTCATGTCCTGGCGGGTGCTCTGAGACGTGTTCCGATAGACACAGACACTCCCCTGTGTGTACGCCCGGCAACCTCTGAACCTGCCACATGCTGATGGCACCTGCTGCTGAGACTGAATCCAGGAGGTCAAACTACAGCTGAGGCATCCTTCATGACTCATTGCCTTCCTCATCAGTGGTGGGGATAAGGGGTGGGAGCGCTAGCGCTGGCCTTTGCACCCAGCCCAGGCTGGACTGTGCCCGGATGCTGGGTTGGTGTTGCAGGGGGAAGCCTTTGGGGGTAAAACATGGCTAACGCTTGGCAAGCACTCGCTATGTGCCAGGCACTGTTCCCAGCATCACACAGATTATCTCATGGAGCCCTCACAGCCCAGGAAGCAGGTACTATTCTCTGCCGCATGGAGGCAGCTAAGGCTCAGAGAAGTTAAGAGACTTGCCCAAGGGCACACAGACAGTAAGTGGGCAGCCCAGACACAAATCCAAGGAGTCTGACTCCAGAATCTGAACCCCTAACAACACTGTGAGATGCTACAGGTTGCTCCAGAGAGGTGTAGCTCCCTGACACGGGGGGTGACCATGGGCACTGCAGGGGAGTGGGACCCTGCAGAAGGAATGCAAGCATCAGAAAGCCCTTCAGCTGTTTTCAAAGCCACGGACCTCACGTGCCTTCTGGTATATGAAAAAGTGAGACATGTAAGTCAGGGCTGGCAACAGTGGTCTAATCTGATGGCAGGAGCCAGGAGCCTGCCTGTGTGCCGGGCACTCCCCTCATGGAGGGGAGCAGATAGTGGAGTCGGGTGGGTGGACATCGTCCCATAGCACTAGGGTGGTGAGGTCCCACCGAGGGGCCCAAGCTGGCAGGCTGTGCCATCTGCTTGGTGGATGTCCTTCTGTGACTGTGTGCGTGTTCATTTGTAGAGAATGTTAGAAGTCCAAGCAGAAGGCCTTCTGGGCACTACCACCATCTCTCCGTCCAGCCGTGGGTGGTCCCCTGAGAGCCTCAGGTCCTGCGCCTCATCAGAAGGTGACTGCTCCTGCCCCGGGAGTGTGGCTTGGGGGACGGTGGGTAGGACCAGGCCGGCCCCGCCTGACACCCCCAGAGGGCTGGGGCCAACCACCACTCTTACTGGAGGGGTAAGCACTCTACTGCACTGCCTGCTTTGGTCCAAGTCAGGAAAACAACATTATCACTGATGCCAGCAGCATTGTTCAGTGCCTCCTCTGTGACAGGCCCTATACTGCTCCTTTCATAAGCAACATCCCATTTAAAATACCCAACAAGGCCATTTTTCAAAGGAGAAATTGAGATTCAAGCTAGGCCAAGCTGAATCCCTAGACCGAGGTAGCACAGCCTGGCAATGCTCACTTACAATTAACCCCTTCAATGCAGGGCCCTGCCCATCTGCCCACCCGCCCAAAGGCTGCAAGGGCCTCCTCTTCTGGGTGCATCTTGATGAGAGCCCCGGATTTTAGCTCACTGCCCCCACCTGTGGCTCTGGGCGTCCCAGACCAGGGTCTGGTGCTCTGAGATGAAGTTGGGGGTCTGTGTGTGTGGGGGGAGGACTGTCTCCCCTGTGCCAGATAGAGGAGGTGTGAACTCTGCCCCCCCCACCTCCCCCACACCTGGTACAGACCAAGAGGTGCCAGCAGGGCCTCTGGGGCATCAGTCTGGGGCTCCGGAGTCCCCTAGGCCTCTTTTCTCCCAGCTTGCGGCTGCCCCGCCCTCCCTTCAGTACTGGGTGGGGCACAAGCTCAGAATAGCTGCTTCCCAAGCCCCAGTCTGCTGTCAGCTTCCACGTTGTCTTCGAGTCATGAAAGTCCAAGAGGTGTCCCGGGACTGTGTCACCTTCCAGCGTGGAGTCACACTGCAAAGGGAGGTGGGGCGGGCAGCCTCGCAGGGGGTTTAAATGTCTGTCTGACTCTGAACTTGAGTCAGTTGGATAGACAGGGGCACAGCCTGAGAACCTCTTCTCCGGCCCCTCTGATTCCAAGAAGGATCCAAGGATTCAGGGCAGCATAACATTCTTCCAGCCCAACAAGGAGCCCAGAATGTTCCTGAGGACTGTGGTCCTGACGCTGGCCCTCGTGGCTGTCACCAGTAAGTAAGCTGCCCTTGGATGGGGCTCACAGGCAGGACCCATCTGCTGTATCGGGTGCGGGAGGGCGGAGAGTCCAGGGCCAAGGCAAGAGGGCAGACTCCGAGGGCCTGTCATCCCCAGCTGGGACGAGCTACCCAGTTGCCGCCTGGCTCACAGGAGGGCTGGCTGACTGCAGCAGCAGGCCCAAGGGCAGGGGTGCCCTACCAGCGCTAGGCACACCCCTGTGGCTTCTAGCTGGCCAAGTGCAGAGGGGGAGGTCAGTGGTTGGGTGCCCCCACCATCACAGGGGCTGCAGCTCTGGGCTGGTGCGCGGAGGCAAGGAGGGAGGCTGTTCTCAAGAACTGCTTTGTCTCCTGTCCAGGTGCTGAACCTGAGGTCAGTGCTGACCAGGTGGCCACTGTGGTGTGGGACTACTTCAGCCAGCTGAGTAACAATGCCAAGGAGGCTGTGGAGCACCTCCAGAAGTCGGAGCTCACCCAACAGCTCAAGTAAGAGGGGCTTCTTAAAGGCCGTGCAATGCTTCGGCAAGGGCTGAGCTCAGTTCACAATGCCCTGCCTCTAACTCAGGGGGTGTCCCTGAGGTCACCGGGATCCAGGTGTGCAACCAGGGAGGCTGGACTGAATAATCCCTAAGGCATCTTCCTGCTCTAACTTTCTAGAGTGTGATCTGTGGCTACATCTTAGCACAGCAGCTCATGGAAGGCAGGAAGAGAGGGAAATGTGTGAGCTGTGTTCTCGCACATTCTAGAAGGACAGGCCCCTGTGCAGTCGTGGGCAGGGAGGTGGGGATATATGGGGAGCCTGTGAGGATGGGCACATGCGAGGAAACCAGGACCTTGTGCTGCTGGAAGAGCCTGGCAGAGGTGTGGGCATAACATCCTGCTAGAGCGTGTGACTGACGTCACAGCACTCCTGAGCTGGGGGGGGGCTTCAAAGTCCACCTGTCTTGCTTTATAGATACGGAGGGAGAGCAAGCTACTCCAGGTCACGTAATAGGTACATAATGTGATTCAAGCCCAGGGGGAGATTCAGAGATAAAATCTGATGTAACAGCTGGGTGTTACAGCCATTCTTCCAAGTCATAATCCAATCCACCGGGAAAAGAGGGGTGAACTCAGTGCCCTGAACACTCACCGCTCCTAGGCCGCGTGTGTAAGAGGAGATGAGGGCCTGGCACGCCATGCCCAGTGTAATGGTGGCCCCTCGTGTCCGTCCCCCACAGCGCCCTCTTCCAGGACAAAGTTGGAGAGGTGAACGCCTACACCGAAGGCCTGCAGAAGCAGCTGGTGCCCTTCGCCACAGAGCTGCACGAACGCCTGGCCAGGGATTCGGAGAAGCTGAAGGAGGAGATTGGCAAGGAGCTGGAGGAGCTGCGGGCTCGGCTGCTGCCCCACGCCAACGAGGTGAGCCAGCAGATCGGGGACAACGTGCGTGAGCTGAAGCAGCGCCTGGGGCCCTACGCGGACGAGCTGCGCGCCCAGGTCAACACGCAGGCCGAGCAGCTGCGGCGCCGGCTGAGCCCCTACGCGCAGCGCATGGAGACCGTGGTGCGCGAGAACGTGGGCTCCCTGCAGGCCTCCCTGACGCCCTACGCCGACGAGCTCAAGGCCCAGATCGACCAGAACGTGGAGGAGCTCAAGAAGCAGCTCACACCCTACGCTGAGGAGCTCAAGGTGAAGATCGACCAGAACGTGGAGGAGCTGCGCCGCGGCCTGGCGCCCTACGCGAAGGACGTCCAGGAGAAGCTCAACCACCAGCTCGAGGGCCTGGCCTTCCAGATGAAGAAGAACGCCGAGCAGCTGAAGGCCAGCATCGCCGGCCGTGCCGACGAGCTGCGGCAGAGGCTGGTGCCCGTGGCGGAGGAGGTGCGCCACAAGCTGAAGGGCAACACCGAGGGGCTGCAGAGGTCGCTGGCCGAGCTGAGCGGCCACCTGGACCAGCAGTTGGAGGAGTTCCGCCGCAGCGTGGGGCCCTACGGCGAGACCTTCAACAGGGCCTTGGTGCAGCAGGTGGAGGAGCTCAGGCAGAAGCTGGGCCCCTACGCGGGGGACGTGGAGAGCCACCTGAGCTTCCTGGAGAAGGATATGAGGGACAAGGTCAACTCCTTCTTCAGCGCCCTCCAGGAGAAAGAGGGCCAAGACAAGCCCGTTCCCGAGCTCCAGCAGCCTCCCACCCCCCAGGAGAGCTGAGCTGCCCCTGCAGCTCACGCCCCACCTTGGACACCTGCCCCACCCGGCCACCTGTCGGTCTGTCGGTCCCAAAGCAGTTCTTGTACAAGCTTGAGGACGCATGTCCAGTGGAAAGTGACACGACCTCTTGCTACTCAATAAAGCTGAAGAACTAGCCCAGGCTGGTGCCAGTGTTGTGGGGCCTGAGCTGGGGATGAGAGCAGAACTTGGCAAAGCGTAGCAGGGGCTGCAGGGCGTGCTCTGAGGGACACCAAGCACTGGGGACACGGGACTGCAGGAGGGGGAGGGCGGGGTGTGCAGAGAGGGGCGTGGGGGTGCGCCGGGGGGAGGTGCAAGAGGCGTCACATGTTATCCAAAGACAAAATATGCAACCCACTTAGATTCACTAAGCCAACAAATATTTACTGACAGCCCTCGGTGTGCCAGCCACTGTCCTCAGCACTGAGGTAAGCAGGACATGGTCCCTGGCTTTGGGGAGCTCGTGGCGTGGCAGGGGACGCTGTCCCTCCTTACATAAGCTTTTCTGCACCTTTAACATTTGTGTGAATTTTGGTTTATTCCGCTCCACCCTACCTCACCCCCATTATAAAATCCATTCATGCTTATTTCAGAAATTTTTTGACTCCTAAACCCATGGTGTCCGCGTTGAGGAATTCAGCCTGGAGGTGTGGATGAGTTCTGGGAGATGGGATGGAGCCCCTCCCTGGGGCCCGAGGTGGTGGGAGGGGCCCTGGTATGCTCTGTCTGGGGCCTCCTGCAAAGGGCCTGCCCGTCTGGGACTGAGGTTGTCAGCCACTGGGGCAGGGGCAGCGGGTGGGAGGAGCTGGGCCCAGAGCAGACTCATCAGCCAGACCTCTGGAGAGGGCACTCCCCGACCCTCGGGAATCGCAGACCCCCCTCCCACGCCCCAAGGAGGAGGCCCCAGAAAAGAGCCAATTCAAACTTTGTCCCAAATGACTTGATGTGCTGGACTCTGACCCCAGGTCTGCGAGTCCAGCCTGGCACCCCTTTCCTTCCCAGAGTAGGGTGCAGGCTTTCCTTGCCAACACCCAGAACATGCCCTGGGGGTGGGCAGGGCCCTGGGAGAGTGTTCTGGGGTCTCCAACCTTCTGTCCCTCTGTCCCAGGGTGCTCTCAGAACAGGAGCCCCTCGGGCATGGTCTGTGCCAGCCTGAGAGCCCGCCTGTCGGGAAGGATTACATTTGGAAGTCTGGCAAACCTAATTTGAATCCTGGCTTTTCCACTGACTACTGGGTGATTTGGAGCCAATCATTCGACCTCTTTGGAAAGACAGAGATCACACCAGTGCTCAGCCCACAGAGTCATTGTGTGTGTTTGACACAATGGCCCGTGTTAAGCCCTTTGCACTATATGGGGCAGGGGTCGCGTGCAATAACCGTTCATGCACTGCTGCACCCGCTTCTGTAGTCCAGTAGGTGCCCAAGAAATGTGGTTTCCGCTCCCTGCTCACTCCTTATCCCCAATTCGCCACCAGAGCTGGGCAAGGGCAGACCCCTGTGTCTTCCGGCCCAGCCGCCCTCACTCTCACATTCTGGTTCAGTAAGGCCACCACCGTCTGCACACCCGGCCTACTGGGAGGGCAGACCCTACCTGTGAAGACACCAGTCGCTTGGAGGTTTACTGGCTGGTTTTAGGAAAGCACCAAACAGAACGAGGTGCTAAAAGGAAGTGGGCAGAGGGTGGGCAGGTTTCTGAGTGGGTCCAGAAGCTTCAGAGATGCCCTCAGACCCTCTGGGAGCCTCAGTGTGTCCCAGAGACTGTTCTTAGTGTGAGTCCTGGACAGTCTCCCCAGCACCCCCAGGGCCCTCCTGCCGGTCTCCGAGGGTCCTGCAGTGGCCCCTGTCCCATGGGGTGAGGAATGCCTTCTCTCCTACAGCAAGATTTATCCTGGTCTTCAGTCCCCTGGGTCCCTGGCCTAGCAGGGGTGCATTGTAGTGGTGTCACTTTTGGCTACACAGCCTCTGAAACTCCCCTGCTATGTTTGAAGATTTTCCCCACTTAGGAGTCTTGATGGGTATCAAAGTCCGCCTCCCACGAGAGGCCAGCCTCTTGCCTCCCAGCAACCTTCCTCTAGGGTGTAAGCACAGGGCCTCTGATCAGCAAACCAGGTAAGGCCCCGGACCTAGACTACAGAGCTGGTGCGAAGAAACGGGGAGTCTGGGTTAGGCAGGGGCAGTGGGAAGCCGGTTTGCAGCCAGGCTGGAGGCTCCATCCTGGGCTGTGCTGTCAGGGGCTGCTGGGCACACCGGGCTGCCCTGGCTCAGCGGTGGCCTCCGAGCCATCCCCATGGGGCTAGCTTTGTGCATGAGTACGGCCATGTTTCTCCCTTAACTTGCCTTATTCTTGTCTATTTTCCAAACCAAGTACTCTAGCGGGGGACATGGAAAGTCATGTCCTGGAAATGACCAGAAGTATTTGAACAAACTCATTTTTTGCTTGAATTTTCTAGAATAGGTTTCTGTGGATAGCAATTCAGCACGTTCACCGACAGGCCTTCTCTGCTGCGCTGACTTCTGCTTTGGCCCCTGGAAGCGTGCCCCATCCCAGGCCTGTTCCAGCTGGTCTCCGTTTGCCTGAGGTATGCTGATTAGTCTGCCTGGGGCTGGTTCCGTCTTCCTCTTTTGTTCTAAGCTAGGGTGAGGGGTCTCCTTGCCTCAGTCACCCCAAGGGACATCTCTGGCAGCCAAGACGGTGGGGCCCCTGAGGAGACCTGGAGGTGGCCGTGGGCTGCCCAGCTCAGGCAGTCAGCCCTTTCCACCCATCCCAGAGGTGCTCTGACAACCGGGCTCAGGTCTCCTGTGAGGCTCTGAGTCCCAGAAAAATGCGATTTGGTTTGGGGCATCTGTTTATATAAGATGTCTAAGATATTTCAAGAAAAAAAAATGCAAGGTCCTGAATATTATGCATTATAGTACCCCATTAAAAAACACATGCATCTTTGTGTGTGACTGTCTAAGGAGGTGAAACATCTGTTAATTCAACAACTAGGCCTAGAATTCCTCTCAGGGAATTGTATTGGGCAGTCCATGCTGCCTGCTAAAGAGGGGACCCTGAGGAGCTGGCTGGAAGCAGAGCGTAAAACAGAGATGGCGCCGCTGTTCTGTGCATCCCCTGTACAGGTGTTTGAGGTGGTAACGACAAGGGGGGTCAGGGATACAAGGGAAGCTAAAGCCCTCTGCTCTCCCCTGCCCACAAATTATGCTTAATAAGGAATGTCTGGTGGCAGAAGTTTGCAGAACTCCTACAGGCATGATGATAAAGCTGCCGTCCTCTGCTCATGAGCGCAGGTGCTTGTAAAAAACAGGATATGTGCACCCCTTGATTGATGTAATCCTCGCAATAGAGTGGGATGTCCAAGATGCACTAGGCGAGGAAAAAGACAGTTCAGAAGGGCGAGGTACGTACCCAGCAAGTGGTGAATTGAGACTGGAGCCCGGGGGCCATCCAGCTACAGAATCTTACTTTTAACTACAAAGCTGTGGTGCCTCTAGGGTGAGCCTGGTGTAATGAGGAGAAGCATAGTCCTCCCGAGACCCCCCATTGAGAAGGGGGGCCAGCCACTACACAAGGGCAGGTGGCTTCTGCCCAGTCTCCTCTGAATCCCAACATCTGGCTCACATGGAAGAAAGAAATACAGAAGTCTAGGCAGTAAATTCACCAGAGCTCATGTCAAGACGGTAAGATTTCGCTTTCTACTTTATGTGATTACATAGTGTTAGGATTTTAAGATGTTCATTTTTTTACTGTGGTAAAATGTTTATAACGTAAAATTTGACACTTAAGCCTTTTTAAAGTGTTCAGTGGCATCAGTTACATTCACAATGTTGTATGGCCGCCACCACTGTGGCCTCATCGCCCCAAACAGAGGCTCTGTATTCATCCATCAGGCGGGGCCTAGTGCCACCAGCCCACTGCAGCCCCTCAGAATCTCCAGTCTACTTTCTGTCTCAGTGACTTGACCTATTCAAGATTGGCATGTAATTGGCACCTTTTTATGGCTGAGCAATATTCCACTGTGTGAAATACCATCTTTGGTTTATCCGGGCATCAGTTTATGGACATGGCTTGCTTCCACCTGAGGGCTGTTGGGATAATGCTGCTGTGAACGTGAGTGTGTATAAATATCTGTTTGAGTCCCTGTTGTCAGCTCTTTTGAGTATGTATTAAGGAGCAGAATTGCTGGATTCTATGGTACTTCCTTGCCTAACTTTTTGAGGAATTTAGTAGTACTTTTTTTTTTATTGTAAAGCCTATGTCACATAAAATGTACCATTTTAACCATTTTTAAGTGTACAGTTCAGTGACATTAGTGCAATCCTATTCTTGTGTAACCATCACCACCATCTACCTCAGGACCTTTTCGTCTTTCCAAACTAAAACTCCAACCCATTCAACAATCCCCTCTCCTCCCCAGTCTTTAGCAACCTCCATTGTATTTTCTGTGTCTATGAATTTGCATTGCCTTACTCTAAGTAAGTGGCACTTACACTCTCGTAAGTGGAATTATACAATATTTGCCCCTTTGTGTCTGGCTTATGTCTCTTAGCATGATGTCTTCCAGATTTACCCATGTTGTAGCATGCATCAGAATTTCCTTCTTTTTTAAGGCTGAGTAATATTCTGCCGTATATCTATATATACCACATTATGTTTATCCACCCATCTGTCCATGGACACTTGGTTTGCTTCCACCTTCTGGTATTGTGAATAATGCTGCTGTGCATATAGGTGTAGAAATATCTCTTCAAGGCCTGCTCCCAAGTCTTCTGTGTATATATACCTAGAAGTGAAGTGGCCAGACCACGTGGTCACTCCATGTCTAACTCATGAGGCCATATTGTTTTTTATAGCAGTTGCACCATTTTACATCCCCACCAACAGGGCACAAGGTTTTGCTTCTCCCCATCTGCCTCAACACCTGTTATTTTCTATTTTTTGAAATAATAGCCATCCTAATAGTATTACTTTAACAACTAGAAATAAGTAAGTAAGTAAATATTCACCAGAGCCTCTCTGGGATCCAGTCTTTGCCACTTGGCATGAGTAAAGCACTTAAACACAGGAGAATCATGAATGGAGTGTCTTCTGTGGATGCCAGGGAAGGGCATTTCCTGGGCTCTGGGACAGCCCACATCAGTATCTCCAAATGGTTCCCCCAAAACCCAGCACGGTTTCAGGCATGAAGCTCCCCTGCTGCCTCTGGCTCCGCAGGTGACATGGGCATATGGACTTTTCTGTGGGCATAGGTGAGTGCCCCAAAGGCGTGTCAGCCACTACTGGTGTGGGCCAGGCTGAGAGGCTAGCCACAACCCTGTACCCATCCCCAAAGCTCAAAGGTCAGAAGTCATCTGAGAACGTCAGAGGGGTCACTACCCCTGAGGTCCCTGGTATCTGGAATGGTCCAGATTGGAGACAAGAAAGCACAACAGGGCAAAGGGAGGGGCCCGGGGGCCCATTCTCCTCTCGTACCCATGGGGCCTTGCTGCTGCAGAAGGGTCATCCCTGCAACGTCAAAACCACTTCCTGCATGGGGACACTGTGTGCTCCTGGCTTTATCATAGAACACCCTGTGCTCCAGGTCGGGGAGCACATGCAGTGATATGCTCTGGGGAGAGAAACAAGTGTCGGGCCACCTGGAGACTTCTGTGTATGGGAGCACAAAGGGGGGGACCATGGGCATCTCACTGTGTGACACAGGGAGGAGCCCAGAGAGCCCAGAGTTCCCCATGTCAGAGGCATGAGGATTCGAGCTACTGGTTCTGAGATGATGGATTGGTGATACGGTGACTATAGAACAAGGACCTAGAAACACAAAATCACAGGACATTAGGGTTGGAGGGAACCCTTGTCTCTCAGTCCAATCCCTTTGACATCTTCCCTAACAGATGGTTGTAACTCTACACTAGCAAGCACCCCATTAGTTGGTTCACCACTGTGTTTATGGAGTGTGGTAGCCAGCCTCCCAGACGGCTCCAAAACTGACACTCATCTGTAGTGTCCACACCCTTGCGGGGTCCCTCTATGCTGAAGAGAACTGCCTGTGTGTCAGTAGGCTCCTATGGGAATCGTGGCTTATGCCTGTCCGGGCTTGGTTGTAAAGGACAGAGTGGCTGCCACTTGGCTTTCTCTTGAATCATGGACTGAGGGAAGACAGCCACCTCGGTGTAAGGACACTCATGCCGCCCTGTGGTGGAGCCCACACAGGGAGGAACTGCAGGCCCTCCTCAACAGCCAGGACTGACTTGCTGGCCACATGAGTGAGCCATCTTGGAAACAGATCCTTCAGCCTCAGTCAAGCCTTCAGATGACTATAGGCCCAGGCAACATCCTGTCTGCAACCTCATGACAGACCCTAAACCGGAACCACACAGTGAAGCCACTGACCCACAGAAATTGTAAGAAATCATAGGACACTAAGTTCTGGGGTGACTCTTTTATATGCATCAATATGTAACTAATGCTTAGAACCTAGCACACTGCCTGGCATGTAGTCACCACTCAACTGTTGAGTGAATGAATCCCGCTTAGTATTGAACAACTCCACTGACAGCGAAATTACCGTCTCTCCAAACAGTTGATTCTATCTTTGGACAACTCTGTTAAAGAGCATTAAAATTAAATTGGTTCTTTCTCAATACAGCTTTGGTCTTATTTTTACTCCTCTCCTGAAATGCAGAATAATTATAATCCCTTTATACACACATGCTGCCCACAGGAAATCCACCCAGAGACTCCTTGCATGGGACCCCAACCTTGTGGACAAAACTGAGCCAGAGATGTGCCATACCTCACAGCTGCTTTGAGTTGAAGAATCTTGGATGGTTTTTGAGAGGGCAGGAGTCTTGTCTGGCTTGTTTGTTCTTGTATGGTCAGTGCCTCACACAATGACTAGAAATTAGTAGATGCTCAATAAATATTTGTTGACTAATGAATAAATTGAGTGAATCTTTTTTCTTGATCACTTGTACAATATATGTATATTCACCTTTACCAAGTAATGCTGAGCTGTTTTCAAGGTGATGACTTCAGTTTCAAGGTGAAACTTTATCTTTTTTCCAGTGATAGAACCTTCCTGAGGAGTCTTCTAACACCTTTTCTCTCATTTCTTCCATCTCTGCATGCTCTCCTTTTACGGGAGGTTTCTTCACCCTCTATTCAGCATCTTGTTTCTGCCATCATGTTTTTAATTTGCAAGAGCTCCTCTTTCTTAATTCTGTGTGTACTCTTTTGTAGTATTCTGTTCTTGTTTCATCAATATAATATATTCCTTTAACTATCTGATGATATTAATGGTACTTTTAAGTGGTTTTCTTTATGTATAGTCTTAGTTTTCTTCAAGTTCCTTTTATAATGTTTGTTTTGATCTCTATCTCTCATGTTAGGATCTTTCCTCAAATTACTGGTAACCTTTCACTTGTCTGCTTAACTTGAAGAGGATTTTAAAGATGATTTGAAATTCCATGTGCATGAGTAGTACTTCTTGACTCTGAGCTTCATTGTTGGGTGGTCCACTGGAATGTTCAGTGGGAGAACCTCCAATGTAAAAATACTTAGGTCTCTCCTTTTGAGCTGGTCATGTTTCCATAGGAAGTTTCTCTCACCCTCCTGCATGGAGAGTAAAAACCTGGATATCAGTGGTCCCAGGGCCAAGTGGGAGAAGCAGAATAGAACTCCAGCATTCAGAGGGCATATTATTTTGATTTAATCCTCCTATTTCTACTACAGTAATCCTGTCCTCAACTCTGCCTGTCATTATCCTTGTATAGACCTTCAGTCTTTCCCTGTCCAGAGAACAGACCTCCAGGCTTCTGCCAAGATGAGAGAGAGGAGCTAAGGTTTTACCTGCTTTGTAAATAGTTTCAACCAGTCTTTCATATTTGACAACAGCTTCCTCATTCACGTCTACTTTCAGTGGTACCTGGTGCTTCTAGTTCAGGGCTGTTATGTATGGCTGTATAAGCTGTGCACTGCACAAGTCTGAGGCCACCTTTGTCACACTGCAGGCATTATGGAATTGTATATTTATTATGACAAATTTCTGGCAGATGTCTGTAGTGTATCTTGGGAAAGGGGAGCCTAGCTCTAATTCACACACAGGTGCAACGTGGGCTAGCAGGATGGGCTACAATTCCTTAACCTTTTGCAAATTCAGAGCAGTAAACCAGGTTGCAGTTCATTTTTCTCAGTGCCAACTTAAGATTGGCTGTCTCAGGCCTGCTAAATTAGTTGCAAGTGGTCTGTCTGCTTTCCAGCTTTCAAAATTTTGCTGTGGTCCTTTCTTTAATTCTACTTGTCCCTATGGGTCTACATCTTTTCCAAAAAAAATCTTTTCAGGGAACTTTCATAAAAAAGTGAAATTAGATACATGCATTTAATTTTCTATGCTTATCGGGAAGTCCACAGAAATAACATCAAAGATCATGAAGGCTCTGTGATGCACTCATTCCCCTAGAGTCTTAGCCACTGATTCCAATTTAGCTGGGAGATCTTCAGTATTACTGCAAAGGATTTGTGAAGAAGAACGTACCTCCATCTAAAACTTCATGTTAAGGAAATAACCATGGAATGCATGCATTTAGCTATAAAGATGTTCATTGTAGTGCTGTTTATAATTTTAAAAATTAAAAACAAAACAACGTACAAAAGAGGAGATTGTTAAACTATGGTATGTCCATATTAATCTCCATTAAAATCATATTGTGAATGAGCATTTACTGACATGGATGTGTAAGTATGATATAGTCTTTAAATGATAAATCAGGTCACTAAACACCTTGATCCTGTAAAAAAATCTGGAAAAAATATATTTAAATATATGCCTGGATTTAAAAAAAAGGCAAAACTATACAAATGTTGATGGTGGACTTGTGGGTGATTATACATATATTTTTGCTTATCTGTATTTTATACTTTTCCTATACTGTACTCTTTTAAATACTAGCCAAGGAAAGCTATTTATTAGTGTTAGTTAATATAGACGAGGCTTCTACTCAAAAATGTCAGGCACTCTTAATTCTATCTATAAATCTTGTCAGGTCACCAGAAACATATATTCGGGCTACTTCACCTTGACCTTGTGCAAAGTTGCCATTCCTCAGTGTTTTTTTAAATAAGAGTCAAAGCTCCCTGTATATAAGGTCCCATAGAGGCATTTATTTTGCAACTCAGTGTTTGGAAAAACTTTATTTTCCTCGTGAGCTTCCTTCTGATTTTGATGAGTAAGTAACTGGCTGAATTCCTGTCTTCAGGGGCTCCCAGGAAGTGCAAGGTCTCTGTGAAAGTCAGCTCTGCCCCTTTATCGTCCCTGTTGCCTCTGTGGCCTGTCCGTCAGGTCCCGTGCTTTATCAGGTCACGATTCTGCAGTGATTTTTATTTTCACTGCTCTTTCTCTCTTGTCATCATCATTTCAATTTTCACTGCCAGTAGCGTCAAATCTGATGAAGAAGGGTCTGTGTAAACAAACCCCAAAGAAATAAGCAGGTAAAATCCTTATCTTTGCTGGCACGCCGTCGCTGTGTTGACTCAGAATGTGCTCAGTACAGTTTGTGGTACCGGAGTCCACGTCACCTGGCACACCTAGTTGTTGCACCACCAGCAGGTGTTTCTGACACAAACATCAGGCTGTGAGGCGCTTCTCAGACAGGACGGGTCATGGTCTGTAGAGGGCAAGCAGGCCATAGCGACAAGGCGCGAGACCTGAGGACCTGGTGTTCTGGCCAGAGCCAGAGCTGGCTCTGCCTCTCGGGGGGACAGGACAGGAGGGGGACTCAGGGGCACATTTAAATGCGGGATGGGACAAGGACAGAGGGATGGACTCCACTCCCCATACGGGCCCGGCCGCTGTCCCTGGGCTTGGCTGGCCTTTACCTGGCTGGCCCTCAGCTACTGCTCCCGTGCCCACAGCAGCTGATGCAGGGACCCTTGCTTCCCTGCATTTCTCCCAAATCAAAACTCGCCTGGGGTGAAGGGACAGGACCTGGCTTCCTACTGGGCATTGCAGGTCCCTGGCTTCTCTCAGGAAGCACAGAGCTCTGTTAGAGCTCTGGTCCCAGGAGCGGGGTTCTCTTTTACCCTGAGCATGAGAGCGTGTACTGAGCGTGGAGGCCAGAGTCAGACGGACCTGGGATTAGCCCAGGGCAAGACCCCGAGCAAGTTACTTAATCTCTATGAGCCTCAGTTTCTCTGCAAGGGAAATGAGGATAGCAATGCCTACCTGCAGTGTGGACAGAGGCATTGCAGCTAATACAGGTAAATACCCAGCACCTGGTGCTCCTGTTATCAAATATTTTCAAATGCTAATGGACCAGGCTCTGAGGGGCAGAGCGACTTGCAGGTGAGCCCAGAATACTTTCCCAGGCTGCTTCCTCCCACCACACTTCAGCCATTCTGAGCCCTCCCTTGTTTTCCCAGCGTGCCTGGCTCCCTGCCTCCGTGCCTTCCTTGATCGCCCAGAGACCCCGCCCTTTTGGAGAGCACTTGGACCATCCCTGGGCTCGCTGTGTAGCGCAGCCATGCCGGGGTCACCTCCCCGGTCTGGCGGGGTGTCTGGCACCCAGCAAGCGGCCCCACCCTTCCAGGTCTCCACCACGTTGGTCTCAGTGCCATCGGCTGCCTTCATGGAGGCTTTGGGTATGTTTGCTGCTGTGTAAACTTCTCTAAACCCACTGTGGCTCACATTTTTGTTGTTCCTACTCACAGCTGGAAACATTGGGCTCCCCGGCAACGTGCCCTCTCCCTGTCTTTCCCTCCCCCACCATTCTTGGCTTGTTCTCCTTATCCAACACCCCAAAACTCTGTTCTGTCCCAATTTTCCCACTGCCTTCTGGAACAAATTCCTCTGCGTCTGCAGCCTTGCCTAGACGCTCCCCTTCAGTTGACTTCCTTGGTTTGGGGGTGCACACCCTCTACTAGCTTTCTGCAAAAGGGGTGAAAGGTACAGTTTTGCCCTCTTGCACGTCTGAACATGTGTCTGTTCTACCCTCATGCTTAATGGATATTTTGGCACGGTATAGCATTCTAAGTTGAAATTTTTCTCTCAGAATTTGGAAAACGAAGTTCACATGTTTTAGCTTCCAGTGTTGCTACTAGAAATCTGAAGCCCTTCGGCAAGTGAGCTTTCATTCCCATTCTCTCTAAAAACTGTTAGTATCTTTCTCCTTGGTCATGATAAGTCATGAGGACATGCTTCCATGTGGTTCTGTTTTCATCCACTATGGTAGATTCTAGAGAACTAGATGGACCTTTTCTGTCTGGGAAGTCATTTCCTTTAGTTCAGAAAAACTTCCTGAATGATTTTTTTTGGATGATTTTCCTTCTGTCTCTTGTTGGAACTCTTACTGTTTGAATGGGAGACCTCCTGGATTGGTTGTCTAACCTTCTAAGTTTTCTCGCCTCTTTTCCAGCTCTATCTTTTGTACATTTCTATTGAGATTTTTGTTTGTTTTGATTTGTTTTATTTCTGTTACTCTATGTTTTAATCTCCAAGGGATCTTTTTTCTTTTTCTTTTTTTAATGAAATTTATTAGCTCACAAAACAGGAAGTTGGAATCAGAGTTGAGCTTCAGAGTTGGTTGATTCAGTGGCTCAACAATTTTCTCAAACACCCAAAATAGTCTCTTCTCTTTCTCTGACATTTGCAGTCAGCTTCATCCTAAAGCTGATTGTAAGATTTAAATTCGAGCAGTTTTCACATGGCTTCCTTTTTTTTTCAATTTTTTTTATTAAGGTATCATTGATATACACTCTCTCACGCCACCATCTTTAATCCCCTTGATTGAAAAAAGTAATAAAACAACAATAAAAAGGAAAAAGGGGAAATTTGAGCATGGACTACATATTTGATGATATTATGGAATTATTGTTAATTTTCCTAGGCATGTTAGGAGCATGGTGGTTTTGTAGAAGAGTGTCCTTAATTTTAGGATATGTAAGCTGAAGTTACTTAGAAAAGTGCATGCTACGGCAACTTCCAGGTTGTTAAGCATGCATACAAAATACATATACAGAGAAAGCCCCAAACATGGCACAGTATTAACAGCTGCTGGACCTAGATGGTCAGCGTAAGGGCACTCATTGTACTGTTGCTTCAACTTTTCTGTGTCTGAAATTTTTCTTAGTAAATTAGAAGGGAAAAAGCTGATGTGAAGCCTTGAGTCCATCACTTTAGGATGGACCATCTTGATCACACAGAACCTGCAGAAATGTTTCTTTAGGACTTTTTGTTTTGGGTTAGCCAAGTTTCTCAGGGAGAATGTTCCAGTCTCCTTCCTTAAGGGCCAAGTCTAATTGGCCAACATTTTTTGGCCAAAGGGAAAGATGATGTATGGAGGGAAGCATCTCAGAATTTAATATATGAAGTTTTAGTTAAACCCTCTTTTTTTGAGTACAAGAACTCTGGCCCCCTAGAATTCCTGATTTTCCCCAGGCCAGGGTCCCGCCTCTGTTACTCTCTCCAGAGAGGAGACCCCTGGTTTCCTGCTGTTTGGGGGAAGGACAGACATCCTGCTGAGCGGAACCAGAGAGCACCTCTGCTTCTCAGGCTCATTCTCCTGCCACATTTTTAGCTCTGCTGTCACCCATGCTTCCAGATGAATCTGTGGCTGCTATTGTCTGAGCTTCTGTGGGGTTCAGCGGTACAAGTCAGGGGGGCTCTCAGTTTCCTCCATTGCTGCTTCAAAATACATCTTCTCAGGTGTGTCCAGTTATTGCTGGTGACAAACTGCAAGCTTCCTGGCTTCTGAGATGTCTTCTGTCTCCTTTTCTATTCTCTTTGTGGGTTTATGCACTTTTGAAAAGAAGTACACTTTAATGCTGCTTTATTGGGATTTCAGAAAAGAACAGAGGCTAATGTATGAGATCAATCCACCATCTCTTACCAGAAGTCGATCTGGTGTCCTTTAGCCTCTTTTTCTCATATACTAGTTTGAAAGTTACTTTGTATTCATGTAATGGGTTAGCCTTAAAAGTTTAATATTCCTGCTTGACCTAACAAAGTCTAAAGATAATCAATGTCTCTGCCGTCTTCCTGCACAATGCTTTAACTTTGATCTCTTCTGCTTGCTGATTTCCCATGCTGCTTTGCTCTAGCAGTTTAGTCCCTCATTGTTTATAGCACCTCCGAAGTCCCTTCATCAATATGCATTGCGGCCCCTACGATGTGACAAGCAATGTTCTAAGCACTGGAAATACATCAGTGACTAAGACAGACTAAACTACATATGAAAATATTTTATGTTAGGTTGAACTATGTGCAATGGCTAATATTTGGTCTAAGTGACTAATCTCATATGGTTTAAGTATTTGTATACTTAATTATATACATACACACTTTTAAGTAAACACATATTAAATTACTAGTGTGTTTTTTTTTCAGTTTACCTAAACACTTACTAATTTCATCGTTGCTTGCTTCCATGTCTATGGTACCCCACTCCTCTCTGGGTCCTGCTCTGCGGTGAATCTGTTACTCTTGAACAGTCGTTTACCTGAGTGTAATTCTTGATTGGCCATTAATTTACCTTCCTTCTGAGGATATATTGCTGGTAAGTTAGCTGTTAGTTTAATCATTTTCATTTGTAGATAATTAGTCTTTTCTGTTTGGTTAAATTTAAGATACTTTCTCTGTGATGTTCTGCAGATTCATCATAATGGGTCTTGATTTGGATGCTTTAATTTATCCAGGGAGGATGCTGAGGAGTCAGGTCACATTTTTCCTCAGTTTTCAAAAATTTTCAGCCATCATCTTTTGAATATTGCCTCCACTGAAGTCTCTGTCTTCTCTTGAAATACTTGCAGGCATATATTGGACCTTCCCATTCTGTTCTCCGTGCCTCTTACCCTCCATTTCATATTTTCCCGGACTAGTGATATGATTCCTTCTGGGTGGTTTTTCTCAGACTGACCTTTTTGTCCACGAATTCTCTCCCCAACTATAGATAAATGAGTTTTTCTTTTCCATTTTAATGACTGTATCTTTCACTTCTACATGCTCTATTTAATTACTTTTCTTTTTGACAAATAACGTAAACGTATTGTCTTTCAAGACCAAAAATGATACACAAGACAGTACTTAACTTGCTTAGCTATTTTAGTGCTGTGATAAGCATAAATGCCTTTCTTTTTGAAGCGTATTTGAGACATACACTTGTTTTTTTTTAACTGACTTTCATTAAGGCCTGGTAAAAGAAGTATAAACAATGTAGAATGGGCCCATGATGAACTGTTACTCTGTTCTACCCACGGGCCTGCTGAATCTGAGATGGAATGCAGGAACTGCTGCCACGCGGAGTGAACACTGCTGTGTCGTGGGTCACACCTGAGGTTTTGGCAGATAAGAATGGAGGGGAACAATTTGCAACACATTTTACTTACTACAGACAAGTCCCAACTTAAAATTTTTATGACTTTGCAATGGTTCAAAAGCAATAAACTGTTCAGTAGAAGCTGTACTTTGAATCTTGAATTGTGGTCTTCCCTGGGCCTGCAATAGGCCGTGAGATCCTCTCATGATGCAGGCAGGGCAGCGAGCCACACCCCATCAGCCACATGGTCATGAGGGTGACCAGCTGATACACTTAAAAAGTTCTGTCCCCAGGCGACCGTTCTGTTTTTTCACTTTCAGTACAGTATTCCATAAATTACATGACATGGCCAACACTTTATTATGAAATCAGCCTTGGGTTAGACGATTTGGCTCAACTGTGGCCTAATGTAGGTGTTTTGAGCACGTTTAAGGTAGACTGGCTAGGCTAGGTGTATTAAAAGCATTTTCAAGTTCTATTTTCAACTTACAATGGGTTTATTGAGATGTGACTCCATCGTAAGTTGAGGAAGATCTATATTTAAATGAGAAGCCACTAATGCTCCTTTCAAGGACAGGTCACAAGAGAAAGACTGTCTAGGAGGCCTTCTCATTTGGGGCATACTGAGTTTTTATTGGGGACCCACACACTTGTTTAATTTACATGCTTATAACAAAACTGCTGACACAGAGCATTAAAGAAGATAACTTTTAATTTTTACAAAAATATACTTTAAAAAATTCTTTTTTACTCTACATCCAGATTACGTTGGCAATTTTTGGATTAAAAAAACAAAACTGAAATGAGCAACTTTCTTTCAAAAATGCAGCTGTCTGCAACTAAGAGACAGTGAAGAACAGGGAAGTGCAAACAAGCTCAGGGGGAAATAATCTGGTTCAACATAGGTGATTTTTGGCCTTTCTTACTATATCATATCTGAAGGTACAAAATATCAGGTTGTTCCACTATTTGGTGATGCTAAGTGTGATCACTTGGTTAAAACGATCCACCAGATTTCTCCATTGCAAAGTAGAATTTAGTCATTGGTAAGTAATCTGTAGGATGACTCATAGGAGGCATATCACATCCCTTTCCACAATATTTTTTCACCAATGTTTTGGCCTTCATTGATGATCCTTGCCTGAATCAAACATTGCCTAAGGGCTGCAAATAAGGATTTAAATATATATATATATAAATATATATGTATAAATAAATTACATTTATTTTCTATTTACATTTATTATTACATATATATATATACATATATATATATATGTATTTCCATTTACATGTATTAGCTGATTTCTTCTATAAGAGCTTCTAGGGAACTTGTTTTCAAATCTAAAGACTTAAACCGAAGATGGTTAACCTGAACCTAATGATGAGGAGATGATCAGTGAGATCCAGAACATTCACAAGACATCTTCCCTGGACTCATCAGCAGAAGCCAGTGTCGAGGACTGGAGAATGCTATTCTAGGTGAAAAGCGACTGCAGAGGCTTAACAACCCAATGAGATGTGTTGGATCCTGATTTTAAAAAGAAAAAGAGAGGAAAAAAAAACCAGCGTGAAAGGCATTTGGGGAGAATTGGGAACATTTGAATATGTTAGATGGTATTAAAGAATCATGTGAATTTCATGGGCGTGGTAATGGTATTATGTTTAGGTAAAACCGTCAGTATTGTAGGAGGTGTATGTTGAAGTATTTAGGGTGCAGTGTCATGCTGTCTGCAGTTATGTCAAATGGTTCCACACAAAGCACGTAACACGTTCACATATATAAATACCTCCAACCAACCCAAATATTTGAAAAATTAAACTGTAAAATGTCACCAAATAGGAAGCGTGAGTGTGTCTTACAATTACCTATTGTATCAATCTAGGTTTGGTCAGAAAAACAGAAGCCACTCTATTATTTCAAGTGTGAAAGGCTTCAGTGCAGAAAACCAAAGGTTTATAAAACCGTTGGAAAGGCTGGAGGAGTGGCCGTCTCAGCTTGCACTTGATGTAGTGACTCACCTGTAAGTGGCTACGAATGGGAAGCCCACCGAATCATCCTAGTCTGCGAAACCAACACGTGTGATTCTTAAAATCATCCAGAACTATTTTAAAGCGCCAGTCGGCCTACGCATCTGCTGAAACTACCCATGAAGAATAAGGGTCTCTTCTCGTCCATCCTGCACTGGCTGACTCACTGAGGCCCATAAGGAGAAGGGGATTCTGGGAAATACAGTGCCAGGTGTCTCCTCTCCATTCCAGAAAAGACCTTCGAAGGCTGGTGATGATGCTGACGTATGGACAATCCAGTGCAGATATACTTGACAGCACAGCCTCGGCAAAAAACAGTAGAGCACCAGAGATGCTTTTTCTAAAATACTGTGATGATATATGCATTAACAGAAAAAAAACATCACTTCTAGGAGCACAGTTCAGTAGCATTAAGTACACATACATTGTTGTGCAATCATCACCACTACGCATCTTTAGAACTTTTGCATCTTTGCAAACGGAAACTGCACCATTAAACAATTTATGTCTCCATTCCTCCCTCCCCCAACCCCTGGTAACCTCTAATCCAATTTCTGTCTCTGAATTTGCCTATTCTAAGTATCTCATATAAGTGGAATCATACAAGATTCATCCTTTCTTGTCTGGTTTATTTCACTTAGCATAATGTCAACATTCATCCACATCCTAGCATGTGTCAGAATTTCATTCCTTTTTAAGGTTATATAATATTCCATTGTATGTACTGACTACATTTTGTTTATCCACTCATCTACTGATGAACACCAGGTTGTTTCTACCTTTTGACTCTTGTGATAAATGCTGCTGTGAAAATGAATGTACAGATATTGCTTCCATTCAGAATTGCCTTCCATTCTTTTGAATATACCCAGAAGTGAAATTGCTGAATTGTATGGTATTTCTATGATCAATTTTTTTTTTTTTTTTTGTGGAACTACCATACTGTTTTCTACAGTGGCCACCCATTTTACTTCCCACCAGTAATGCACAAGTATTCTCTACATCCTTGCCAACATTTGTTATTTTCTGGAGGTTTTTGTTTGTATTTTGTTTTTTATAGTAGCCATTATAATGGCTGTAAAGTTGTCAGAAATGCTTTTAAAAGTAGAGGTGGAAAAACATTGAAAATAGGACCTCAGCTCAGCTCAGTATGCCAGGTTGGAAACATTAATTTTTTACTCTTGAAACCTTCCCTCCATGGTGTGGCAGAGGCTGTAAGTCACCCCCAATCTCTATTTTACCCTTCTTTGTCAGTTATAGAGCCCCTGATGTTTTAGAAACATCTCTGTTGAGAAACAATTCACATACCATCAAGTTCATTACAGTTCTTTGGTTTTAAGTATATTCACAGATTTGTGCAACTATCACCATGATCTAAGTTGAGAACATTTTTAACACCTCCAAAAGAAACCCCATACATATTAGACTTATTCCCCATTTCTCCCTAACACTTCTCCAGCCATAGGCAACCACTGATCTATTTTCTCTCTATATAGATAAATGTTTTCTGGACATTTCATATAAATGGAATCACACAATGTGTGGTGTTTTGTGACTAGCTTCTTTCACTCACTGTAATGTCTTCAAACTGCCTCCACATTGTGGCATATGAACACATGAACATTCCAGCTGTAGCATATGAAGCATACTTCATTACTTTTTACTGCCAATTAATATTCCACTATGTGGATAGACCACATTTTGTTTATTCATTCTTCAGTTGATGGACATCTGGGCTATTTCCACCATTTGGGAACTGTAAATGGCGCTGCTGTGGACATTCACGTACTAGTCTTCGTGTGAGTGTAAGTGTTCCCCTCTTGGGTTTATGCCTAGGGGTGGAGTGTGCTGGGTGATGGTGTGACTCCATGCTTAACCATTTGAGGACCTGTCAAACCGTGTTCCAAAGTGACTGCACCATTTCACATTCCCACCAGCAATGTATAATAATAAAATACCTGACTTCTAACTGGGTACTGAGCCATTTAAAATATCGATGACATCTCTTTGCCTCCCTTACAGCCTCCCTGGTGTGACTAGTTCAGACCAAGGGGATGGGAAAAGAAGAGAAGGCTTTGCCCTGACAAGAAAGCACAGTAGTTCCCTCACTTGCCCCTGCTGGTGGCTAGATGCACACGCGGTGGAAAGTGATCCTGGGTCACGTGCACAAAGGGGACACCTAAGGAGGGCAGAGCCCAAAGCAGAAGGAGCCTGGGGCCTGGGACGGCCTTCGGAGCAGTGCTGCCTCACCAGCATGAACCTTTATGTGGGGAAAAAATTAATTTCTTACTTTGTAAACACTGTTATTGTGGGTTCCTCTCAGAGCAGCCAGATTTAGAATTTAACTACCCCATTTGCTGTGACTCTTCTTTCTTCTGATTATACTTCTGCTTCTCTGACTGTCCCTCTTTTAGACTCTGTGTTAATCAAGATAAGTTAGAATCTATAGCATTAACAAATGCATTCCCACATCTTCGTGGCATAACACAATAAAAGTTTCTCTCTCACTTACGCAAAGTCCGATGCGGCCAGTGAGAGGTGCTCCTCCACACACTAACTTAGAATACGCTTCCGCGCCCCCTACAACTGTGCCCTCTAAATCTTTGCTTCCAGCGGACAGAAGGAAAGAAGAGGTATGAAAAACTCACATCCACTCTGTGGAGAAAGGGGTAGTTCCTCTGGCCAGGGTTCTCACCTGGCCCTGGTCAGCATGCTCACCGCACAGGTATGGGCAGTACACTGTTATTGACTATATAAAAGAGGTGCGCCCAGCACTCTGGGCTGCAGGAGAGCAGAGGCTGGAGTGGTGGCAGTGCCGAGGACAGAGACTGAGATGGCTGCGCGGGCAGAGAGGCCCAGAGGCAGAGACTGGCTTGGTGCACGCAGACTCGCTCTGAGTAGATGGGATTCTAGTGATTGACCTGCCACCATGGGAATAAAGTTGGGTATAACCCTTTCACCCCAGGAACATTCTATTGTCATTTTTTGGTCTCACTGAATCCATGGTGAACTTGTCCGGGGCTGAAACCCATTGGCAAGACAGACTCTTGGTTGTGCTGGACCAGAAGTGACCACTTTTCTTCTGCTCACAGTTCACTGGCTAGAACTAATCACATGGCCCCGACCTAATTGCAAAGCAACCTGGGAAAGGCCGTGTAGCTCATGGACCTTCGCTGAGCACTTTCTCTCCACCAGAGGCATCCTCTGGAGGTCATTTCCCCTGAACACTGTTTTCTAACTGCAGTCCTTTTCTTTTCTCACAGCATGTACTCTCCCTGGGCAAGCTCATCCCCTCCTGTCTCCCACTCCAGGCTGATGACCTCTTTCTGGAACCCTAGGCATCTCCACCCTACTGCCCTAACATCCAGTGGGGGATCTTCGGGTACCAGGCATCCTACTGCCCTGACATCCTGGGGGGGATCTTTGGGCACAGGTAACACCAGCCTGTGGGTACAAGAAGCCAGTTCTAAATTCGAATGCCCCTCTCGTTGCCATCTTCTTTCACGTCCTGAAAACCTACCCTTCCCAGGTACTCTGTCTCATGCCCCTGGGATGACTATAGTTTCATGACGGGGTCGTAGTTCCTGTTGCTTTTCTCTTCTCAAATGAATTTTCTCCTAGGCGGTTTCTCAGCCATTATGCAAACAGACTTCAGCTGGGCTTGCCTGCTGCCATTACGTTCAAGCTCGGACTCCTGGTAAACCCTTGTTTCCCATCCCGGCCTGCTCTTCCTTTAGCATGCTCCCATCCTTGGTGAAGGGTGCAACCACCTACCTATTTCCCCAGAAACTTGGACAGATCTGATTCCTTCCTCTCCGTCTCTCCCATCCAGTTGTTTACCAGGTGCTGGCAACTCACTACTTACCATCCTTCAAATACAGTATCTCCTACCAGTCGTCCTGGCCACACCTCAGTTCGCGCCCTCACCATCTCTTCGGTTACTCAAACGGCCTCCAACAGGCCCCCTGCCTGCTGTCTTGCTGTCCTCCAGAGCGATCTCCCCATCTGGCAGTTTCAGTGGCTGCTTACAGAAGGCCCCTCATGACCTGGTCAGGCTGCTCACCCTTCCTCCCTCACCTCCTACCTTCCTGAGCTACCGGAGCTAAACACCTGGGTTCCAGTTCTGGCTGCAGCTGTTACTGTGTAATGATGGACATGTCATTTAATATCCTCAAGCTTCAGTTCCTTAGTTAATTGAATGAATGAGTCAGTCACTCAATCTTCTGTACATTGTGTGCTATACCAAACATAATGGGGGGGTGTCATAGAGATGAATTAGAAAACATCCCTGTACTCAGAGAGCTCTCTGGTATGTCAACTTATCATTGCATTACTGCATAGTAAGTGCTATAATACAGGAAAATACTAAGTGTTCTGTGATCAATGTGGAATCAGCCTGTCTCCAAAGCAGAGAAGGGTGAAGGCAGAGAGGATATTTAGTGTGATATTGTTATTGTGAAGCAGAGCCATCATTGTCTTCCCCAAATCCATTCTTCTCTTCTTCCTGCGTAATATAGCTCTTTTCTGGCTGGGAATACAGCTATCTAGAATAAAGACTACATTTCCCAGCCTCCTTTTCTGCTAAGTATAGCCATGTGACTATGTTCAGGTCACATGGGATGTCAGTAAAAGTGGTTAGAACACTTTCTGGGATGTGTCTTTAAAGGGAGGGAACATGCCCTTCTTTTCCTTCTTCCTGTTGGCTGGGATGCAGACTTGATGGCTGGAGCTGGAGCAGCTCAAACTTGGACATGAGACCAGTCGAGGGTGATGGTGCAACAGGATAGTAGGCACCCTGGTTGCCTATGTTTACATGAAAGAGAAATAAAATTCCATTTTGTTTAATCTGTTCTTTCCCCATCCCCACTTTTTTTTTTCTTTTGGTCACTTGAAGCTGAGCCTAAGCCTAAGTAATATAAATTAAGCCTGGAAAATATGAATATAAGTTTACCAAGGGATGGGGTATTCCAAACAGTGGGAATGGCACATAACAAAGGCTCAGGGTCCTAAAAGAGGTGGCATGCTCAGGGAATGCCAAGGGTTTTGTGTGGCAGGAGATGAGACTGGGAATCGGTTGGGATGAGCCAGAGCAGAGGATGGACTGAGGAGGCAGGGCTGTGCAGAGACCCGTTGGAGGCTATGCATGCAATCAAGGTGAGAGACAGGTGGGCTGCCACATGCTCAGTGGTGGAAATGGAGGAGAGGGAATCGATTCAAGATACATTTAGGAGCAAACATCAGGAGTGTATGGGAGTGTGTGTTTAAGTGTATGTGCGGGCACGTCATCGGAGGAAGGTCTGGGCTTTCTGGCTTCCTTTCTCAGAGGCCCTGTGGGTAGGGTTCAGCCTTTCCCTGGGGCACAAGCCCTCCTCTTGCTCCGATTCTTCGGGCCCAGATGCCTCTGACGTCTCATCCTTACCCCAGCTGATGCCCTCTGCTTGTTCCAGGATTCTTTCATAAAGCAGGAGATGGGAAGGTCTTTAAGCCTGTGAATGCTGACCCTTCCCAGGCTGCCTGCACAGCCTGGGGTGGTGCTGTCAAGGGCTGCTCAGGTTCAGGCTGGCAGCTGGACATGGTCCATGTCTGGCTGGGCACAGCTTCTCTAGGCTGTTGAGTAAGAATGGGGCCCCCAGCGACTTGTCTCTATTGGTGGGCCAGCCAGGTCACTGGGAAAGTTGAAAGTCATGGGGTTTGGGGGTCACTGGGTGAGGAGTTCAGCCCCACTCCTTGTAAAACTTTTCTACTGGGGCAGCCCTGATATTAGGGTAGTCGTTAACCCTCTGGGTGCCAAGGGAGGGCGGGAAGTGAGCCACGGGAGGCAGCTGAGGTCAGCCTTCTTTGAACCTCCACGTGGTGTTTACTCAGAACCACTGCCAGAGGCCCAGGCCCCTGGAGTATAAAACGGAATGTCTGCTCTCTGTGCCCAGACCTGAGCAGGTGAGCAGCAGGGGCAGAGGGAGGCGGGGTGGGGTCCCGAGGGTGACTGCAGGTCTGAGCAGAGCGGGGCGGGCACTAAGAACTCTTGGCGCACCCTGGCAGAGTTGCTTCTTCCCTTTGGGGTACCTCAGCCTCTCAGCCATGACACGGGAGGCAGGAAGGCAGGTGAGCGAGGGAGTGGTGGCAGAAGTGGCCTAGGGGGCTGCCTCTGGGGTCTGGGAGGGAGGCCGAGGGGGAACCTTTACAAAGCAGTTCGAGCTCCACACTACATCATGTGACCCAGGTGGACGAGGACCCCACCCCTGTCCCGGAAGACACCCTTTCCCCCCAGCCGCACTCGCCCAGCCAGGCCTCTGGAGTCCCAGCAGCCCTGTGCTCCCTGCTGTGGGTTAACAGATACTGGGCACGTTGCCCCTGGGGCAAGTCCCCCGGGAGCCGTCCCTTCCTTGGCCTCACTGGGCCTCCATTCGCCTTCCTCAGCGTGCATGATGTCATCCCCAGGAGCCGTTCTCACCTGGGCTCTGGCCCTCCTGGCAGGTGTGTCCCCAACCCTGACTTCAACGTGGAGGTGTGGGTGGAGGCTGGATGCAGGGGCCGTCTGCCTTTGGGGAGGAAACCCAGCCCCTAACCACCCCTGCCCTTTCCACAGCCTTTTCCACTGGCCACGCACAGAAAGGCTTCTGGGACTATTTCAGCCAGAGCAGCGGGGACAAAGGCAGGGCGGAGCAGAAGCTGGCATGGGAGCCTGTGTGAGTGGCCAGGGCAAGGGGCGCCCTCGCAGGAGGAGGCAGCTGGGTGGTGGGACGATGCACTGCTCTGCTTCCCCAACCTCCACAGCCCTCCCTTGGCCCAGAGGGTTTTCCTGGATATCCTAGCCCAGCCCGGGCTGTTCAGGGCCCTGTGCCGGAAGGATGCCCCCAGTCATGACTGGCTATAGTGCTGCCTCCTTGCCGCCGAAGCTGGGACCTGGAAGCAGGATTGGGCCCCCACTGCGGCCCCCGAATGGAAGGACTGTGTGCGAGTCCCGCTGCCCCTCCTCCCCTGGGCACTGTTGGTCTGGACTTGCCAGGGTCTTGCATTTGGCCCGGGGCTAGGACCAGAGCCCTTACCCTGGGGCCACCACCCTGCATCCTTGGTTCCCCCAGAGCATCAGTCAGCAGTGTCTCTGAGCCAGGGGAGACGATGGGGGCCTGCAGTCTGATGCCTTGGATGTCTCTCTCCCCTTCCCCAGGAACCTGAAAGACAGCCTCGAGCAAGACCTCAATGACATGGACAAGTTCCTGGAAAAGCTGGGCTCTCTGAGTGGTCAGGGGAGGGGGCCTCCTGGCCTCCCACCCCAGCCCCTGGACCCGCGGCAGCAGCTGCAGGAGGAGTTGGAGGAGGTGAGGGCACGCCTGGAGCCCTACATGGCCGAGGAGCACAGGCGTGTGGGCTGGAACCTGGAGGGGCTGCGGCAGCAGCTGAAGCCTTACACGGTGATGCTGATGGAGCAGGTGGCCCTGCATGTCCAGGAGCTGCAGGAGCAGTTGCATCTGGTGGGAGAGGACGCCAGGGCCCAGCTGCTGGGGGGTGTGGACGAGGCGCGGGGCCTGCTGCAGGAGCTGCGGAGGCGCGTGGTGCACCACACTGCTCGCGTCCAGGCGCTCTTCCACCCTTACTCCGAGCGCCTGGTGACTGGCATCGGGCGCCACGTGCAGGAGCTGCACCGCAGTGTGGTACCACACGCGGCCACCAGCCCTGTGCGCCTGAGCCGCTGCGTGCAGGCGCTCTCGCACAAGCTCACGCTCAAGGCCAAGGCCCTGCATGTGCGCATCCAGCACAACCTGGACCAGCTGCGTCAAGAGCTCAGCACCTTTGCAGGCACGGGCTCGGGTGATGCGGAGGAAGGGGCCGACCCGGATGCCCGGGTGCTGTCCCAGGAGGTGCGTCAGAGGCTCCAGGCTTTCCGCCATGATACCTTCCAGCAGATAGCAGCCTTCACGCACGCCATTGACCGGGAGACCGAGGAGGTCCGGCAGCAGCTGGCGCCGCCCCCACCAGGCCACAGCGCCTTCACCCCGGAGTTGCTTCAAGCGGACAGGGGCGAGGCACGAAGCAAGCTGCAGGCTCGTCTTGACGACCTGTGGGAAGACATCAACTACAGCCTTCATGGCCATGGTCTTGGCCATCTGGGGGAACCTTGAGGGTCTACCTGTTCAGGCACACTTGCCAGTTCCTTGTCTGAGGGAGCCCGGACCTGAGCCCCTAGGCATGGCACAGTCCTTGACAATGGCCTGCTGGGAAGAGGGTGGAGGACCCTGCACAGGATAAGTGAGGCCATGTATGGGGCTGGTGTCCCCAGCATGGCCTGGGTCCTGTGGTTCCCTCATCTGGATGCATTACACTCACCAGGCTTTGCAAACCCAGGTTTGCCTGCTCATTTGGGAATCCTCATGACTTACTCCATGCCGGCATGTGGGTGTGTGGAGGGAGACCCAGCCATTCGATGTATTGTGTGATAATTATGTGCAAACCTGTTGCCATGGTGCTGGAAGCTTGTACCTCTTCATCCCAGGGCTTGGTTCTTGATCACCCTGGCCACCTGGTGGCCACTGCTATAGCTGGTCCACAGAGAGGAGCTCTCTTCTCCCCAGGACTGACATAACAGCTTCTGTTGGGGGAAGAGAAGGGAGAAAGGTGGAAAATATGATGAGGAGAGCATATGATGTGTGTGTGTTTATATATCTCCTGGCTCTGATGCTGATGGGTACAAATGGTGGGGGTGTGATGAGAGGGAGCAGAGCCCATTTTCTTCTTGCATAGCTTTACATCTAAACAGCTGACCAAGCCCTTCAAACTGTGGGGGCTTCTTAGACCCTCTGAAGTATCTGTGTGCTCTCCCCATCTCCAGCTCTTCCCTCCTGATTCCCAGGCTGAAGTCTAGACTTCTGACTCAGAAGAAATATATGCTTATGATGGAAGCTTATTTGCCTGCTGTGATTCTCATTTGGAGCATGTCTGAAAGCAGTGGCCTCACCACTATCCCAAATGCACACCCATCACCCACCCCAATCCCTTGCTGATCTTCCTCATTGTCCAGGTCTGTCAGAAGGATCTGGGGTAGCTGGGCTCTGCTTTAGATGACAGCTGTCTGTCATGCCTAGGGGTGGGCTTGGAAGCAAGCCCAGGTTGGAGCGCATCTCCTGGGGGACAACAGGGGCAAACTAGGTGCCTTGTCTCAAGCTCTTGTAGTCAGACCTACGGACTAGTGGTTAGAACTTTGTGCAGTGTAGCTATTGCTAAGGAGCAGAAAACTGCCCTGGATCTGAGAAGTGATGACGCTGGGGTCCTTGTTTGCAGAGTCGAAGAATGGACTTAGCAAACACCCAAGGTAGGAGAGCCAGGGAGAGGCTTTTATTGAGAGATACAATGAGGACAGAGATCCTGGCTCACACTGTGAGTGGACAAGAGAGCCTGGGGTGGTGTGTTGTTCTAGGGGATTTATGGGCAGTTGAGGATCTTTGGGAACCGATAAAGGGCTTAGGGTGTGGACTTGTTAAAAGTGGTCTTAGGATGTTTGCCCTTGATGAGACATTAAGTCCCTTTTTAGCATGTTAAAGTGAATCTTACACATGATTACAAACGAATAGCATAATAAAAACATGGGCTACTTTCCTTTATCTGGGGAGTATCAACTGATCTCAGCGAAGAATGACTCTAGAGCTTAGTTTTGGTAGGGGGTTTCCTTGCATATAGTTACATTACTCTGACTGTGAATATCCTGCCTTGCTTTTCCCGGAGTCCCTCACCCTACACTGACTACACCCACGGTCCCTGTCTCAGTGACACCTACGTTGAGGTGGAGGCAAAGCCTGAAGCCGACTGTCTGTGGAAGTCTGGACGGCATATTCCCTGTAACCTGGAAGACTTGTCAGAGAAGGTTCCGAGGGCCCAGGTTTGCGGCCTCTTTAAGAGGGGGCGGGGAACAGTGGCGTAAGTGACGGAAGAGGTGGGTCCACAGAGGAGCGGAAGCCGGAAGTGGGGCCCTCTCCGCGCGTGGTCGCGATGTCGGCTGGCGGGGCAGTGGAGCCCGGCCCCCCGGGAGCTGCTGTTGCCCCCTCGCCCACCCCTGCCCGGGCCTCCGCCCCGGGGCACTTGTTCCGGCCTATCAGCGCCGAGGACGAGGAGCAGCAGCCCACCGAGATCGAGTCGCTGTGCATGAACTGTTTCCGCAACGTGAGGCGGGGCGCGGGCGCGGGCGGCGGGGGACTGAGCTGCGGCCGGCCGGGTGGGCGCGGGCCGGGCTACCGGGCGGCCCGCGGTCAGTCACTGGGAAGTGCGGTTCCATCGGTTCTCTCCTTAGCGCCTTTCTGCCTCCCAGGGAATGACACGCCTGCTGCTCACCAAGATCCCCTTCTTCCGAGAAATAATCGTGAGCTCCTTTTCCTGCGAGCACTGCGGCTGGAGCAACACGGAGATCCAGTCGGCAGGCAGGATCCAGGACCAGGGAGTGCGCTACACCCTGGCCGTCAGGGCCCAGGAGGTGAGAGGAGCCGGGGCCGGTTCCGCAGCGTCGCACGGAAGGCTTGGGGTTTGAGTCCCAGCTCTGGTCCCTGCGGAGGGGCCTTCGTGTCTAAGCCCACTTCCCCCCTTTTGGGAAATGGGGCTGGCGCTGTCATCTCTTTGTCAGAGGGCCTCAGATTAGCAGCAGTTGTTATGCGTAGTGCTGTCATTCCCGCAGCCTGGCTCCTAGCACGGGACTGTTCCGCAGGGGTCGTCTGAGCCCCTGGAGTGGAGACTGGAACCCTCTGGGTTGGGGTCTGATGCAGGGGAACAGTCTGTTGCTTCCTGACGGTAGGATGTACTGTGGACCCTTCTGGCTGAGTTTTTCTTTCTGCCCAGGATATGAACAGAGAAGTAGTGAAGACTGACTCTGCCACCACAAGGATCCCAGAGCTGGATTTTGAAATTCCTGCCTTCAGCCAGAAGGGAGGTAAGTTTAAGATCAGGGTAGTTGGGCTTTTCATGCCCTGCTGGAATCTTACTAATTTACTTGCACAGTCCCCGGTTCCAGGTCTAGTGGCTTGATTATGGGTTTGGCCATGTAGCTTTTGTGCTCTTCATTGGTTTAGCATAAGCAGAAAGCTTGCGGTCATAGATGGTGATAGTAAGAGGGCAATGTGCATGTAACAGAATTTTAGCATCGCTGTTACTAGAGATGAATGGAATCTTGTTCCCTGCCTGCCTCCTCCTTTTACAAATGAAACTAAGGCCCAGAGAGTTCAAGTGAATTGCTCAGGATCGTACAGGCACTTGATAGCAGAGCCAAAACTCACCCGTCTTTTCTTCTTATTCACCAGCTTTGACCACTGTTGAAGGGTTGATCAGCCGTGCTATCTCTGGCCTGGAGCAGGATCAGCCCACACGAAGGGTGAGCTGGGGTTTTCTGATTGCAGCAGCTCAAGGAATAATTACTTAATATGTCTGTGTTCAGCTTCCCACATAGTTGAACTGTCTTGGACTGAATGATGGAGAACTTCTGGGGGAAGCACATGGTGCTGCCACCGTGTGGCATATACTGTGTCCACTGTCCTTTACACTCCCCTCTCCGCTGTTAGATTCAGGCCTCATTTTAGAGAGGCACTGTAACATCACCTCTGAAGTGTCTTAATCCCCGTGGGTTCATCTGTGCTTCCTGAGTGTCCATTGTATCTTATATTTGTATGACAGAAATAATGTAATTGCATATTTAGCCACCTGTCTTTCTCATTGGCTGGGGAGCCCTGTGAGAGGACCCTGACTTATTTACGGTTGTATTTCTAAGCTGGCATGAGTGCCTGTGCTAAATGGTTGAATGAGAAAATGTTTATCTGGCACCACCCGTACACTTTAAACTTACTAGTTACAGCTCACTGTGAAGGCTGAGTTTCTGCCCCCATTCACGCCGTGACAGGTGGTGCCTTCTGATGTGGGCACGACAGGGAGAGGGAGCATCAGGTCTCATCAGCGGTGTGTTTTCTCTCTGTTCGTGTCAGGCAAAGGAAGACGCTGTGGCTGAAAGAATTGATGATTTCATTGTCAAACTGAAAGAGCTAAAGCAAGGGGCCTCTCCTTTCACTCTGGTGAGTAGTGAGGGACTCTTGGGTGTCCTAGGGTTGTGGGGAGACCAGTAAGACTATGGGGTTTTCCCACTGTGCTGCCTGAGTGGTCTGATGTAGGCGGAGGTTCGTACGTGATTTCCAGTGGTAATTACTCTCCCTTCCCCCGTCTGTTAGATCATTGATGATCCCTCAGGGAACAGCTTTGTGGAAAACCCACATGCTCCCCAGAAAGATGGTGCCCTGCTGATCACGCACTATACCCGGACTCTGCAGCAGGAAGAGGTGTTGGGGCTCCAGGTAAGTGGGCTGAAGAAGCCGAAGAGAGCTCTGGCGTCATCTTACGCTCTGGGTTGCTTGGGGTCAGTGGAAACGTTATTGCTGCCGCCGCCTTGTGACCCTGTCACAGCCTGTGTGTGCCTCATCTCGCTCATGTCAAGGAGTCGGGGTAAGCTTTATACCAGAGGATGGCAGTGGCTGTGACCCTGTCTTAAGCTCTGTTCTTCCCTTGACTGGGGCTTTGCTGCCTGGTTTCTCTGTTAAACCCACGAGGTGGTGGCTCACGTAAGGAAACGAGAGCATTTTCTCTCACTCCAGGACAGACTGGCAGGGAACCTGAGGTATATGTGCCAACATGGGATTTGTATTTCTGCTACTTTAGGCAGAGGCACCACAAGGGAAGCCACAGGAGGAAGACCTCAGAAATGAAGTGAGTCGCATTTGCTCCTGTGGATGAAGGCACAGCTGTGGTTGAAACCGGTGCCGTTCAGTGTGTCTTCCTCAGCACCAAGCTGAATGTCCCCGCCTGGGAGGGGTCACCCTGTGTCCCTGTGTTGTGTTCCAGGTCCTACAGTTCAACACAAACTGCCCGGAATGCAATGCTCCGGCTCAGACCAACATGAAGCTGGTTCGTATCTTTTGCCAGGCAGTTGGGTCGCTCTTATCTGACTCAAGCGTGCAGGTTCTGTGCAGGCTGGGGAGCATGCCCTTCAGGGAAAGCACAAGTTTTCTTACATGTGATGAGAATGTTGTCTTTGATGAAACTGTGCACTTTGGCTTTTGAGCTCAGAGAGAACTGGGTGATGGTTTCTAGGCTCTTGTGTGTGCCTGAGTCATATCTGCAAACATCTGTGAACCAGGGTCACTGTGGGTTGTGACCCAGCCCCCTTTTGGAGGACTGAGTGAGGCTGCTTCTAGTCATCTGTTTCTTGCCATCCTGAGACCAGCAGCTGTGTGTTGGGGGTTGGATTTGTACTTCCCGAGGGTGGTCTTGGTATCTTGGAAGCATATTTCCTTAACTGCACCTTCCAGAAATCCCCCACTTTAAGGAGGTTATCATCATGGCTACCAGCTGTGAGCACTGCGGCCATCGGACCAATGAGGTGAATGGGCTCTGTCATTTGGGAAGGAACCTAGTTTGAGAGTGGCCACTGACGAACTCTCATCCTTGTCGATCTGTTTTGGGATGAGAGGCGAGGGAGTTGGGTTTTACTCTCAGGCTTAGTGTAGGGTGAGGAGCCCTTAGCGATGGTTAGTGTATCATAGGGTGAGGAGCCCTCGAAGAAACGGAGTTCACTTAGCAAAAAATAGAGATAGCATACCTCATTTGGGGCACATTAGAAGTCAGTTATATGGAAGAGAGAGACGCACTTTTTGACCCATGCCTCAGAGTGGAGAAGTACAGAGAAGCAGTTTTTGACTCAATAAAAAACTTTCTAGGTATGTCTGAAAGTAGAATGTGCTGTCTTGGAGGGTTGTAAATTCCCTTTCCCCAAGGGCAGCCCAGCATACGCTGTTAAAATTCTTAAACCATAATATAATAAAGGGATCCGCATGTTTGATGCAGTTGAAAATCCCTTTCAACCTTGAATCGTTTTTTTAAAAGGTA